AAATATTTTCAATCTAATTCATTCATGATTACACGAGACTAAAAGAGAGCATTACGAAATAATGAAGAAAGCATATATACCTGTGAACCAGTCAGGACTGGGCGAGATTTTGCTTACAAAACTCAATTTAGGATGGCGAGGAGAAACAGTAAATACATTCATTGCTGATGACATTTCATTAGATGACATTTTCAAAGGTCGAGCAAGTATTAAACTACGAATAACACCATTAAATGACTATAACAAACAAAAAGCACTAGATCACATATGTATACAACATCAATGAGAAATACAAGAAGACAACAGGAATACAATAGGAATTATGTTTTACATTGTGAGAACAATCTACCTATGAAAGAATCAGAGGATTTTATGTTTTCATCTATGTATCTGCTGACAAGAGATAAACGATGAAAATCTCGATTCGCTCGAATCGCTTGGTACCACCATGAGCCAGACATGAGAAAACGCAAACCAACTGAATCTCTTTCACGTTGCTATTTAAATTTTTGTAAAGAAAATCAATGATTGATAAAAGGTATCTTCGTCATACTAACTTCATTTGCTAAATCTTGTTCAAGTGTGTGAGTATCACCAGTGAGAACGAGCTGACTTAAACCACGATTGGCATATGCACCAATTTCAAATAATGAATAATTGGAATTATGAACAGCACCGACAGTTGTTGAAAAGTGAGCTTTTATACAATAGAATTCCACGTTTCATAAGATCAAGCGAAGTTTTCTCTTACCTGCTGTTGCTGGCCAGTCTTTTTTGTGCGTCTGTGGTGACCAAAGTCCTTTAAATGTTAATTGATATTTGGCTTCACCGCAAGCACAACATTGTTGCATCATTTTTTTCATATGCATTTCTAAAGAAGAAAACAAAGCAAGTCTTGTTATACTAACATACAACATTGCTTATTCCTTGGCATACTAACGATCTTCACACATGGTATAGGTTAACGCATTATCATCTTTGAACCAAACCGTATCCGATCGTACTACAGTTGCTCTAAACACAGTAGGTTTGTACTGTTTCACCTACTCTAGTCCTTAGAAAAACAATATCTACTTGAATGAAATACATCCCTGCGGATGACGTGGTGCAATCCAATCGACAGAAATCGAATTTTTCGATTTATCTGGATTGGCATCTGTAACACCGCCAGGACAATTACGTTGACTGATGATCGCTTCTTGCGTTGACTCGTCATTTGTATGCGTCGATGGTAGTAACTCAAACTGTCCGACTGGACGATAAGCTTGATCATCAGACCATGTTGATGGTACAGCAATGAGCATAAATTCTTTGAACGATGATTGATACGTTTGACTTTTGAAACCACTCAATGAAACTAGAAAAATAATCGTTTGATATCGTATATCTTTAGAAATACTCTTTTACCTTTGTATGTTCGACCCGGAACATATGTTTTGAAACTACCTTCGACTGTTATACGAAAGCCATTGTCCCCTGCCGTCTGAGGTACTAGATATCGTGATGAACGATAGCAAGTCGGCGGTTGTGCAAGAACAACATTGTAGAAAAGTAGTAAGTGAAGAACATACACAACTAACATTGTCTTGTTAATGTAATGTATGTTGAGAAAATGTACCTGTGCTTGTTCGAACTACAAGAGAGAGAGAGAGAGACAAAAAAAGAAAGGAAATATGAATATTTCAGGACATAACCAACAATTGTGATAGAATACAAGGAAAATAATAACAACAACAACTAAGACGAAGAATTGTATGTTTGTATATGGAAAGCACCAGAAAGAAAGAAGAAAGAGACAGAGAAAGAGAGAAGTAAGTAATAAATCAATAATAAGCGAAAGACAGTATATTCTATTGAAGAAATACGACGATGATGATGATGATGATGAAAGGCTAATTTCTCTTTTTTCTCCTCGCACTTTTGTTTTCTCTGATATGCCAACTGACAATCAAACGAAATCAAATAAAATCTTCAGACAGTTTCAATAATGTCCAATTACAGATATAATACAAAAATACTATTCAGATTTAATAATCCAAAGCAGTTTTACAATACTCAAGAGAATAGAAAACGCACGTTCATAATCGAAAACAATGTTGAAATTCAGAATTCTATAAGATGTTCTCTTTTCTTCTGCTTCTTCTTTCTTGCTAAGTCAGTTCATAAATAATTTAGGTTTTCATCGATTGAGAAGTGATTTTTTCTCATCAACAAACTTGCTGTGATCTCGTCCTTGAAAGTAAGTAGTTTCACTGTTCTACAGAGACGACTATAATCGAAAAATGTCTATCTTGATAATAAGAGAACTCTATAATTATAAATAGTACTTCGAGGGCACATAGATAATACTAAACATGCTGTCTTTTCGTAACAAACAGATGGCATTGCCTAAATGACATTCTTTTGATATGCACAATTTATTAAGAAATCCTAAAGAGGCCAACTCGATATCGACGATTCCGCATCGTTATCAGGCGAAAAAAACATTCAGCTTACAATCAAGCGATTATGTTTCCTGTGAGTCTCTTTTATTGGCAGCTAAAAAAAAGAAAATCTCTTTTCCGTCTGTTCTCTTATTCAATGGGCTCTTATTTACTTTTGAACTTGCGATTGAATGCAAAATGTCCTTACTCAAAAAGCAATCATACTAACGGCAGCGAGTCTATCAAAACAGCTGCCATGATTCAAAAAATAAATGGAAAGTCACCGCAACATCGACATTATTCCATGAAGAATTTACTTGCAAACCAATAGATAATATACCTAACAGATAGTATATTGTTTTTCAACGTATTGAATACTTGACTCAATAAACATGTACACACGCAAGTTCTACTAATGAACGTCATAAACAAACACAAGAAAAAATTGAAAAATGATTAAACAGTACCAAAATTGTTTAGTGTCTAGAACGACAATACACACGCGCATGCACACATATACACACACAAATGAGATAATAAAAAAACAGTGATAGATCTATTATTGACTATGATATATGAATTCATGTCGTGTATTAAGCGTTCGTAGTCGTATTTGCAGCTACTGGTGTTGATTCTGCGGATAATTTTTTTGGTCGGCCTCGCTTCTTAGTTATGCTATCGGATTTAGCTGGTGGTTTTGCTTTTAGTGCTGATTTTTTGGCAGAAGCTGATCCAGATGGGCGACCGCGGCCCCTGCCCGATGAAGTTTCTGTTGATACTGGAGATTTCGCCGGTTTTACAACCTTTTTAGGCGAGAATCCCGATGGTCGTCCACGTTTTTTCTTTTCTAGTGCAGATGCACTATCTGTTTCTTTTAGAACTTCTACCGGATTTGCTCGAACCTAAAAGACGCCTTTATCAGATCGATAGTTTCTGAAAACGGTAAGTTTTACTTGTGGTTTTCCGATGCTATTGACTTCTTCAGTTGGCGCGACCACGCCCTTCGATGGTCGACCGCGTTTCTTTTTATTTGCGTCACCATTTACTGACGGTTGTTCTTTTTTTTCTGATGTTGTCGGTACAGCTTTTTTGGCTGATGACGTGTCTCCTGTTGTTTTGCTTGGCCGACCACGGCCACGTTTAACTCCACTGGCAGTCTTTTCCACCTTCATTGTACCTGCCGACTTCGGTGGACGACCTCGGCCTCTCTTTGCATTGACATTACCTGATGATCGATTGTTTTTACCTTGATCTAGATGGCAAGTATTCCTCTATGAGTGGCAAATAAGCAAACAAAACTCGTTTACCATGAACACTGTTGGCTGCTGCGTCTGTATCCATAGGCAAAACTCCGGCACTGTCATTCAAAGTTGAAGCATTGTTTTGTTGTTCCATTTAAAGTTCGATTTTGTGTAAATAAATCAAAAGCGAATCAATAGCGAAAAGAAAAAATAAGAACGTCTCAATGAGATGAGCTCGATTGACCGATGTTCGTCTAATGATAGAGAAAGAACAAATGAACAATGATCGATTGATCATCTTTCTCTATTTCTCATTGGCCAACGAGATAAGATCCTGTATAAAAACCTGTCTTTCGTTTTCTTTTGAGTACTACTGAGATATTCAATGGAAGAGTACGTTCGGCTGATGACTTCGCTCGACAGGTTATTAGCACTTCGATTTCATGAAACATGACACTCAAGATAATAGTATGATACGCATATCTTTCGTCTGTGCCAAGTGACATCTGTTATCTCTTTCGAGTAGATTATGATTGGTTTGATCACAAAAAGAGTAATCTTTAATTATAAAGGAAGTCACTTCCTTTTCTTATATGCTTTTTTTCCTAATAAACAAAAAAGAAAACGCACGCACACGGGAAAAAGATACTGTACACAAAAAGAAACCAATGCTCGGAAAAGAAACAAACAGATCGGGTATAAAAGACCGAAAAAACGAACCCGTTCTAGATACTTGTTGCTAGATATATATGTATATATATACAAGCAGAAAATGGTCACATCGAAGTTTTTTTTTACATATATACACTGACAAGTTAATGTTGTTCGTTTTTCATCTTTATCATCAAATGTACATAAAGAGAAAAAACGAATTCATATGTAAGAAACAGAGTGCAAGAGAGAGCGAGAGCGAGAGAGAGATAGACAAAAAGAATCACAGATGAAACAATGACGTGTACTGTAATAAAGAGGAAGAAGATATACAAATATATGTATGTACATGGGGAAAAGACATGAAACTGTTCTTCAATGTTATGCACAAAAAGAAAGAGGAAAAAAACTCGAAAGAATAAACCAAACAAACAAACGAACAAACAACAGATCAGTTGATTGTGAAGCAATGAAACGAAACGAAAGAGACAAATGTAACAGGAAACGAACTAATGGTATGCTAAACCGGGAAAATCAACTCTCTCACACTCACTTAATTTACAACACACAGAAATAAAAGTAATAGAGATACCTGAAATGGTCTGGTTGTTACAAACACGCACGCACACACATATATTATATATATATATATATATAGAGAAAATTTTTATATACAAATTTCTTTTTACATCATACCAATCTGATTGAACACAGATTCATCATCGCCATATAAGTCAATAAGAACTCCTAATACTTGAGGATGTTCATGAGCAATTGCCCATTCAACAAGTGATTTGTCACCTGTTTTGCGACGTTCTTCGTACCGACGCCAATCGGCACCGTGCTTCAGTAACGTAACAACAACAGAACCTTGATTGCATTCAATAGCTCGTTCTAATGGAGTCTTATCTTCGAAGCCAGGATAATCAACGGGAAAACCACGTGCTAATAAATATTCAATGATATCAAGACGACCATAGCCTATGGCAACATTTAATGCTGATTCACGAGCCACCGAGATGCAGTACTAGAATAAAAATATTCGATTTTATTTGTTATTTGATCATCGCCAATATTCTTATTAACAAGAAATCTTACGGTCAACGAAAAGACGTTGACTCGCAGCGAAAACCTTGGCCATGATTAATCCAAAATTGAGCTTTTCAAGCATATAGAAGGATGAAAGCGAACTATTCCTACACATCAAGGTTAAACCAAAATAGTCGGCCACTTCTATTTTGATTCACTTAATCAACTCAAACAAAGTATAAAAATCAACAACTTTTTCCACTTTCCCTCCTTCTATAAAGCAAAACTAAAAACGATACCTCGATCAACCTTATTTTCTATGCACAATAAGAAATCTATGCTATGGTAATTCATAATCGATCATTTGAGAAAGAAAAACAATCTCTTCTGTTTTGTTTGCCTATGTTCTCTTTCAATACTTTGTTGTTTTTTCGAATGCAACCGAACTTACTGGATTATGACCGAGATGAAGGAGCAGATCGACCATAGTAAGTCTTCCGTTATCAATAGCAGTGTATAGTGGTGTGTGACCATTGGAATCGAGTAAACATGTATCAGCGACTGTTGGCTGTTGTCGAAGTCGACTATGTAAACGAACTATTCCTGCAACATCATTTGTTCGAACAGCATGATGCAAATCAAACTTCGGCAGAGGTAACTCCGAAAGTTGTTGTTGAGGATGCTGCTGCTGCTGCTGTTGTTGCTGCTGCTGTTGCAGTTGTTGATGTTGAGGTTGTGGGATTAGTTTCGTCGGATGGGAAGGTTGTTGGTACGGGGCATAATGGGTACGATGTTGAGCAATCACAGGACCACCGTTATGATGATGATGAGAACGGTGTCGATAATTACTCTCAGTTAACATCTTACTCGTGATCACGATGGAAATAAACAAAAAAAAATATCTAAAAGTAAAATCATACATCAGCTAAGAGAAGATATATACATGTAAATGACCTTCTCCTCCTTCTCGTCGTCGTATTCTTCTTCACATCACCCTAGATCGATGGTCTAACATGCCCTAAGTGCATTTCTCTTTCTCTCCCTTTTCTCTATTAATCGAAAGAGAAAAAACGAAGAGAAGAAAGTAGAGAACGAAATAAACTCGATATCCAGGTTGTTCGTCTTTCTATTCGTACATATCACGAAGCAAAATAAAGAAAATAACGTTTTATTATCAAAGAGACAACTCTTTCGTGTCTGATAGATTTTCATTGTGAGCTGGTGCACAGCGTCAGCTGCGATGAAATGAGTAAGCACGGGAGAGAATGAATCAAGAAAAGGATCATATCAGGACAATTGGCCTCCACTTTCTTTAGATAGCGTAATAGCTTTGTCCTCCACGATTACTTGCTCACATGTGTAATGGACGAGATGGATATGGCATACGTCCCTATTTCTTTTCCCTACGTCCTTCTCCGTTCTTCATCTATTCATATATCCCCTTTGTTCGATAATTTTATTGTCAGCTACGCACAACGACACAAGGTCTTGTTCTCGTAAGATGCGTACGGCCTACACGCAAAAGAAAATGAATAGAATGAAGAGAAAAAAAATGTACTGAGTCTTCCTATCTACAATAAATGCCGTTATATACGTACTAGCAGTGACCAACGCATGTATATATTTGCACGCTAGTTATTTAGTCGACGACTTACGTCTGCCACCAACAACAATGCATCTGTTTTTTTTAAGTCTTAAGTGGTCCACTGACGTGTCTTTCTTTTTCGCTATGTATGCTATGCAACCAATTGCCTCAGGCATGTACGATATATTCAGTCAGTCATTTACTTTAGAGATGAAAGCATCATCATCATCCTTTTTGTCCCTATTATGCTTACAATTACCTTTGGTGCGTACGTCTACCGAAAAATAAGAAGCGAATCGAAAAAAAAAAGGTGAAGTCATAGAAAATGATTCAAATGAAAAGAAAAGGCAATGTGTGCTGTTGTTGTTGTTGCTGCTGCTGCTTGTTTCTCTTGATGTCTAAATCAAGTAGTAATACTAATACGACGAATCATATACGTGTGCTTGTTCTTCTATTTCTTTTTTTTTCTTTCTTTTTTCTCTGCTCTCGTTCCCCCAAAAACCGCATATACATACCAGCTGCTCGTCGACTCTAGGCATTGAGAATTCGATGAGAGAAAAGAGAAAGAAAAACTGAAAAAGCGAGAACAGAGAAGTTATACCCTTGTCTCGTCGGAAAACATTCGGGCTGAAGGGTTGCGTTTTATGCGATCTGTCAACAATACACGTAGGCGAAAAAAGCAAGACGAAGGAGAAAGAATGGAATTCCTTCTACTCACTGTTTATTCTTAGATGAATTGGCGCTTGTGTTTTCTCGAGGAAAAGAAAAGAAAACGCTACAAGAAAGCTAATTAGAATAGAATAGAAACAGTACAAGTTTTCTTTCATGAAAACAAACATGTTGAACGGTATTGAAAATATTATTTATCTTTCGAGAGAAAAACAACACGCCCTCAGTCGTCCATTTTTATCCACAAAACTAGCTCACTGACGGATGGATAATAAACAGCGTTCGAGATGTGAAGCATTAGTATCTTAAACTAATGTTCCTAGTGAAAGAGAAAAAAAAAGCCCATGATGACATTTTGTGAATGTTAACTATGAGAGAAGTATACAATCAATCGTTGTCATGCATATGTAATTAATCAATCCCATTCATCTTCCTCTATCTCTCATATACTCGACGTACTGATGGAATTGAAGAGAAAAGAAGAAGAAAAAAAAAGTCATAATAATTATACGTTTGAAAAATTTGTTCTCTTTCACCACACAGTGTTTACCTCTTGTGCACGAAACTAGAATGAAAAGAAAACAACGACGAAATGAAGAGAAGAAAACACACAAAAAAAGAAACTTTCTGTTTATTATATACACGTGCCACGTCACGTCAATAATAATAGTGACGCAGAACTATCCAATTGGATGTTATTTCGCCGTGTGATGACGTTGGATCTTACATCATCTCTCATGTGATTAGTTTTCTCTTTGTACGGGAGAGAAAGGATTACCTATTTAAGATGTACACATATGATATCACGAAAATGGATGAACGTAACATGAGTTCAACAAGTAATCAACGGTGAGAAAAAGAAAACTGATAAAACGAAATCGAAGCAAAGAACATTGTTGACTCGAGAAATCTTCATTCTGATCAATTATTGTAGTAGACGATAGACACCGATTGTAGAAAGAAAGAAAAAAACGAAAAGGCAACCCATCATTATCATTATCGTGTCTAAAATGCTCACCTTCGTTATATACGTCTATTCGTCATCACCTCATCTATCATCTTGCTTTTTTCATCATACAATTGATTCGAGACATGATTAGAGATAGAATAAAGCAAGAAGAAGCAGTCAAGTCGATTCGTTTTGAATGATAGTGATCGTTTATGGAAACATCTGGCTAATCAACTGCTCACTTCACGAGTCGATGAAAGATTTTTGTTTTTCAGTACTCGCCTTTTTTTTTTGTCAAATCATTATTTGATGAAGAGCAAGATAAAAAAACGGAATATAACGAAATTTTTTCCTTCGAGAGTATGTCTTACGCAGGGCAAAAGAACCCGTGTATTGTCGTTTTCTGAATGGAATTCAATCCATCGTATTTTACTCCGATACACATTTGTGCATACGCGATTTTTACACTCATTGCTTGTATTTTGCTTACCAAATTCTACACTAAAAGAACAAATCTGTTTTGCAAGGTAATTATTTGTAGAAAAGCAGAACTTTTATCGTTGGTCATTGTACTCGTGCCGAACTTTGTCCTTACCTGCGCACACACACACATACACATATCACATTTTAATTCAGCATGTTTTTGTTGAGATAAAAGCAACCTGTTTAGTCGGTGTCTCTATGAATAAAACCATCAGTTAAAAGAGATTCTTTTTCGTTACAAACAATACCTGGCACAATCATGTTGCTCGATTGAATAGATCTTCATAGTTGAAAAGAACATTGTCAAGTCGTTTGAGACGAGTGCAAAAGCATTTGGATCTGCGTCAGGCATATGTGCACAAGAGTCACCTGAATGTTCGTTCATGTTTGAGATTACGTGCTTAGCTTAATGCTAATGACAGGATAGAGAGTGAAAAATTGATAGAAGTGCACTATTTTCATCATCAAGAGAAGAAATCTATGCCATACTTTTCATACCGGATCTCATGAGAATTAGATTTCAGTTCCATTAATCAAACTTGACATATGGATGTTGAACGAGTGATTGTTTACTATTCCAGTTGAGCAATAGAAATCGAAATCGTATACTCCCACGGATAACCCACAGCAATCGGTTTCCTAAAATGAAAATTTTGACGACATGCTTCTATACTTCCTTCTTCTTAACTCAGAATTCGATACAAACCTGGATATGTATTCATATTGCTCGGTAACGATGCAATTATTCTCAACATTAATTTTCATGTTAATAAAAATCAACTAAATTTGCTAATGTTTTTACATTACATTTCAATCAAATACGAGTAATTCACAATCATCGAAAAGCAGCTTGGATGACTTATTCGTCGTTATCATATGATAGGTAATGACGTACAACTGTTAGAACGGTTTCTTATTGAAGCATACTGAAATCATACGACTAGGAAAAAATGACATGACGTGATTTTGTTCCACGTGATTAATATTTTTAATCATCACCAGCAACAACATGACGATCAAAAATAACGATAAGAAAAATAAATACAAAATCGATGTCACTGTTATAGACGATAGTGGGCGCTAGTCTATTGATACGACAAAGTATATAGCGAAATCTAAACTGATGAGCATCGAAGGACGAACTTTTTACGAGCTATTTCGTTTTATAACGCTCACAAACAATATCCATCGTACGCGGTTTGAATTGACTAGTTTATTGACCTCGTTTCAATCAATCTTAGAACATAAATATGCCAGACTACGATACTTGGGCACGATTGCCATGAGACACTGTAGATCTCTAGAGCAAAGAAACTACGAAGAATATTCGGCAAATAATCACATGTGTGGAGCAGGATAATTGACGATTTTTTTTCTACTTAGAGACCTAACTAGCAAATAGATTGTTTGTTAGCCTTATTTTATTTCGCTGACTCGATCTATCGTAAGATATTTCTATCTTGTTTTCGTCGTAGACTATTTGTCTTTGAATTCGTTCCGTAGACTTCCACGAAAATAACTTCATTAGAATGAGCTATTTGTATATTGCAGAAAATTACTTTTATCTTATTTGTCTTGCCAACATGAATTCAGCCGATAATCTCTCTGAACAGATGGCTTTTGACATATGATTATGTAAAGCGCAACTATGGGACAAGCCAATTGTAGAAAAGACTAATATTTCTACTGCGGTTATCTGTATTCAATATTACTCTGAAGGATCTATATGAATGATAGAGAATTCGATGTCTTTATGATGTTTACTAGACTGAATGATTAACGACTGTGTCAATTCATGTGATTTTTCATACTTTCAACAGAAGATCTTTTGTGCACTCGTGATATTTGATTATTTACTATCCGTTCGTCTATATATGGACATATGGTGTAAATAATTGCGTATATTTCAATTGAATAATAGTCAAAATGCAATCGGAAGCCATAGAAGAAGCAACTTTAGTATATAAATTATCAAAAGCAGTTCAAATGCAAGTTGCTTTTGGTATTTTCGAACTTATCTGTGATCGATTCGATCTTTTTCAAGAGACTGTTGACACGCTTATGTCAACGTATTCAAATCACTGGGACTATTTCAAACGGTACGATGTAGTCAATGTACTCGTCATGTGGAAACTTTGATTTGCATAATAATCTGTTTTTTTTTCAATAACTGTCGAACATATATACTAAAAATAGTCTGAAAATTGAATGTCAATACTGCTTCAAACTCTTATGGTTTCTCATTTTGATTGCACGATCTCAGTGATTCACTCGAGGTCGAACATTAGTATAGATAATTTCGTACGTGTGTGTTTTTCTTCACATAGTGTAGTATATATTATAAAAAGGGAAGAGAAAAAGAAACAGGGACAAAAGTAAGTAGAAGAGTGAGGATGTTGATGATGATAAACACAACAGTGAATAAGACGACGATACCATGACGAACAAAAGAAGAAAAAGAAAGGAGAGTATGACGCTGCGAGAGAAAAGCGCGCAATAAAGAACGTAGAATAACAGCACACACACACACACGACAACGACAAGACACAAGTTATAAGAGAAAAAAATGAAGAAAAACGTTGTTGCCTGCCAGACATCATTCTTATTCTTCTAAAACTGCAAATTGTTGGACGATTGCAGGATCTTTTGCTGCTTTATGTTCTTATTATATACATTGATAATAATAATAAAAAATAAACACCAAATTTCATGCGACTATCTCGAAGGATTCGAGTTGTATGATGACACAGGCGCATATTGTTGTTGTTGTTGTTGTTGTTGTTGCTGCTGCTGCTGTTGTTGTACACTTGATTGTTGTTGAAATAGTTTGGAAGTAATCAAATCTTGTTGTTGCTGTTGTTTCGTTGCCGGATTCACTATGAAATGGGATCGGAAAGATCAACTGTCTATCCTTGCAAATATCTTGTCTTACCATCCAATTTGTCGTAATCAATTCGCATACTTTTATGTGTCTTACGCCAAAGTTGTACATCAAATACGAAATAAACACCTGTTTCATATGCATCATATTTTTGATCTGGCATGACATTCTTTATTCGAGTCAACCAGATGCGCTCCTCTTTATGATAACGCCAGTCTCGTCGATATAATTCTGCAGCAGCTAACAGTTGCACATGATCATTACCAAATAAATAAAATAAAAAAAATACTGTATCCTCATTTAATGTGTTGAAATTCAGTGGAGGCAATTTGTCACGTATTTGCATGCCCATCTGATATTCAAATGGGACTTGGTAATCAATTTCATAGGGACGAGCTTGACTATCGGAGAACGGAGAAAGAAACGATGGATATAGATCACTTTGACTCTCCATACCTAAATGAGAAGACCTCAATGAATGATAAAAGACAAACCTAGTTCTTGACGTACTCAATCCTAGCGTAGTCAGATCACAATTCAACAATGGCGATATATCAGGGTTCTTCTCGGTTTGCTGGATGATTTGTAACAGACCAACCAGACCATATTGATCCGTTATGGCTGTTGGTGGCAAACCATTCATATTTGTTGTGCCAGGTGTTGATGATGATGTATTAGATACTTGTTGTGGATTCGATATTGCTGTTGTAGTTGACGACGAGGATGTTGAGGCTGACGTTGTTGAATTATTGGCTAACGATATCGGTTTATTGTTACCTGCTGTTTGATGTCGACTTATCAAGGTATTCAGCGCATCGATGGATGTTTTAAATGATATCGGTGATTGTGATTGTGAATGCTGTTGTTGCTGAGATGAGCCATATCCGTTAGTAATTGGTTGATGATGATTGGATGTTGATGTCGATGATGTTGAAGAGAACTGATTTTGATAGAGTGATTGAATATTCGTAGATGACGATGATGGTGTTGTTGGTTCATGGGAATTACTTCGATGTGGTAATGGAGGAAAATCTTCTTGTTGCAATTCAAACTAAAACACATTTGAATAGTGAACGGAAATTTGCCATAAGAATGGAACTCTCAATGTTTACATTTTTTTCCATCTGTGCTTGAGATGATAGTGCCGATGCCATCGTTAGTCCTAGAATACTTTCAAAATGCGACGATGATGAAGATGAACTCAACGAATTGGTTTGCTGATTATTAAGCAACTGTTGTTGTTGTTGCTGTTTCAACAGTAATTGTTGTGCCAATGACGATGATGACGACGGTGACGATGATGGCTGTCCGATCGTCGTCCATTGTTTTCCGCCACCAACCGAACCGAATAACGATGAAGAGTTTGAACCGATCGTCGACGGTACTGTTGATACTCCACCATTACTATTAACATGTAAATATGATGACGGTGTCGTCGATGAAGACGAATTGGCAGCTGATGCCAAATGAAGATACGACATCTTGGTTGGAAAAGTGAAAAATCGAATGAGTCTTTGATTTTTACAAAAGAAAAAAGTCTCTGAAAGTGCAAAAAAATGATTTCTAGCAATATTTGTCGATCGACAACCGCAAGTAAACAAATTCAATACATAGTGCGTAGGCGTTTTAAAGAGATAAATGGACAGATAAAAACGACGAAAATAATATTTAAAAAAATCGATTAGTTGAAAGGCAATCTTTCGAATCTAATCAAATGTTCGTCGAAAGCATGATGATCAGTTCGGAATATGATCATTATCATAAACGAGAAAAAGAGTCGAGCCTAGGATGGATGGATGAATTGACACTCGAAGAAATGGATCGCGACAGTCAATTGGATAGATTTTGAGGATTTTTCGTGAGGAAAATGAATAAATTTGTCATGAAAATTTTCTTAGGATTTTTGAAAAAAACTTCTAGAAATTCTCCGAAAATATTTTCCCATCCATATGACTTGTGGCGACAATAGCGTTCTGATTTGCTCAACGATTAAACCCATGAAAAGCACTTTTTGTTTGTTTATTTTCTCATCGACAATGAAATTAAATATTAATTCTTTTTACTCATCACGAATCTTCGTGAATGATAAAAATAGAACTACTATCTACAAGCAACATCACACGAAGTTGTACTTAACCTTCGGCTGCTTGGTCAGCATGATAAATGATACAGCATATTTTTCCATTTGAATTCTTCTCGCATTATTCTTTTCGTAGATAATATTCAGTCTATTCGAATGCATTTAATTTCTATATTCCGAATTCTTTATGTTTTGCTTTTAATTACATTAACGAAACAAGATGAATCTGTGATATCTTTCAAGCCTTCATCTCTTAGCATTATCATTGGGCAACACCAGTCTGTTACTGTTCATCTTGTGAAGTCGAATGTGACTTTTCCGGTTACGATCGCATTCCAATACGATGATAAATTGAATGATACCCAAGGTTACATTGACCTTATACCAGATATTACATTTACAAACGCAACAAGTCAAGAAATTGTCATTACCGGTCGTCATGAAGGCCATTTGATTGTAATCGCACAATCGTCCCAAGTAAATTTATCATCCGCAGTCGATTTCATTCTCATCGACATAGCCCGCAGTCGTGTGATTGATGTTTTTATTCAAATTGTCGGTTGGATATATTTCATTGCTTGGTCAATATCATTTTACCCTCAGATAATTTTGAATTTTCAACGTCGAAGTGTTATTGGACTTAATTTCGATTTCTTAGCTTTAAACATTCTCGGACATTCATGTTATTCGGTTTTCAATCTTTATATGTACCTATCAAAGAACGTCCAACAACAGTACTATGCTAAACACCCACACGGCGTTTTACCTGTTCTATTGAATGACGTATGCTCGATAAGAGAGAGAGAGAGTCGTGTAAGATAAAGTGAGAAATTCTTCATTTTAGGTTATCTTCAGCTGTCATGCTGTTTTTGCATGTGTAGTCACTGTTATCCAATGCTTATTCTTCGATCGAGGCAATCAACGTGTTTCCTATGTCGCCAGAATCATTGGTGGAGTATGCATTGTATTTCTACTCATCTCAACCATCGTTTCAACATCAAAACACTTGTCTACATTAGATTTGCTATATTTCTTTTCGTACGTGAAATTATTTATTACAATTATAAAATATTGTCCGCAGGCATGGATGAATTTTAAACGTAAATCAACCGAAGGCTGGTCTATTGGCAACATTCTCTTAGATTTCACCGGCGGATTATTCAGTTTATTGCAAATGTTCTTACTCGCAAGTAATTACGATGATTGGTCGTCGATATTTGGCTCGCCAACAAAACTCGGCTTAGGATTATTTTCAATTCTGTTCGATATCTTGTTTATTGTACAACATTATATACTTTATCGTACGCACAAGACTACTACGAAAGCGATCAATCTCCCGAATGAAGAGCTCGATGAAAATTCTCCTATTTTGTCAACGAAATCTTAAGTAAAACAGTCGCAATTTCTTTTCCTTCATCTTCCATTCTTCGGTTTTTTTTACAAATTTGTATATGATTATCATCTTGTTTTCCTTTATCGCTGATACTTCGATCTCTTTGATTGTCCCAAAGAAGCAAATTGAATGATACTTTTCCTTTTTTTCTCTTCTTGTTTTTGATTTTTACAACATACCGAAAGGTCAGCTGGCAATAAAATTATTTACCAGAGTTGAGTAAAGAATGCCAACTTGTTTCTTTCTCTGGGCCAACTATTTTGCCTTTAGAATAAATGACAAAGATAATTAAGTAATCCATACGTAGCATTTCTTCTCTCCTATCGTGTACTTACGTCACGCAATTCAAACAGATTATAAACATCATTCAACTTGACAGATTTCATATCATCCATTCTCATTAGCTTATTCAATAGAAAAAAAAAACTTTTTGTCTTCTCGTAGTCGAAAATACAGCTCATTCGTATTCATGTCATAGTGTATGACTGGATACTTTCGAACGAGTGTTATTTTTTCTTTTTGTGATAAGAATGATTTGTTTGAAGATTATATCACTTGACTATTTTGTAGACATGAGTGTTCCTGAATCGTTTGTACGCATCGAAAATTGGTTATCTACGCACGCACCTAGTCTTCTTCGACAATTGAATAAACCTGGTATATCTGTAGCTGAACTTGACAAAGCAGAAGCAACCCTTGGCGCAAAATTTCCTCCATCGGTTCGCGAAGCTTATACACATTATGATGGTGAATCGAAAGAATCGACAGGTCTGTTTGGTTCCTGGCGTTGGCTGCCTTTATGTGAAATAATTCAGTGGAATGATGAACAACAGCGAAAAGTTCAAAAAACTCATCTTGTAGATTTCAAACCATCGTTTATGATTCCTCTATTAAAATTAACAAGTACCAATAGCGATATGCGCTATGTCGAGACCAGTGGTGACGACGGACAAGAAGAAACACCTGTGATCGAGTGGAATCATAATCGACCGGTACGAGATATCAAATACGGAAGTAAGCTTTTCTCAGTATTTGCCATAGAAACGAAAAATATTTCCCGTATCGCCTTTTTACCGTAGGTTTTGCTAATTACTTATCAACATTTGCTGAAAGACTCGAACTTGGTGAATACATACCTGATAACAATGACACAAATAAAGCTCACGGACTTGTTCTGAAACATTAACGCATTATAGACAACGCTCATATCTTATTCAAATACATTCTTGTGTATTTCCTGTTCCACTCGAAACGGAAATAACAGATAGACATACCGCAAACATCTGAATAGATTGCATGTATTCCACTATCATTCTATATTAGAGATCTTACTTTTTTATTCTACGCCTTCAAGAAAATTATTGAAATAAAAAGATCTATTATATCGTTTTTTTTGCCTAATGATCATTATAATCATCAAATTATTTGTTGTTGTTGTTCTTGTTTGATACGAGTTGACAAATTGTAGACTTCGAATGTATAAAAAGAAGACGAACAAATGAACGAAATAGAGAAATATAAGGACATTAATCTAATCAACAAAACAAGAAAAAAAGAGAAAAGAGAAGAAATTGAATGGACAGCTAGCTGCTGTTATCACACACGAAGAGAGTACGAAACACATTCATACAGAAAATAAAAGCATGAAACAACCTTGAATAGATCATTCACGCCTGTGTCTATCATTGCCATTTGTTGCAACAACAAGTGTATGAAAAAGAAAACAAATGTACGAGCAGAGAAAACAACTGTTCTGAATGTGCGTGTATAACGAAACAAAATGATAGAGGAATGTAAAACGTACATATCAATGTTGAATCGATGTACGAATGTATGTGTGTTGTGTGTGTAAGAAGGCGAGAGAAAGAAATGAAGAAAGTAAACAATTGTACCTAATCTACTATTCATCAATATAGAAATAATACGAACAGGCATCAAGATATTGAACAAAACCGATGATTTTGCCTATTGGAACTTTTGTTTTGTTGAAGTTCATCAATACTCATAGTGCGACTACACCCACAGTTTAATTTCGACCGACCTCTCGTACGTCGTGGCGTCGGTTGTTCTTGGTGGAAGTTGTTTTCTTGTGGGCTTTCATAGGGTGAATGTAGAACTGATATTGGGCGATCAGAAGCATTATTATTGTCTTGCAGTGATTGTTCATCATTCGTTTCTGATGATGGTTGATGTAATTCAGTTAAATAATCAAACATTGTAAATGTTTGAAAGCGGTTCAGTGCTAAAGGAGGAAATGGTAGAAAATCGAATGTACGCGGTGGCCGCCGACGAAACCAATCGTGTTGTTTTATCTGTTCGATTGTAAAACGTGCATTTTTATTGACATGTAATAAACCATTGATTAAAGATCCTAAATGTGGTTCAATATCGTCTGGAATGGTATAAATTCCAGTTCCAATTGTTTGAAATAATAAATAGATATTGTCGGCTTCGAATGGCAAACGGCCGGTAACTAGATTATACAATGTGACACCACATGACCATATATCGATGCAAAAACCGCTATAAGTATCCTCGCCATTTGCTATTTCCGGACATTGAAATGCAGGAGTACCTAGGAAAATCGATGGAATTAGTTTTTTTTCAAGAATGTTTCCCGTTGAGATTCGCTAGCAATCAGATAAGAACTACACTGAGAATCTTAATAATGTCGATAGAGGACAATGATAAAGTAATACTGATGACACGGGTGATAGGCAAGAAAGAAAATTTTTTGGTTATTTCAAACATGTACAAACCTTGACTTCGTTTGATTGTATCATCAGAACTAAACCTACAACATAACAGAATGGTTATTCTAGCGAAGAAGATTTCTTCTCGCACTTACATATCAAGTTGTTCTGCAGTACCAAAATCCGTTATTTTCAATTGATGATCAACCGTGATCAACAAATTACCTGGTCTAATCGAGTGAAAATACTTTCTCAGAAACTGTTTGATTATTCTCTTTTACATACTTAATATCATTATGAATTATGAATTTTGAATGCAAATATTCCAATCCGCTAATTAACTGAACAAAGTACCCATGTGCTTGCCAGGTGGGAAACATTTTTAGCTTTTGTTGATGTTGTTGTTGTTGCTGATGCTGCTTTTGTTGGTCATCGACATCAAGCATTTCTTGTAATGACACCACACATAAGTCAATAAATAGATATAATTTCTGTTTCTCATCATTGCGAATGAAATCGTATAATTTAATTATGTTAGGGTGATTTAATTTCTTTAAGATGCGAATCTCTGTGGCGGCCATTTTCTCTCCATGTGGCGTTTTCCGTAACCGACGACGTTGCATGATTTTGACTGCACGTCGACACAGATTTCGACGATCGAGACATTCTTTCACTTTAGCATACGATCCCTGGCCGATCATTTCACCGAAGAGATACGGCCCGATAAATTTGGCACGTTTACGTTTTAAATACAAGTTGATTTCATCTTCGGATGATACATGTTGAATAGGTACAGGTGTAGGCGGTAGTAAAGCTGTCACCTGTTCATCATCAACATCGTCGACGTCGCTGCCTAGTAGCAGGTCGAATTGTGCTGGTGGAGACGCTGTTGTAATTGGAGGAGAAAAATGCTGATGGCCATTGTTATAATTGTACAGGATCGATGGTTGTTGTGGTGCTACTGAAGAATACGCAGGCTGGCTGATTTCCTCATCTTCGATTTCTTCATTAAGATCATCAGGATAATCGATAATTACATTTGTCGATTCTGTTAAGTATGGATATGTGGTTAGTGTGACTTTTTCAGCCATTACCAAGCATCGTTTATGTCTAGAAGATATGAGATGTTTTGAACTAATCATTGAATAGAAAAAAAAAGCAGAAAAAACCCAGTTGTCTTTATTTGGTACGAGATTTTGACAGAATTTTAAATTAATTTCGTGAAAATGTCATGTTTTGCTCTTTTATATTCGAATGAAAACAAAGGAAATTTCTATGTTTTATTTCTAAAAAACGAAATGTTCTTATTTTATGAGACAATCTGTTTATGGTGATGGTTGAGTGAAATGGCGAATTAAAAAATATCTCATATCCTTTATTTCTTTGTCGATAGATGGCAATGGTTATAACGATTTGAAGTTAATATCGTTCGATGCTCTGTCGAAAGAATAAGATTAATTGGCAAAAATTGGCTTCATCTATTTCTTTTCAATTAATGATTGTAATTATTCAATAGATATGACCATATGATTGTATATTTCAGTATTTATTGCATTTTCTCGACACGAAAACATTCGGTTGTTGCGATTCGTTTCTTCGGCTTACTTCTTTTTTTTTCAATAAAATTTCTCTCGACATTTAAGTTTAAGCAGTCCTACAGTATGTGAAATGCATCATTATCACATCATCAGCGTTGCCGTCATCATCATCATCAACAACATTATTATTATCATTTTCATTATCACGATCGTCACATTATTCGTGTCGTCGATTCTGATTATGTTTTGCACATTCATTTTTCTTAGATCGACTGATGTTTTATACCGATCAAAATCGAAAAACACACGCACAGCCATAAACAGGTAGTGGTTGATATTTCTATGTTTGTGTATTTTGTTCTCCTTGAATAATCACAGAGGATATTGACATACGGTTTGCCGCCTAACTTTCTCTCTCTGTCAATTTCTATATATTCGTGGCCTTCAACATCGTTTTCTCTCCTTTTATATTTTTCGCTTATCATTTCCATCGTGCGCCAGTAATAGGTTGTATTGTGAAGTGGCCAACTATTAACCACAATTATCGTACAGGTGAGAGTCACACTTCGATCCCGATTCATTTTTCTCTCTCCTTTTCCAAAACCACTTTCTTCTCTTATTTAATTCTGCCTATTTATTAGAATCAAAGGTTATTTCTTTGTAGGAAGGTATAAACTTTATCTACTGAAAAGATGAGTATAATTTCTGAACAATCACGCGGAGATCATGGTGACGCTCGATCCGTACAATCGTTAGCAGTTGAAAGTGTACGACGAGTTTCACCGACTCAAAGTCAATTGACGCAACAACGATCATCTTCTCAAGTTGATAATATTGATCGTAGCGGACGTAGCGAACGTCATCGTATTCAACGAAGTAGTTCATCGTCAAGCACGCGCAGTGCATCAACAGCTGGCGCTCGCCGAATCAGCGGTCGAGCAGATGGACCAGTTGTTGCTGGTTCCTACCAACAATATTCCGCTGAAAGTGGCTATTCTTACGGAGGAAATGGTGGCAACAGTAACGGACAAAATGGAGGTGCTGCAAATGGACTATACGGTGCAGCGGGTGCCTCATACGAAGGAAGCAGTGGTTCAATGGGCTGTCCACCTGCCGGTGAAGGACAACGACGACCAGGTCGCCATCGTCGTCAAGTTATCCGTTGCCCCGAACAACCTGCCGGACCACCACGTCAAATACGTCGTCGTCTCCCAACTCCTGAACCAGACACGTTAGAACGAGTGTAAGCATATACTCATTTCATTTTCTTTTCCAAATGCTAATTTGTCTTTGGTTTTTTTCTTGACATAGTTACATCCAACGTACAGCTGCCGAATGTATAGAAGAAATTACCGAAATTCCAACTACTCCACCACCACGTCTCCAAGAACGAACAGTTGTCGAACCAGCTGGCCCGCCTCAAGTAGTTAAACGTGTAGTTCGCGTACCACCACGAAGTGGCTCAGGACCTGCTCAACAACCAAATCCACCGCCAGGTTGTGGATCTGCGCCTGAATTGACCGGCACTCAAAGCTATGGCAACATTCCACAGGCTGCCAACGGTGCCATACAGCCGGCTGGTGCCAGTTATTCGGGCGGATACAGTGCAGGAGCGAACAGCAGTGCTAGTTACGGTTCAGCTAGCGGCGGTTACAGTACTGGTGGAGCTGATTACAGTTCAGCATCGGCTAGTTATGGTGCACCAAATGCCAATTATGGTGCTGGTTATCCTGCTGTTCCCAGCGGTGCATATGGCGCTCCTTCTGGTGCTTACGGTGCTGCCCCTCCTACTGGTGCCTACGGTGCTACTCCTAGTAGCGCTTACGGCCCTACTCCTACTAGTGCATATGGTACTGCTGGCTTCGGTGCCGCTGGTTTTGGTGCAGGCTATCCCCCTACTCCTGCACAAGCTCAACCACGTATACCGCCACAAGCTATCTGTTTCACTGTTGGTGGTGACGGCCGTTCTCAGCCGATGCCACCCATGGGTTGTCATGCTGCCTACTGTTTTTATGTTTAAACTCTCATTATTTAAACATTAACGCTACAACCAAATAGCTTCTATAGAAGAGAACGCCAAGTTTTATATCCATTTTGTTTCTATTTAGTACTAGATGATTTTAGTGTTTTTTTTTTGGAAAAAAGGGTTCACGGCTACGTACTGATCAATAGTAGCAAAAAGGTATTAGATAATGGTTCTCTTCTTTTTCTTTTCTTTTTATTTATAAATAAATCAGTCATGGTTGCTATCCTTTTCTCTTTCAATATTTTCGAGTTTCTTAACGTTCCTTTTTTCTATTTCGAATACAAATGCAAAAAGAGAGACCGCAAATGATGAAAAAAGGAGATACACATCCAATTACACCGACACATGAATACTATCAAGTTACACACCAGTGCACATTGTGATAGGCGAAAGAAAAAAACAAAATAAAACTATGTACATTTTCCATTCTAAGTATGTCCAGTAGGAATGATCGTTACATTATCATTACGTTGCCCATAATCGACACATCTTGAAGGATCGTTCGGATAGAGCTTTTGTGCTTTGCTGACAAGACGTTTGACAGCTTGAATATATTTCCGTTGAGTTTCATCGTTGAGAACGTGAGCCACATGTTTCGATGCAATTTTCTCCCGACCTGGACGTGGATGAATACCAACCATAGTAGCACCGAGCGGCCTAAAAACACAAAATTCGCCAATATTTCCCACAATGAAAAATAATTATTAATTCTAAATTTTCTTTGTTTTTCTCGTTTTCTTCAACATGTGTTCGCAGGTGTGATTATGAATGTTAATTTATCTGATTTCTTTATTACGCATCTGTTCACACTATGTCTTAATAACTGATAAATTGCTACGTATGATGGCGAGAAAATCAAGCTCAAACGATCATTAGCTATAATAAATATCATTTTATGCTTGATAGTAATATTCGATATAAGTACGAAGCGAAACTCATCAATCATTTTAACTGCGATTAGGTCATGAAAAGTGGTAAAAACAACTGATTAATCATGAAAAGAGCAAATAATTTCGTTTAAACACACATGATGTCATCAATAACTAATAAAATGCTCGGTAATATCGGCTCTAGTTTGTTTTTTCTTGGTAATTCAACTGGTTATTGAAATTGCACACCGACAGAAACAACTAGGCCATCATGTTCGAGTTATCGACGGAAAATAATTAGTTTTGTCAAAAGCAAAACACTCACTCTCTCTCATTCTTGCTGAAAACTGTGTAAAAACTTCGTTATATCTTACCATGGAGCATTGCCAATAGCCATTTCTAAGAAAAACTCATTCGCTCGAATATAGTTTCTCTTCAAAACACAATTGACCACATTGATCAATGATTCTAATATATCATCTTGCAAAGCATTGGATTTCAACTTGCGAAACAGTGGTTTCATGTATGCACATGTTTGAGAATGCAGCGCTGTTTCGATTTTTCCTTGTACAGACTTCTTCTCATCTATGTCTCGTTCGCTTAATTCGTGCGACCATTTTTTCAGGATGAATTTGAAATAATTCAACACAACTTGACAATCGTAAGCTCGGTTGCCTTTCCGTGTCGTTTTGATCTGTTCAATGATGTCCGGTAGGTCGTATCCACTATCTTCTTTCGTTTCTTCGGTTTGATTTGGAAGCGGCGGGCCCATGTCTTTGTCTTCATCGATTTCTTTGCTGCTATCTTCTAATGCTGACGGATTATCTGCATTGAGAATATGAGCCAAATATTCACGATCGATTTTATCCATAGCTACAAGGAAAACATGAGAAAGTAAAGGATTAAATCAAGAAGGTCGGGCGAAAACAAACCAGTCTTGAAATCATTGCGTTGACCTTTCAATTCAGGCTCAGTTGTTTCGAGCAATCTCAATCGTCGGTACGAATCGATATCCGATTCGCCGAAGAGTCGAATCGGTTGATTTCGTTCACGTAATTTCTTTATAACATCTACTCTTGGAGGTAATGTAAAATGTTCGTTCGCTGTTGTAGCTGATTCTTCCGAAGTCGCATTGTTAGTTGACGATGATGCTGCATTCGATTGATCAGCGCATTTCGATTGATAGTTTTTCCAATAGGCTTCTTCGTGTTTCGCTTCCAGATCACCACGACGAAAACATTTCTTCTCCGGTAGTAAAACATTCATCGATTCGACATTTTTCCGCTTACGTTCAATCTCAGCTTTCAATGACGCAAGATCCATTTTCACAATACAGTAGTAGTTGTGTGAGGATGAGGAATACTAATGTGCGTGTGCCGATTGCAGAAAGGAAATAAACAATTGGATAGTGGATTGTAGATGTCGTTGTTAATCTCTCTTTGAATTCAATAATTTGGTTTCGCTTTTCGAAAAAGCATTGGTCGTGTTTTGAAAATTAGTCGTCGTTTGAGAAGATTTCTGATTTGAAAAATACAAAGACCAATGTTTAATGACTATGGCGATAGAATGAAATTTCCTTCGATGAGTCATTGGCGGTTGAACTTGAAATAAGAAAAAGAAAGAGGAGCGAACGAACGAACATCGTTTTTTGTTTGTTCCCTCTATCTCGAAAGTAGATTTATTCGAAAGGTCGTCATACATTGAGATTCAAGGATCTTCTTTGTCAGCTTTTTTCCCTTTGTGAACGAATCAAATCAGTAGATATTCGATTCTCCTGTGTAATGAAACTATTTGATGTTGTTGAAAAAAACAAACTCGACAAACACATTCATTTCATTTGCAATAAAAACACGTATGATAGATATTATGCTATTTAGATAGACATTCTCATAGAAAAAATTTTCTCTTTCGCTGTGTCCCATTCCATTCTGTTCGTTTTTTTATATTCGTAATAAACTAATGAGTATAAAAGTCAAGTACACAGTTCTTAATCATGTTTCATTATTTTTATACATTCGACGGAGAACATTGATATTAGAATACATCGAGTTTTGTCTTCAAAACATGTATAATTAAGATGAAACTGTTCATTAAATCATTTGTCTGGACAATTAGATGACGTGCCAAGTTTTATCACATTCTATTGTCTATCTCTTCTCTTTTCCCCCTCTATTGTCTTCAGTGAATATTGTTTACTTAACGCGATTGTAGTATGACACCGGCGTCTTATGTTTATTCGTATCGTCCCACACTCTGTCCACTGTCATCACCTTGTTTAACCTTCGTCTTGACCGATATCTCTTGTTCTTCTTGTCGCTCGTTTATTCGTTCTGCGTTCATTCTTCAGATTTCGCGTTTTTGTTTCACGATTATCGAGGAATTCTTCGTCTTCTTTTTTTTGAATTTTCATTATGATAAACATGAAGTATAGCGGCATTGATTGATGAGTTTCATGAGAATAATAACAGACCCGAGTGATTTATTGATAGTACGTTACGTGAACTATTGTCACTAACGAGGGAGAATAATGACTCCATACGTAAAGGATATCATAAAGCAATCCCTCTATGTTATTTGTGTTTCTTCGACAAGAATAACATTGAAATTAGAGTAGGGTTTCGAATCATTAGATCTTTTTACCAGTAGGTTAAAACACATTTAGTGAAGTGTTTGGAATTCGTCGATGCGAAGGTCAAGGGGTACGTTATTGTTTAGACAACTCTTTGAAATAAGGCACTATCATAAGTTGATCGTTAACAAACTCGAGCAATGAACACTTCTAATGTTTTGTACCATTAACCATTTAACTTGTGTTTATTCGAATAATAGCTGAGCTAAATACAAGGCACATGTTATCAATTGTCTTCCTATTGGTTGATATGAATGACCATCGTAACATTCTTTTCGTACGTCGGGACGATTCGAAATGGTTCCTGTAGTTTTTTTTTCTTATGTTATCTATTCGTTCATCATTTGATCCGCTCAATGACGAAACTATTTGTCATGACATCCTTTATGATCCATATCAAACGATTATTCGTTCTCCTGTTTGTCAAGGTTTATCGCACAACTAACGCTTGCAGACATGAACGATATTCATATGTGGATAGAATAAGGTTATAGTCATGTTCGTTTCTCTTTCTCTCTTTTCAGATGATTTTATAGGCGAATCTCACATCGATCGACGACGAAGAAAACAAACGAAATCGAAGAATGTTAAACCAAAGTTGGGGAGTTGAACTTTGGGTATGTCAATCACTTCATGTCAATGCTCTGTTTGTTGATCTATCCGTTCATTTCAGGATCAATTCGATAACGTATCGAAATACACGGACAAAAGTTTACAATTCTGTGAAAAATATGAATCCTTTCTCAAAGATCGTTGTACAGTCGAAGATGAATATGCCAAAGCATTGAAAAAGTTAACTAAAACCTACACACCAAAATTAAAAGATCAAGAAGAATTCTACAACAAGTAAACTACCACAGTTATTGCTCAATAACTCGTCTCATGTTTGGTTTGTGAATAGATATACATTTACGATTGCATTTTGTTCGGCGTTGAAAGAACTGCAAGATCTTGCATCTCAACATGAATTGATCGCTGAAAACATTCGTGAACGTTCAGTCAAGCAAATTCAAATAACAGTCAAAGAATGTCGCGAACAACGAAAGAAATGCTTAGACGAATATACGAAAATCAAACGTCAGCTCGATAAACAACATGAACTAATGATTAAAGTATGTTATTTATTTGAATAGGAACTACAATGATGTATAGAAAAATTATGTAAATGACATTCAGTGAGTTAATAGGATCATAAAAGATAAGAGTACTCGAAAGGCAAATGTTCATTCATGCAAATAGCGAACTGAAAGGATTCGTAAGAGATTTCACCTTCATGTTTTAGAGAAAAACAACTGTGAAATTAGTCAAGCATATGTGACAATGAACACAATTTGATGTTTATCAGAAAGGATATTTGGTACGATACGAATTAACCTTTCGATATGTGTCGTAGTTTAGAGTCTAAGAAGAAGAAGAAGAAGAAGAAAATGATGATGATGAACTCGTTTTCTTACACCGGCTACGTATCTCTTTCTTTCTAGTCTTTGCGAAAATATGAAGAATGTCATGAATCTGCACGTCGTGCCAAAGAAAGCTATGAAAAAGCTCATGAAGATCTTGATTTATCGCGTGCACAGCTCGAGAAAGCTCGTGACACGATGACATCGAAGACGAAAATATGTGATGATGCGCATACGAATTACTCCTCTCAAGTCTCTCTTTTCAATGATACTCAACGTTTATTCTACGAAAGACAACTACCGAGTATTCTAACGGATTTGCAACAATTGGATAATAAACGTTCGGATGAACTAAAAGATGTTTATATTAAATTTATTCAATCACACGCAGAAGTTTTACCAAGGATACAACGGTGTTTAGATGAAATGACCAAACAGACTGAACAATTGAATGCTTGTACAGACGCACAAGTTGTCATTGAAGAATACAAATCTGGCTATGGAATACCAGAAGATGAAAAAGAAGTGAATTGCAAACGATGACAATCGACTTTCGATCTATTTTCAATTTCTCCTTGTTTAGATCGATCTAAATGCAATGGATTTCCCGTCGATACTACTGAATGGAAGTAGTAATGGACATGATCAGCAAGTTTATAATATGAATTTACACAACTCTCACCATCCGACACCCATGGAATTAGCCCGATCGAATACGTTGAGAAGTTCGGGAAGTGATCATAGTAATCAAAATGGCGTCGCCACGATTTATGCCGTTGGTAATGCCAGTGGTCATGTTAATGGCACACAAACATTGATGACGACACCAGCGATGGGTTCAAGAAAAACAGTGGGAAGCAAAAGTAGTGGAACAGCAAGTACAATCAGAAAAATCTTTGGAAGTTCATCTCAAAGAAAAGTAAGTTAACCTGAATGTAAAACTTGTATTTCGATTACTGTCCTATTGTTTATAGTCAATACTTGTAAGTAGTACAGATTCAGTGACTGTCTTGCTGACATTTATCTTTTGCAGATTCGGAATAGAAACAGCCTTCTTTTAGAAGTATATTATAGTAAAAAAAGATGCTTCCACCGACTGATAGATTTTCAAATTTGATTCTGTTGATTTTTCACGTCTTAGATAAACAAGAGAAAGATTGAATTACTTCTGTTTTGCTTTTCAGCCGGCAAATAATGGCAGTGCAATATCATCTACAGTCAACACACCTTATAGTTCCTTGCCACCGGCTCAACGTTTGAAAAAATTTCAAGAACAAATCATCAACTGCAGAAGCGAACTGGAAAAAGAGCAAAAAGCCAAGTAAATGCGGACTCATATAGAACAGGACTAATCAGAATTCAATCTGTTTGCGGCTGTTTTTAGAGAAGGTTTGGCTAAAATGCGACTCGTTTTTCAAGAAAATCCCAAATTTGGTGATGAACAAGATGTTACACAGCAGATTGTGGCCATTGATGAACATATTGAGAAATTATTAGCCGAAATCAAACGATTCGAAGTCAATATCGCTGATTTTTCTTAACAAAAAATCCCAACTAGTTCTCTATTTCAGTCATACATTGCCGAAATTGAACGAACACGAGCTCCAAGTACATCGGAATATGATTCCGCATCTCGTATACGAACTAATTATGGTTCCGATCAATCAATTGGCACGGTTAACAATAACAATTCACAACCAAGTACACCCGGCGAGAATCGAAGGTAAATTAAACTTGATTAGTTTACACTTTAAGCATAATTCTGTCATCTTGTTATACAATCTCACATCTTCAAATCTTATTAGCTTTCACTATTTTCATCAACAATATTCACCGCAGTTTAAGTATAATATGATGAATATCAACCGACGTTGGTCGACGATGGTTTGGTTAGCAACTATCTATCTTTTATATATCCTCCTTATAACAGATATCCCCTTCTTTAAAAAGAGATTTAGTGGGAAAAACTGCTCTGGCATGGAAATTCTCTTTCTTCTTTGAATACTTTCGAGATTCTTATATTGTAAATCACTTCGTTATCTATGTACATTTTAGTCCGCCGGATTTAACGGAAAACTTAACACCTACGCAAGAATTTCATCGTTTACCATCGGTGACATCCATAACGTTGCATCAAAACAATATGACTACAAAGCTATCGTTAGACACGATAACCAACGACGAACACAATGGTTCATTCGAAGACGAAAGTCTCGACGATGAAAATTCGAATGCGATCGATCATTCCGATAGTTTATATCAACCACAAATCAACGGTGGAGCAATTCGGAAAGCTTATGCATTGTACGATTTCACTGGTAAGAACTATCTACGAAATCATCGATTTCACTTCGCAAAATTTTTCAACAGGTCACGGTACTAATGGTTGTCAGTATGTGAACGCAGCATCAATCTTTGTCGGTGAATGTGTTGACATCTTAGAAGATGATCAAGGAGACGGCTGGACACGTATACAAAAGCCAGATGGTTCAACTGGCTTCGTTCCTTCATCCTATCTTCGTATCGATTCTCAAAAACTTCTATCAACCCCTCATCCAATTGATTCAGGCCGTTTTTGAAATAAAATATCTCTTTCTTTTCTTTTTGTATCTGTCGGTTTTTTCCATATACATATATACACATACATACATATATGCAAACAGCTCAGTTCTACCTGCCAGTTAACTGAAAACTTGCAAAGATAAACGTCATGAGATCTATTCTAGTATGTGTGCTCAATCTTTGTTTTGTTTTCTGTTTTGTTTTGTTTATTTACTGTTCTTTTTGATCGAATAGCCTATTTCCTAGTCAAATACTGTTCGAAAATATTAAAATTTCAATATCAAACGATGTCAATGTTTTCCTTTTTTGCGCGAATGGTCAGATACTTTGACATATACTAGCCTACAGAATGAGCAATGCATTTCGTCTTGTATATGTGTCCTACTATTTATAGAGAGGAAAAAAACCATTTCTTTTTGTCATTCAAAATGAACAGTAAAGAGAATTGAGATAAGCAAAATTAATCAAATAAGAAAAAAGCTTTAGAATAATTTTTTGTCACTTCTTGTACAGTTCCTTCGTGTGTTTTCTTCTTCAATGTCCACGTGTAACATCAATTAAGTATTAGAATTAGACTTTTTGATTATGAATCAAAACTAGTTTGTGTATATGTCTTGTGTCTCTTTTTTTTTCTCTTTACTAATTGGTTTCTGATCTACTCGTTTTCTGTACACAAATATTTCTAAAATCTCTCTCTCTTGTTCATTCTTCGTTTTATCTTTGAACAAAATTAATTAAGAAAACCAGCTCAATTAAATGTTCGTTTCCTTCTTATTTGCAGATTTGTGTCTAGGATATTTTCAACACATAGATCACAATGAGTCTTTTTAATTTAACGGCGACTCCATCCAGTAATACAAGTCTGTTTGCGCAATCGACACCTGTAAATCAAACGCGAACGGGTAGCGGGCTATTCTTCGGTAATACTACAGCAACACAACCGAGTACACTTCCATTAACACCTTTCAGCGGTTCGACAACTGTATTTGGTAAGAAGATCATGATTTTTGTAGTAGATTCAAGTAAAAGGATGTTTTCTTAATCTACTAGGTGCATCAACGCCTGCCTCTACAACTTTGCAAGGTTCATCGTCGGGAACAGGTTCGATCCATAAGTTCGATCCTTTAAATGGAGTCGATAAAATGAATAGAAACAACACTCAAGTTCAAATTAAAACAAAGATCTATAACTTATGTGCGATGCCAGTCTATGAGAAAAAGTCGATGGAGGTAGATTGAATATCTATTTCTGTGCAATAACTTCGAGCCTGCTATCACATTTTTCGTTTCATTCAGGAAATTCGGTTAGAAGATTATGTCGATAATCGAAAATTTCCATCATCAACCACAACAGCAACAGGTTTGTTTCAATCAGCATCATCTACAACATCTCCATTTGGTGCTTCCTCAACAATAACAAATCGTAAGTGTTCAGCTAACAACAAGAAAAACTTCATTCTAGCTATATATTCTTTTGAATAGCTGCAATATCAACGCCAAGTCTGTTTGGTTCGACAGCGACGACGACCACACCAGCACTAACCAGCACTTTGTTCGGAAATAAACCAGCTGCAACGACAGCATCATCATTGGTACATATCCATAGAGAGGTCTTCGAAGGTATAACATCAGTCTTATGATTTAGTCATTTTCATTTGGCTCGACACCAGCCACAACAACACTAGCTAACACTACACCATTTTCATTTGGTTCGTCAATAACGACTACTACAGCAAATCCAGTATGCCGTCATTGAGTTTGAATTTGGAAACAAAAGAACAGTGTATTTTTCTTCTATATAGCCTAGTATATTTGGTAGTAGTGTACCAAGTTCTGCACCAGCTACTTCAACAGCACCATTTACATTCGGTAGTAGTCAACCCCAACCAACAGCAACTGCAACTGCACCAACATTTTCTTTTGGTACGTTATTCGAACAAAGTATGTAATTTAAAACAACTCTCTTGTCTCTCGTTTTCAGGTGGTACTACTGGTTCATCATTGTTTCCAGCTGCTAGCACAGCACCAACAACTTCATTCGGATTTTCAGTCACAAAGCCAACTACTGCATCAACATTTTCATTTACACCAGCGACAGCAACATCAACAGCATCGGCAACAACAATGCCGTCATTTGGTCTCTTTCCGACAGCAACAGCAGCTTCAACTGCTGCTCGTAAACGATTCATTTACCGAAGAAAACTATTCTTGTATTTTCTTTTCTTATAGCTACACTATTTTCAGCAGCAACGCAACCTATAGCCATGCCACCTGTTCTTACCACCCAATCCTCTGTTGATACAAAGACTCATTTACAATTGTTTCAAACCATGCTTAACATACAACCATTCAACAATGAACTTGCCTTTCTGGCCAAAAATATCAAAGTAAAATTTACTTTTCCCTTCATTGGAAATATCTAAAACCTCATCCATAATCATTGTAGCCAAATATTGGCCTGGACCGAGCCCGTCTTCGCACTGCACCTGACTCGACAAATGCTCATCCATTGAACAATGTCTTCTCGCCTCTTGTGACTAAAACATCTGTGCTTGCATCCGGTACATCGACACCTCCCACAGTTTTAGCAAATCCATTACCAACCCATTCTCATACATTACCATCTGTTCTCTTACCATCATCTAGCGCAAGTGCGTCGATCGCTTTGTTTGGCAAACGAAAGTTAGCTGACTCATTTCTTGATGATGACGATGACAATTCTTTGATGATGGACGATGGGCCCTCGTCGACATCAGCAGCAATTCATAAACTATCGAAAAACAATGCTATTAAACGGCCACGTGTCCTTGACATGAACAAAATTCGTTCAGTTGTTCTCGGTGGTGTGAGCAATGGAACAACCAATGAGACAATTACCAAAGAAGAAAATCTTTCAGACACATATGTGGTCAAACCAACATCTGACAATTTATCGACATGGAAGAAATTTGCTACATACGACGCGTATCTAGCTTCGAAAAAACCAGCGGTTGACACCATTCGTCATGTGGAAGAAGATCGACAAGTCAGTGTGAAGAATGCGTTCGAACAAGAGCGAGCTTTTCGTTTACCAAGATTGACACATGATGATTATTATACGAAACCAAGTATTGACGAATTACGGCATTGTTTTAACGAACAAGGACAGTGTTTTGTGAAGGAATTTACTGTCGGAAGAGAACATTATGGATCGGTGACCTTTCAGGGTGCAAAAATCAATGTAGCAGGTCTTGATCTTAACCAATTAAGTAAGAAATTCCTGAATAGAATTGCATCTATTGTTGAAAATTTCTAGTTGAAATCGATCGTCGACAAGTAACTGTTTATCCTGATGACAGTCGCAAACCGGCAGAAGGTGAAGAGTTGAATTGTCAAGCACGCATCTCTTTATTAGGCGTGTACCCAATCGATCGTTCAATATCGAATAGTGGTGAAGAAGTGACTGATCCTGATCGATTGATCGAGATGAATTATGGAAACTATTTACTTGAAATGACAAAGAAATTTCAAGGAAAATTCATCGATTATGATGTTTATACAGGAACATGGACATTTAAGGTAAGAGAACACCTTCGCTGAGTCACTCTTTCGATATCTGTCTGTTTCTAGGTTGAACATTTCTGATTGTTTCGTTTGTTTCTTATGTATTTTTTGACCTATGGTCAAGATTTTGTTTATTGTCTGAAAAATAAAACGAATTGTGATCATAATTTCTCTTCTTCTTCTTCTTCGTCTATTCCGATAATTCATTTACTTTTTCTCCTTTACACAGTGTTTGTCTATCTGTTGATATGGTATGTTCGTACTTGTATTACATGTGAAATGAAGATAAAGAACTGGAAAAAAACAATATATATATTTTTNTCTTCTTCTTCTTCTTCGTCTATTCCGATAATTCATTTACTTTTTCTCCTTTACACAGTGTTTGTCTATCTGTTGATATGGTATGTTCGTACTTGTATTACATGTGAAATGAAGATAAAGAACTGGAAAAAAACAATATATATATTTTTTTTCTTTTTTTCTTCTTCTTCTCTCTTCTGCTTCTCTTCAGATATTTCTTCTTTTCTTTTTCTTCTGCTTGTGCTATTTGATTGAATAAAATGAAAACGAATACCTAATGACTTGTCTCGTCATTTTACCAAAAGATATGTGCACATTTTCGGTGTAAACATAGCCACACTCCGTGCTTGTGGAAGATTCCTGATTCGCCGTATCGAAGAGAAAAAGAACGAAACATATTTTTGTTTATGTCACGGTTAATTACAAAGGAAATGACTCATTAAGATATTTTGCCAGAATTTGAAACAAACAGCTATTGATTGGGGCTGTCTAGAAAGTATATCGTCAGCACGCGAGGGAAGCTCATCTCCTGGAGTGGCGTAAAAAGGTTTTGTCAAGAGAAAATCATTGCTTTTCGAAAGACTTTAATCAGGCATTCATTTTTTCTTCTGAAGAATTCATATCCTTTGTGCAGTCTATCGAATAAATCCAACGGATCGGTCTCAGAAGCAAGTGTTAATTAAAACCAGTGACATGAAGTAAAGTATTTGACTTTCATAGCAGTTTATCGAAAGAGATTTGAAAATTCATTGGATTTTTTTATCATCGACAGGAAGAACAAATATAGATCTAACAAAGCTATCTCGACGGAAACCAAACAAAAGGTAAGTCGTCAAATTCGTATCAGTAACTAGTGATTTGAGTTTCTTGTCGTGCCATTTGTTTTAATGATTTATCATGTTGCTCGTTACGAGTATGTTTCTTCGCGAAGCGTTCCACTTCAGTTGCCGTTCTGCGACTAGTATCCAGCGAACGCACTGAAATAATTTAACGACATCTAGCCTGCTAGTTTATATTGGATTAGATCTTGACAACTAAAAAGAAGAAAATGTTATTCTATGCTAATTGATATACTTTATTATTTGTAATATGCCTGATATATGTAAATATTCGAATTCTTCGACAAATTTCTTCATTTTCAGAAATATCAATGTAAAAAAATGGCATTGAATGTAGCAGATAACGATCCATTTTCGAAAAAACAAACGATTCGCTCACGAAAGAAACGCTTGCAAGAATCGTCGCGTCTTGGACAAAAAAGTCTCCAGCAAGAACTCGAAGCGCTACCATTGTTGAAAGGTACAGGCGAGTTAGTTGGTTCACCAAATGTAACATTCTTCTCTAATTAACATTTCAAATTAACAAAACATTCGTTGATCTTTCGTTGACATTGAATTGCTAAGGTTGCCCATTTGATCAGGTTTCATACGTACAATTCACAATTGTATTTGTTTAAAAGATGAATAATAATAATGACTTCTCTTTTACTTGCGTAGATGCACCGACTGATCAACAGGAGAAACTATTCGTCGATAAATTAAGACAATGCTCGGTTATATTCGATTTTTCCGATTGTGTGAGTGATCTGAAAAGCAAAGAAATCAAACGTGCATGTCTCAATGAAATTGTCGATTACATAACTGTGGCAAGGAACTGTTTGACGGAGAATGTCTATCCCGAAGTGATTCTTATGGTTCGCAAGATGACTTTCGCATAGTCGAACGAAAATACATGTTTTTCTGTTTTCCAGGTATCCACAAATCTTTTTCGTATCTTATCGCCGACAGGTGTCGATAGTCTATCTGATGATGCTGGTGCTGAAGAAGACGAGCCAACATTGGAAGCGTCTTGGCCGCATACGCAAATCGTCTACGAATTCTTTTTACGATTTTTGGAATCGGTTGATTTCCAACCCAGTTTAGCAAAGAAATATATCGATCAGAAGTTTGTCCTACAAGTAATGATCGAAGATAAGCTATTCAAAGAAAGATGTTCTTCTGCTTTAGTTACTGGAACTATTTGACAGTGAAGATCCACGTGAAAGAGATTTCTTGAAAACGATTCTTCATCGAATCTACGGAAAATTTCTTGGCCTCCGAGCTTTCATTCGAAAACAAATTAATAATATCTTTTTAAGGTTTGCATCTTCTCCTTCAAGCAATACGAAATAACTCGTCCGGAAGAATTGATCTGAATCGTGAGAGAAAACACATCTAGCGCCTCAGTCATCAAAATTTATTAATAACGCATTAGTGATCATTTTCTCTGATTTTCCACGTTTTCTATCGTCTAATGAAAACGTCTTTATCGATACTTCCTCCTCCTTCTTGTAGGTACGTGTATGAATACGAACGGTTCAACGGTGTTGCTGAACTACTTGAAATTCTTGGAAGGTACATTACACTGGATAACTTGTATTGAGAAGATTCATTTTCATTCCTTTTAGTATTATCAACGGATTTGCTGTGCCATTAAAGGAAGAACACAAAGTATTTCTCGAGCGCGTGCTAATGCCATTGCATAAAACTCATTCACTAGCTTTATTCCATCCACAAGTAAGAAAAGTGAAATTATTTAACGTTCAATTTTCTAGACTGCTTGTGTCCTTTTAGTTAACTTATTGTATTGTGCAATTCATCGAAAAAGAAACATCGTTAGGTGAATTGATTATCAAAGGTTTGCTTAAATACTGGCCAAAGACAAGTTCCGTCAAAGAAGTATAGACATACTCATTATTTTCACACAAACAGGCCCGATGTTTTCTCTAGATTTTGTTTCTCAACGAACTGGAAGAGATTCTTGATATCATCGATGGACAAGTGTTTAAAAGTGTCTGTATACCACTTTTTAAACAAATTACACGATCAGCCACGTCATCACATTTTCAAGTAACTAATTGCATCGGTATACATACAATACATTTCATTCAATCTTGCTTTTTTCCAGGTAGCTGAACGTTCTTTAGCTTTATGGTCGAATGAATACGTTGTTCAAATGATTGAGGAAAACATTGAGCAAATCTTACCTGTGCTACTTCCGCCATTATGTCGAATATCGAAATCGCATTGGAATACAAATATCATAACACTGGCATACAATCTATTGAAAAATCTGATGGACATCAATAAGAAACTATGTGATGATGTGCTAAATGCCATGCGAATCGAAGAGGAAAAGTAGGTTTGGTTTCCGGGTTGCTTCTTTGGAGTTATTTCTTTTTGTTCGATTACAGATCGGTGACTAAAGAAAAAGAACGAATCAATCTTTGGCAACAATTGGAAAAGATGGGTCTAAAGAACAAGAATACATGATTTTTCGTTCGTTTTTCATCTTATTTCCTATGCATTTGTTTGTAGTCTTTACTTTTATTTTATTTTTCTTGATTAAACAAAATGTACAAGTGTATTCTCTTTGTTGTTGATTATGACACATGTTTTCTTCTATTTTACACTTGTCCCCAGTTTTTTCTCCTGAGATTTCTTGACGATGAGATGAACTTATTCGATGTGCACTTGTTTTACTTGCAACAGAGAGAAAAGAATATCTATGTGTACAAAATCGTTCTAGTTGTAGCTTTGGCTTTTTTGAAAAACAAGTGATAAGAGAGAGATCGACAAAATAAACTTCTTCTTTTCTTAATTTCAATCGGATTTCGGATAGAAAAAGAAGCTGAATGCAGCGTTACTGATAGGTTGAAGTATATTTTATTGCGAATTCAGAAAAGAAAACAAATATAATGAATGGTTGATATTATTTCATTTGCATACACAAGAAAAGAGAAAAGATGAGCATAGCAATAGAGATAGAATTTGAAAGGGTAGCAGATGAGGCTTCGGTTGTCGTCGTTGTGCTTGTAGTAGTGGTTGTGGTTGTTGTTGTTGTTGTTGTTGTTGTTGTCGTAGTAGTAGTAGTTGTTGTTGTTATAATCAGCTCAGGCACTTTGAACACTTTTTTGGAATTATCATCAGTGGAACAAAGGGGATATTTTTGATGGTTTTCATAGCATGCAAGCACATTATATGTATGCTCACTTTTTTGTTCATAGTCATGCGATCCTGTATATACTGTGCTTCCCGCCTTGCCAATCTCCTTATTATCGACGATGACTTTGTAAGTAATGCTTGGATTCAAAGAGGAGCTTGGAGAAGATTGCCACGTAAATCGAGGTCTTAAGAGACCTGTAGGAAACTCATGTGCGATATTAAGAGGAGCTAAAGGACGGTCGAAATCTGTTTTGATTTCTAAATTTTTGGATTCTGCTTTTGCTCCGTCGGTGGGCTCTTTACAGGTTAAAATGAATTTGTAAGTGGTGTGTGGCTTGAGATATGGAATTGTTGAAGTGCCCGTTTTTTTGTCTTCCGCCAACTTAACTTGAGTGGGTGGGTCGAATGCATTATCGATGCGCACTTCGCACTCACAATTTGAACAATCGGTGATCTCTGCTTCTAAGCTAAAAAGAGCGAACGTAGAAGTAGAAAAGTCAAATTAGCGACTAAACTCACTCGACATGCGTATCGTAAATACCAGTTTTATCAGCACCATGCGATTTAAAACCAGTGATTTTCAATTCTGCATATGCTAATGCAAGAAATAAAATGAAGCAGAGTAATTGTTGTTGATATCGATGCATGTTTCTCACACGTATAAAAGTTGAAAAATGATAAGACTGGGCGATGATTGAGTCTTTTATTCGGCGGATTTTTAGTGAAAATAGAGAAAGATCGGAATATCGGCTTTCAATAATATTTGCAAATAACATAAAAAAACGAGAGAATCACCAAGAAAAAAGATAACGTCATTGTAGAAAAACGTCGATCAGTATTGATTTGTAAGATAACAAAGAAAAATAAATCACTATCTACATGATTCTACTCATACCACTGAGTAATATCATCCATACGATACGAAAAGTTATTTCTGATATGAAAAGCAGCGAGCATCTTCGTTGTTTTCTCATGACAATGACTAACTGTAGTGCGTCATCGGATCCAAAATAATGCTTCGATTTTTCGTTCGTTCATATAAACAGAATCCATTTCGAAATACTAGCATGAGATTCTCGCATGTAGATTGTCACGACTTGTATGTGCATTTCAAATCAATCAAAGCGTAAAATCAAAATTCGAGTTCAATCAGTCTACTAAAAATCATTGATTAGCATAGAGAACACTGACGCGCAAGGCTATTCTTAACAGTGTACGTATGAATTGACATGACAACAAAATGAGTTTCTTCAGACGACTGATTGACACACCCTGTACAATTAAATTAGAATACGTTTGTCATCGTTCATAGATTCACTTGTTGTTTTAATCACGGAGAGTAGTGCGAAGATTCGTCTTTGTTATTAGAAGTCTATATCAGTTAGTAAGGAGGATTTGAGTGTAAAGCTTTCATTTGCTTTCAAGTGATTTTTTATGAGAAATTATCATTGGCCCTGATCGATCATCATTGATTTATAGTCTATCATCTGCTTCGTCTTGGTGCTTGTTGTTGCAAAAAAAAGAGTCATTTTCTAGTAGGCGGATCGTCAGATGAGAGAAAGAGAACAGATGTATGGTCTTGTCCGAGAGCGAAAAAAGTCATTCACAATGAATAGAATTTTACTGCAAAGGAATCGGTCGTGTCTACCCGTTTGACCGTCTCTTTGCTCGCGTTCGATGATGGACAAACGAGCCGTAGAACGATGAACTCTCACGACTGCAGAACGAGCAGAATAAAAATGCAAACATATTCACTCGCATATATATATATACACATATACATCTTTTTTCCCTTTTTTTTCCTTCAGAATTAATGTGTGAACTGCAGGAAAAAAAGCATTATTCTTGTTGCTCTAATTGAACAACTCGTGTGACTTCTCTAAAAAAAAGATTAGCCAAATTCGTCGCTACGGATGAGTATCTACCGAAATGTGAAATGCGTCGTCGTCGGTGATGGAGCGGTCGGAAAAACATGCTTACTTATGTCATATACCACCAATGCTTTGTAAGTATCTTTTTTCATTATGATATTCTGTTAATCATACAATTTTGAAATTTTAGTCCGGGTGAATATATCCCAACAGTGTAAGTTGGAGGCACTTATTCCTACGAAAATTAAAAACGGGAAATTTTTTATTAGATTTGACAACTATTCTGCAAATATGATGGTTGATAATGAACCAGTTAATCTCGGCTTATGGGACACAGTAAGACATACTTTCTTGATATTCATCTTCTATTGTATTTCTTTTTGTGTTTCTCTTAGGCTGGCCAAGAAGGTACGTGTATTTGACTCGATCGATTTGAATGTCAGTCGAATACAATTCATTATCAATTTAGATTATGATCGTCTTCGTCCGTTATCTTATCCTCAAACCGATGTGTTTCTCGTGTGTTACAGTGTTGTGAATCCTGCTTCCTTTGATAACGTTCGCGCCAAATGGTCACCCGAAATCAAACACAATAATCCGGACACACCAGTTGTTCTTGTCGGAACAAAATTAGATTTACGCGACGATAAACACACCGTCGAAAAACTTCTAGTAGGAAGTTCAATATTTAGTTCGACGTTTTCACTTTCTCTCTTCTCTCTATACTAGGCAAGGAAATCAACACCAATCACAACACAAAAAGGTTCAGTAATGGCACAGGAAATTGGTGCTGTCGCCTATATTGAATGTTCAGCATTGACACAAAAGAATCTAGCACGTGTCTTCGATATTGCCATTCGGGCAGGACTTGGAAAATATCCCCAAATGAAACAACGCAAGAAGCAACAATGCCTTCTATCCTAAGGATTCTTATTCAATGTTTATAAATAGATCGTGTAAAGCTAAATAAATAAGTATATGTGTATAGGAACACAAGAAGTGTTTTTCTTTTATTTGAAAAAAAAAGAAATTGAAATAATGTTATTTGAGAGCTAGACGTGCTTTTTCAAGAATATCTTTTCGAACACGTGTGTGGTCTGGATATCGTTGAAGAATCTAAAGAGAATACACGAGTTATCACTGTAATGAAGAAGACACATATTGCTTCAAATGGATACTTACAAAATGTGCGATATCGATAGCATCCGTCAATCGTTTGGACTTAAGATAGCTCAATGCAAGTTTGTAACCTATTGAGAATGAGAACAATTATTGAGAGTTCACTTGACAAAGATTAGTTATTAAGATACTGTCAAATAGATCTTATGCTTGATAGATCTTTTTTTCTCATGATTGCTATCAACGTTTCATTGGTGACGTTCATTCTTTATTTTCGAAAAAGAAAGCAAGCAACACCAGCTCAACTTAAGCCATTCTATTCAATTTCTGAAAGCTTAGTATAACTAAATATATTTTAAGAGGAGCCGGAAAATGAATATAGTATTTGCTATTTCTATTCTTGATCTTGAGCTGCAAAGTGCATCTTAATAGTTTTCGCAGAGCATTACCTATTGTCGGTTGATTTTTTCGACTGTATTTCCATGCTTGTTCGTAATTCTCTGCAGCGTCTTTGTTGGCGCCTGTTTGTTCATTCATCACTCCTAATGTTTCCAATGCTCGTGTTGAACACTATTGAGCAGACAAAGGAAATTAATCAGAAAAAACGGCTTATCTCATTGTACCTTATTAACACTCAACACTTTTTTACATAGTTCAAGTGCTTGATCATATTTTGCTGTTTGTACATAAGTCATGGCAAGCATGAGCCAACATTGTTCGATCTCATCAGCATCATCCATATTCCAAGTCATCTTCGCCGTTCTTTTCAGATATTGTCGTGCCTTTTGAACATCTTTCAATCCGATATAACATTCGCTTATCGCACATAATGCACCAATATTGTCTTTCTAAAACGAGACGAAGATTCATCAAACATGCATATGCGAACAAAACGATTACATGATCATTGAGAATCTGTATTAAATTGTCAGCTGCTTGCTGAAGACTATGCTTTTCATTTGTATGAGCCAAACACCAATTCTCAAATACACGATATCGGACATCATTCGATGCTTCACCCATACTCTACAAAAAGACGATGATTGTCAACTATCAGAATTGAAAACAATAGCTGACTTGTAAAAGATTGAATGCTGTTGCTTGTGCACTTTTTGCTTCATCTGATCGAGAGCTAAACGATCAGAGCACAATCAAGATCTAGAAAGTCGATAGTGGTGGTCAATTGCACATACCCATGTAATCTTCTTTTCCAATCCTCTTCACTGGCTATGACTTCATTGTCTGGGTTTAAGACAATTTTAACCATGGCATAAACAGCTTGTCGGCCATATTGTTTGTCACGACGACATTTATTGAAACAGGACAAAGCTTCACTTGGTTTACACGAATAACTAGAAGTGAAAAAGGAAATGCTCGACTCTTTCGGTAATTGGTTCATTTACTAAGATAGTAAGCCTTTTGCAAAGTTGAACGCTGCGTCATTAAATGCTCGTAAATTATTCTTTTCGGTTTTTTCTAAGATTTCACTAATTTCATCTATACGTCCAGCGCGATACAATGATTTGGTCATTTGCACGAACGGATCGAAATTATCTAAATGGACAAATAAGTTTAGTTAATGAAAATCAAATCTATCTACTTGGATTGCGTTCGATAATATCTTTGTACTGTTGAATTGCTTTTTCAATTTCGTTCTTCCGTAATAAATAATTCGCCATCATCTAGAAATTGTCCATATGATAAAAAATATGTGAATGTGTTTCGTGTTCAAATAACCAACTTACAATTTGTACTGAATTATCATTCGGAAACGATTTGTTCATATAATTACAGATTTGTTCACATAGATCATATTGTTCTGAATTGAGATATGCTTTTGCTAACATCATTTGTACCTAAAACAGACCGCCATTGACAAACACTGCGGAATGCCAGTGAAAAACTAACTTTTAAATTTCGATCATCAATCGCACTAGCTTCTTTCAAATCTTTGATTGCCGATTCGTAATTATGTTCATCGAAATACATCATTGCCAATCGATAACATATGCTATAACATACAAAAATACAGATCTCATTTCTGCATGGACTTTTTCAGACATACTTGCAGTACAATTTTTGATTTTCTTTCTGAAGTTCGCCTTCTTCCAGTTGAATTCGTTTGAGTAATTTCTTTTGGTTGTCTTTAGCTTTGATTAAATACTGTTTAGCCTCTTCGAATTGTTTCACTTGTTCGTAGATGTTCGCATAGATTTCATAGGCTTTAGTTACTTGTTGTGCATGTTGAAAATTCGAGTTGGGAACTAAAATGAGTATTGATTGGCGAAAAACATTCAAGAAAAACTACCTTCTTCTTTCAGCAGTTGATCGAGAATTCTTTGTGCAAGTTCAATTTGATTTAATTTACTGAGAAGATCAGCAAGATTGATTCTAAATGAAGAAAAAGGATGAGAAGAATTATTTGGTTTCTCTTTCGTCATACCTCAATTCACTTTGAGGTTCAGCTTTCACGATCGCTTCGTAATATTTAATCGCTTTTGTATATGCATGAGTTTTAATGTAAGCTTCGCCAATTTTCTTCATTAATGTGACATCACGATTATTCTGACGAAGTGCAGCATCATAAACTTCAATGGCTTTGTCCGGCTTAAAGAAGACGAGAGAATATCGCATTCTAGCAGAAACTAAAACGTAATTCGACAAACCTCCATAATGCTCATATACGCATCTCCGAGAATGACTAGCGCTTGCGGTGTTGGATCTCGTTCTACTAATTCCTTGTAAGTTTTTATGTATAACTTCTTATCTCTACGATGTTTTAAATAAATTTCTGCCAGTTTCTCTCGTGCTTGTACATAGCAGGACTGATCAGATTTTATTTGCATTAGAGTATCGATAGCTTGGTTGATATCACCACGTTTCAAAGCCAAATCCACATTTGTTAGTAATATTCTCGATTCTTCACTGGTACCTTGAAATTCGGCCGACGCTTCTTGTAAAAGAATGCTCGCTTCATGTACACGATTGAGTAGGAGCTGTATTTCTGCTAGTTCAAGATAGACACTAACACGATCTTGAGTGGAAATTTGTACACTCGACGCATTCGCGTCCGATTTCATTCGGGGCGTTCGGGCTGTTTCAGGTTCTTTACGTTTTTTCATTCCGGTTAGACTCAATGCACTTTGTAACAATTTACAAGCTTCTTCATATTTCTGTTCTTTTTTAAGAATACGTGCGCGGATTAAATGATAAATTGGATGACTTTTCAATTCGAAATTGTACGATAAACCATTTTCTAAAGCATCGTATGCTGAGTGAATATTTCCTTCACGTGTATAAACTTGCGCTAGAAGAATATATGCATCGGAATAAGTGGCTTCTTGATCAATAATTCGACGAAGGACATTTTTAGCTTCAGCAGTATCTCCACAAAGATATTTCACCTTGGCTAAGAGAAATAAACCTTCGAGCAAACCGGGTACAGCTTTTGTCAATTGTTCTAAAATCGCACTCGTTTTTCGAAGGGATGAATCGAGAGCTTGACCAGGTTCAACAGGCTAAATGCAACGAAATGTTATAGTTTTAGTCGGTTATCGTCATTACCTTCGATGAAGTGTTATTCATATATTCACGGATAATTTCGAGAATGAAATCTGGATTTAAACATAGAAGATACTTTTTGCCTAGTGGTAAACCCTGCCGAAGAGAAGAATATTCAATGAAAATATCTTGAAAAGATCTAAACACCGACTCGAAGATTTTTAAAATGTTGCTCAGCGGCTGTATCAAATAGTTGTACAATTTGATCAGTTGGTAGAACATTCTCATGTTTAGCCAGAAGAGCCTTGAGATGTGCCAACTCCTACAAGACAAATTCCAATCCTAAATAATCAAAATCGATCAATATCTTCTTACAGCAGCATTTCCCGTTTGTGTTTCACTTTGAAACTCAAGCTGTTGTTTGGCTTCACCAAACTTTCCTTCCAGTATTTGACAGTGAATAACCCCTATAAATATTGTTCACTGAGAAACCGATTATTTATTACACTGTGCGAACGAACCGTAAACAGCTTCGAGATTATCCGATTGTGTTTTTGCTGCATTTTTGTAAAATTTAATAGCATCATTAATTTTATCTGCCATCAGTGCCTGGTAACCACCCTCAATGAGATAATCCGTATTTGATGGATCGAGTTCGAGAGCATGTTGAAGCAGTTCATGACTATGTTGAAGAATTTGCGGGTTTCGTCCACACTAGAAGTATTGTTTTTCATCACCAATCACGCAAGGAATTCTCTATACATACTACTCTAGCGACGACTTGAGACATTTCATAATATTGCCAAGCACCTTTTGGTTCAGATATATCAATTGCTTGTACTAGTTGATTGAATGCTTGTTGAGCCTATAAAATGAATTCTGTACATAATCGAAGTTCCTCTTGTTCGATATGACTTACATCACTATAATTGCCTTCTTTACATACTAAATACAAGTAATGATATTCGTGTGCTTCGACACAATTGGAATCAATCCGAAATGCTCTATTCATGATGTAAACAAACTGACTTTTCTTTAACTTGTATTGTCGAATAGAATTACCTTTGAGCAACGTCTTCACATTGTTCCCAATCTTGCATACATAGTTGCAGCTTCATGTTTTCTAACACTGCTGGCAAATAATCACTCCTGACTGCTAACACTCGATTAACATATTCCAGTGCTTGAGAAAAGTTCGATCGAATTTCACGATACTTGGCATAACCAAACGCGGCATCGGGAAAAGTACCATCGAGTCTATACCGATCAAAATCAAAGTTAAGAAAACAAACTCGAATCTGATTACTTCAAAGCAGCTTCGAAATATTGTTTGGATTCTTTTGCAACATCTGTTGCAATTAAAATCCAACCTTTCAAGCTTAAAGCCTAGGAAAAGATATCGAAATACGTCAAGTACAACAGGAGAATATTGTGCTTTTTACCAAAGCGTTCGATGCGTTTTGTTTGGTTGCTCGATCAATGTACTCGGTCGCTTTCTCCGGTTTACCGATAATGTACAGTGTATGCGCAGCAAAAAACAATGCCTACATATCAGAAATACTAGATTTTACAATACACAGTACGCAGAGTATCTCGTTTACCATATCATCCACTTGTTTACGTAATTCTTTGACTTTGACTTCATATTCACTTATTGCTTCACGATCTACATGAAATCAACAGAAAATGATTGCAAAAGATTGACTGAATAGATGTATACCTGGATTTTTATGCTGTTTATGAGCATGAATTAATGCTAGAAGTGCAGCAACGGTTAACTCTGGTCTGCTACGTAGTTGTTCCAATTCACGCATTGACTCGTTTAAACGTCCTAGAATGTTCATTTAATGAAAAAAAGCGTTTCCTTGCTCGCTTCGTAGAGTCCAGTCAACTTACCATTCATAAGTTGGGCTACTGCAGAATAGAACTTCAATAAGCCATCGTTAACATAGCGTTTCAAAGCTTCATTTGCTGTTATATATGCTTGATTATAATACTTTCCACGAACATAGTAGAAAACCTTGCTCTAGATATGGAGAAAAATCAATTTGAATTTAATAAATTTAACCTTAATCGCTTACTAAAGTAAAGAGATCTTTTTCGGCCATTTATCAATTCTTTGCAATATGAACCAAATACTCAACGCTTGAATGTCTACCATCGATATTGTTCGAGTCAGGCAATGTGTGTCGGCAACAACCTCTTTCATTATACGTATAGATGTCGTTGGTTGTTTTATATTCAAATGCAAATATTTCTCAGATTTCAATGAATTTTCTTCATGAAAAATATTTAAAAAACGAAATGAAATTATTTGTGAATGTTTGATCAGGAAATCCTCTTGATTGATTCTCTGGAACAGGTCATTCATTCATACATACATTCATTATTTTGGTACAAACTAGCAGAGATCCAAATTCAGATGTCATCAGATCCACCCGTTGATCTGGGCCCTGCGGAAGAATCTGAAATGCCAGCAATTCTCCGTGACGATGCATCGAATCACATTATCGAAATTCCTATTCAATCACCAGCGAAAGACGAACCATCAAACTCTGAAAATAATTCGAATTCTGATAGCGACGATGACGACTTTCCATTTGATTTAACCTTTGAATGGCTCGATGAACAAATGCGTACTGGTACAGATCTACATCCGTTTCTTTCTCGGATCATACCCGGCTTACCTCAGGATGTTTCTCAATCGACAATGTACGAGATTCTCATGAATCTCTTTTTACCGATACGTCAACGAAAGGCACTCGAACAATATAAAACCCTCGACGATGCAGTTGAACTGATACGTACTCGTAAAAATATTCTTGTTCTAACTGGTGCTGGTATATCAGTTAGCTGTGGAAGTAAGTCCTCTGTTCCATCGGAGAAATTTGCATACGAATCTGCTTGTGATTTAGTTCCTGATTTTCGTTCTCGGAATGGTATCTATGCTCGTTTACGTGAAGAATTTCCTGAACTACCGAATCCTCAATCAATGTTTGATATCGAATATTTCACTGACGATCCTCGACCATTCTTTCGCTTTGCCAAAGAGATCTGGCCTGGGCAGTATCAACCGTCGTTAGCTCATCATTTTATCAGCGAACTAGAACGACAAGATAAACTATTGAGAAATTATACTCAAAACATCGATTCATTGGAACATCTATGCCCAATCACACGACTAATACAATGCCATGGATCATTCTCAAGTGCCACATGCCGTGTCTGCCATCATTCAGTGAAAAGTGACGAGATCAAAGAAGAAATTCTACAACAAAAGATACCACATTGTCCCAAATGTCCTGCAGATCGACCGGATGCTATTCTTAAGCCAGACATTGTTTTCTTCGGTGAACAACTACCAGATGATTTTCACAAAGCTATATCTCTGGATAAAAGTCAATGTGATCTTTTAATTGTGATGGGTTCAAGTTTAAAAGTGAAACCAGTTTCGCTCGTATCAGAATTATTATCGAGTGACATCCCCCAGATTCTCATTAATCGTGAACGATTGCCACATAAAACATTCGACATCGAATTATTGGGCAACTGTGATGTGATTATCAACGAAATATGTTCTCGGTTAAGCAAAATCGATCCAGTATTTGGACAAATTAAAAATGTACAAGAGAAATTTTTGAAAGAAATCGCTTATGAAAATTTCTTACCGACACAAGAACCCGAGAGGAAAAAACAAAAACTTTCAACAGATAATAATGATCAACAACCTTCATCCGAGTCGGAACTTTTAACAACTGAAACATCATCTTCACCGAAACAGATCTTGTCATCATTGAAGAATTCTTCAGTGTTTAATGACGAGTCATCATATGTCTATTGTCCACCAAGACGGTACATATTTCCCGGCGCGGAAATAGATTTCTCATCAGACGATGATGAGAATGACGACGACGACGACGACGACGATGATGATGATAGTAGTAGTTATGAGACAGAAAATGAAGAAGAACTACCGAGGAAAAATGTGGAATGATTCGATAGTTTGTTTTTTAGTTCTTATTGTTTTCTTTTCGTTTATTTATTTATATAATGTCAAAAAAAAACGAAAAAAGAGATTAGAAGTTCTCAATAGATAGAACGCATATATGTATATGAAGAGAGATGTACATATGACGAACAATACAATATCTAAGGTAATAAAGAAAGTATTCTCTGTTTACTTACATGCATATGAATAGATAGATAGATTTGTATAATACATTCTCAAAGAAAAGAAAAATGCTCATTCAGGGAAGAAATAGAAGTTCAATTCTTATGAAAACATTCACGAGAAATCTCTATCGCGGCAAATACATGGGACAATAACAGACCATATATAAAGTACTAAGCATGTCCACGATGAACATATTTTCACCCAAACAGCTGCTTCGCTTTGTCGAAAGTTATAAACATCATTCGTCGGTTTCAGCCAACTAAAAAAAAGTGTAAATGAACATTCAGACCACGTTGGTAAAATTTAATTTACTTTGTTAATGTCATCATCACATAGAATGATGCCAAGAAAAGCATGAAATGAAATAATGAATAGTTATATGCCACCGATTGTTCTTCATCATCGTAACTTTGACCACCTTCTATTAGAATGTAAAAAAAATGCACTCTATTAATAAACTCCATACAGTCAATTTGTATTTACCAGTATCAGGGATTGGCGCTCCAGTTTCTTCATTTCCCGATATACCCAATAGTTTACCACCTGATGATTTAGTTGTACTTGTGAGGCTAAAATTACGTACGCTTTATCTCATAGAAATTCATTTGTTTGTCACATTCTTACGCTGAATAAATAATCAGCCCGAAGAAGATGACTAATCCTACAATCGATGAAACGCCAACCGAACCATTTCCACTAGGTTCAATGGCAGTCGAATTTTGATTCGTAACCAGTCCATACCATGACGGATTGCATATTGGATCTAAATAACGTATTCACTTGTCGATATTCTCTTCTAAACTTTGTTTCATACCTGGCTTTTCACTCGTAATCGCTGACCAAGTCAAGAAAATCACATACAACGTAACAAACGATGATTGCAATAAACCCGAAGTCGAATGGTAATTTTGAACGACTGGTAAGACCGAAACAACTGAAGCAACAATACATAAGACCAAATTGATCGTGATGAAGAATATATTCAAGCCGCAAGATGCTTTTGATGCATAGTAAACATAAAGAAGGACGACTGCAACAATCGATAGGATGTAGAATGACGCAGTAAAAAATATTAAGCCAACATAGTGCTTTTTACTACCATCTTCACCCCTGGCAACCCAACTTTCATTCCAGCTACGAATAGAAAAAAGAAAATCTGAAATGCTTGAAATTCTATTTAGGTAAATATCCTACAGACCTATGGGCAAAATCAATGATAAGGATTAATTGGATTAATATGAATAAAAATCCGCAGATTGTTCCAATTACCATCAGAGCTAATTTTAAAAAGAAAGAGCGAACAATGACTAAATCAATGTTGAGAAATCAATTGATTTACTCGGTGCAAATCCTTGGTTTGGAATAAAAAATGCTCCGATACAAATACCAATGATAATTAATATTTTCCAAAACCAAAATCTAGAATCAGCTCGATAAAGAAACGTCTCCATCAGTACAAGTTTATAAATACCCATTTTGAATTGCACTTCGCGGATCTTTCGATCGTTTCACACATAACATTAAAATCATCATGAGAAAGAAAAAGCATGCCAAAGAAAATTGAATACGATATACACTTAAATAACCAACAATTTTGTCACATTCAATTTGTCCTTCAAAGATCTCCAGATTGCTAATTGTCCCGCCTTTACACAGTGCTGGAATCTAAAGAAGAAACAATCACATTTCTGCACAATTGATCGACTCTCCTACCTTCGCAAGTGTATGCGCTAAACCAGGTATCAAGAAAATCCATGAAGTAATCATCCCGACAAGTAAAAGTACGCCATATGCTAAGCGTGTCACCAATGAATTTCGTGTCGACGGACAGCAAGCACAGCAAAGACTACACGCTGCTGAACCACAACAACAGCCAAGCTATAATGAAAAAAAAGCAAACGAAAAGCATTATTGTATGTTTATTAAGTGCTACAACTTACTGCGCCAAGAGCACAACCCATGTTTGTTTAACTTTCAATCTGAAGTACAAGTTAACAATGGCAATGGAAGGAATGTTATAGTGTGAGGAGAAAAGAAAAGAAAAGAATTGATGTCTTCGCGAAGGAATACGAGACTAATTATTTATTTAAAACGAATAAGGCTGCAAGAATTCTTATAGTCAGTTACTCATCTAACCTCAATTATTTATTTATCATGTGAGACATGCACAGTATTTGTGTTGCGTATGTGTATGAAGTTTTTTTGTTTCTTTCTCAGTGAATCATTTTTGCCGTTGTAAGAAAATGACGTCAGAGGGCGCTGATAACCAGTTCGATGGAATGAATGACGCATCTTTCGTAAAGCAGAAGAAGAAGAAAGATGATGCTTGCTACTTTTATTAAAAAGAGATGGTATGTGTTTCGCATCTCTATCTCTTATCAGAGTTACTCTAATAAAATATTAATCATACTATAAAATTCTCCTGTACGTCATTTCGATGCTTAACAACGAAAACTTCTTGCCATAGCAGTCGTTTGAAGGAAAAAACTGATTACCTGTAAGTCAACGACTCTTGAAAATAAATCAATCGACGTATAATGGCAGAAAAATACGAAAAAATATTTGGAATATGAATCATAGATTATATTTCAAATTTGAATAAGAAAGCGCCCCGATTTTACATAGTGATATGGCGAAGAATCGCAGTATTCGAGATGCATATATCGCTGACTTCTTCGAGCGTTTTTGCAACGATGAAATCTGACAAATGCGTGAATAACTCTACCGCTTTGACTTTAGTTGAAGATAATAAGTAGTTTATTATTCCGCTGCATAGTTTTGTCGAAGAGAATCATGCGCAGATTTTCCGGTCTGGAGTATTTTGAGAGATTGCATCTAAAATTTACTCTTCTCTATATTTCTCGTTTATGTTCATGAAAAAAAGATGATCCCTTCGAAAGATTATGCTTCTCGAAGAGCTTATTATATGATGTGTTCTCCTTCGCACTGTCTTACCTTTTCTGTCGTACGGATTTCGTCCTAATTTTAAATACAAGACACTTCAACATTTGTTTCAAGGTCGAATTATAATTCAATGATGAAGCAGAAATCCTTTGATTATACACTGAATTTCATCGTTCAAGTCAGTTATAGGAAATTTATTTTTCAAACTTATGTTAACGCATCTTCTCTACCAGATACCGGATGTTCCATTGTGACAATTTCTTGATCTTCTTGTGCGTGATGATTTCGAACGCGAAAACTAATATTTCGAAATGTAAGACCACCTGTCGCAGACGAATTCGCTTTTCTTCTAATTAAAAATCCAACGAGAAGCACAATCGAGACACCTGCTAAAATTCCAACACCCATTCCGCCGAGAACAGCACTTGCCTGTGCGCCATCGGAATACTGAATTTTTTCTTGAACTTCGTCAACATATTCTGTTATTGTTCGATTGACATGGACAGTTGTATTGTGGAAATAATCGACTGGATTTACACTTGCATTTGGATTAAATACATAGAAATACTGAACATCCTCTAGTGAATTCGGAATAGCTTCGATTGACAGACCTTCTTCTGTTGTTAGTTGAAATGTTCCAGCGTTAATTGCTTGTTCGAGTTTCGTTTGAGCATCGAGTAACTCAATTTCACTTGAAGGATCAACAAAAGGTGTACGATCAAGAAGAGTAAATATACAATAGAGAGTATCATTATGACCTGCTTGCTTTGAATGGTGATCAAGTTCGAGTCCAGATATTCGAGACAGTTTCACTGCCGTAATGCTTCTTATCTGTTCACGGAGACGTTGTGCTAAATGACGTCTAGAAAACAAATCTGACAATGAAGATATAACTCTAGGAGATGAAATTACCGATGAATTGTGCTAGCTTCCAGACCGTCGGATGTAGGTTGACCGGTTATTTTAAGTTTAAATGCTAAATGGTTATACCATAGTTGGTTAGATCGATAGCACAAATTAATGTCGAACTCGTTCAAATAAACGTTTGTATCATAATCATAGAACTCATAGTGGACGTTTGCAGGTGGTCCACCGGTGTTTTTGTAAAGATTTAGATTCAACGAAACTGGATAATCGTAGGGAGAGGATGGAATGTCGATGTTTCGTTTTGACCAAGCCCATTCGACATCTGTTTTTAACCACTCTTCTTGAATATCCGGCGGAAATAGAGGTATTTGTCCAACAAGAGTCGAGCAGTTCATTGATCCACGACATGCACGAGATCCTGTCGATTGAAACATCCGATGTGGCGGATTCGTCATAAGTAAATTCTGATATTTAATTAACATCTCGATGGGATTATGTAAAACTGATGTCGCTAAAACGATTTCAACAGAATCATTTATTATACATGAACCAGTTCGACGATCAATTTTGTACGAACGTGATGCACCTTGCGTATAATCAATGATGATCGTAACTGGATTTTTAGTGTTATCAAATGGTGTATAATCATAACGAATGAATTTGTCTTCATTCGATGAATAATATCGAAAATTCACCGAATGCCAAAGAAGCTGTGATGTACTGGAAGCATCAATGCGGACTCTAAATCTGTCAGGAAAATTCATACCGACATCCTGTAAACTGGACAGATCATCAGCGGGTACTAGATTTTCGCAGAAAATTCCGCCCGGTAGAACAAACGCTGTACTAGTAAGTGTGATTTGGTAGTTGAAGATATTCATAACTTGTAAAACAACACCGTCAGATTTGCGCTTGAGAAGACTTTGAACGGGAATAGTATAGCTTTCTGGATTCCATGGCATCAAATAATTAGGTTTTGCAAATGACCAAATCATATCCGATTCGTTGGACATGGTTGAGATCCACTGATGGACAAGAATGAAACCACGTAGAACAGCTTCTCCTTGATAGGTGGCATTCGGCGGGAAACCCAATAATTCATCTAACGGACGAATATGCGTTGTTCCATCTTGAGGATTCATCATGGCAGAAAGTCCATCGAGTGGATTATCAATGTCGATGGGATACACATCACAGCGTTTCAAACCGTTTCTTGTGTAGACAGCTTTCTGATGTGTAGTATAATTATAATACGTAAACGTTCGATCATCAATGGTCACAAGTCGATTATTATCATAATCATATCGAATTTCGCTGAGTATACGTTGATACTGACCGAGAGTAACAATATTTTCAATAAAAAAGTGTCCCTGTCGAGGAAATTTCGGGTAGGTCACATTATCGGCCCCGTGAACTCTATCTATCAGGATAAAAACTGTAATAACGGTGTATAGGTTGAAAGTGCACATCGCAAATGGTTAAGTAACTATGTTCGTCGTGTTGCCTCTTATCACAACCAGATCACGCCCGTTATCATTCTATTCAACACTCCTCATGTCTCGTAACCTAACATTGTTAATTGTCGTCTTGCTTGCATGCAGATTTTCTTGTCAGCAAATTGATTTCAGTATTTGTCCAAACGGATTAACTAATGCTCCATCCGATCCACAATGGCCAAGCATTCTACCGAACCATTTCGAGCTATCGGCCGAATTAACAACCGATGTTGAAACAATTGAAGTAACTCAATCGTTTCTCGGACCATACAGGGATGTTGTGTACTTTCATAGTTATGAGACGACTTCTAAGACATATTCTGACTTTGACACCAATGAACTCTTGGTAGTCTTTGATGATTCTTTATTATGTGATCGACTACCTATTGGATCAAATGACGTTTTACCGTACCTGACTGGTCAAATTGTCAAACCATCTATTCTCTTGGGTTTCACTGGACGAAATAATTACAATAGTGCATTTTATACACGATATCTTGGTATTGAAACTGTTCGAGAGGGTATTCGAGCAAAAAAGTTTCAATCCTGTTTTTTCATTGAGCAAGAGCAGGTCACTATCAATGCAACTTATTATATTGGTGACTCACCGCCTGATCAATCAGCATTGAACGTTCCGTTCGACTTCGTTCAAATCGATGTTCGCTCAAATAATCTGCCCTATACATATAACATTCTTCGCTATGTAACAAATCCATCGTTAACAATTGAGACGCCATCAAATGTGTATTGCCCGAATCGAACGAATACAAAGCCTTTTCCACAAAACCTTCCACCTCGTCTATCTCTTCACTCTGAAATTTATACGCTTAAAAATAATGATACACCATCCAGAGTCGAATCATACAATCGATTGATTGATGAAACACTGCTCTTCGAACGGATCGATTACACAATGAACAAATTGCCATCGGAATTCATACCAAGTGGATTATTGCTTGATTACTCATTAAATTTAAATTATTTATATGCGCGTGAAAGTCAAGAGTGCGTGATAAGGAATGCAACTAGTCACGCGATGGGAACAACAAATGAGATCTTGTTTCAATTCGGCGATATGAACAATACTATTCAATTTCAATACACTGGTATAACGCATTGTAATCGTCCGCATCTTCAATGTCACCGATGGATTGGTCAACAAGAAGTCGGTATATTCAAAAAACAATATGAATGGTATTGGAGTGCAAAATATAATGATATAGACTTACAAGAACTGATTCCAATCCAAGTTTATCTAACAACGATAAGTGAAGCTGGACCATCAAAAATGATCAAACAGGAAACAAGTAAGTTTATCTAAGGAGTGAAAAGGTACTATTCGAATTCGTTTCAAAGATATCTTCAATTATAATTCGCAACCAGATTCTATGCAATTAATCGATACAACAATCGGTGAATGTTATCGAGCACTAGGTCCCAGTCATCAATTTAATTATGCTATACTTCGAATGACGCTGAATAACGATGCAAAATATCCCGTTCATCAACATCTACTATCGTTAGAAAATCGTTTACATATGCAATTGGCCAGTGATCTTCATATTCGGCATATACGACTATCGTCATTCGTCATCGATATAACACGTGACACCACTGATCAGCACAATAAAGACGTTTACGTAACATTTACTCTTCTGGACAATCCACCTGTGTCGAACGAATTGTTGAAAGAGCCACCATCGTTGCAACTGATACGACAATTGGCACAACAAATCAACGAAGGTAAATTCCATATACGAGATAACGACGGTGGCTATGATCTACAAGCTCGACCAAATAGTCTTCGCACACTAGTGCTTTACTTGTTACCATCTGAAAACCATACAAGTTATTTTAATGAGACGATATTTATCTATCACAATGTAACAAATACAATTTATAGACAACGTGAGAAGATCGTGCATCGACATACAGGTCCACTGATTGCTGCTTTTTGGATGGGATTTGCTTTACTAGGTATGATTGTTACATTAGCTATAAGTTCGTTTGTGGCCATAAGAAAATGGATGCCAACAATTAATAATCGCAATACCTAAACGACTGATGAATAATCTATGAACTATCTTTTCAAAAGTACTAACTTTTGTTTTCTTTGCACTGAAAGTGCGAGTTTATTTAACATATGCGAATTCCAGGCGTTTTATTCAATTCAACTTTTTCTGTGAAACTATTTATATGCTTAATAAAATCAAGCATACTATACAGATACTATTTCATGAATATGAACATTTTTTAACAAAAAATTTTAAAAAGTGCTAAGTGAATGTGTGGCATCACTCGTCTTATTCTTTAATGAGGATATTGATGCTGAACTGTCTGCTGCACAGTTCTCACTACTGTTGGTGCGATTCGTCTGTGGTCGACTCGTAATTCTCTCATAGTTCGATTTTTCACTCGTATCCAGAGCTTTTTCCACACTTGATAAAAGCGTATGTCCAATCCAGCAATAATCAGTGGATCGATGGTGATTTCCATAAAATTCAACAGTTGACCAACGAATACTGCAAGATCTCGACCACTAGTAAACTGATAAATGATAATATTTGGAGCCCAGAGCAAAAGCCAGATGGTATAGAAAACAAGAAATTGAATTACTAAAGATCGATGATATTTCTCTCGTGCGGAAACATGATGTCGATTTCTGCGCAAATGCGAAGTCAATCGAATATAATGAACACTTCTATAAATAATAATCACATTGAGACTGATCGGCAGAAAAAAAGCAATGATAACATTGAATACTTCTGCATAGGTGTTCGTATACGCGATATCAAAAACTCCGCCTTCATCCACGCGTAAAGTCGCCCAACCGAATGGAATCTGGATGACCAATATAACCAAAGGAATGATATAAATAGCAAGATGTGACATAGTCAACAATCGTACATTCGTTCGATAGACATTTCTATTTTGAGCAATTTGCATGTGTCGACAAATATTCAATGCTAGTAAGATATATACTTCGAGAATGTTTAGATAATTGTCAGCTATTGCTTCGAAATACACGACAAACGTATACCAAAATTGAGGAGGATAGCAGTCGGTCGATAACGTATGTATGAAAAAGAGGAAGAAAAATCGAACGAGGAGAAGAATGTCCGTAGTGAGATACGCATAGATCCATTGCATAGATTTCTGTCGGATAGACGAAAAGAAGAGAACTTGAAGCCAAAAGAGAGAATGAGTGAAGGTAGCAATGATGCATACATAGAGTACCGGCCGTTGACTTTCTAGACTAGATTGATTCCATAAAAAAGGTGATCGGCATATTATGATGCTAAGATTCATCGTCGTGTACAAAACTGCAAACAGGTTGATGGTATAAGTAGATCAGCTCATTGCTACTACTAATATTATGATCTAAAAAGATGTAGTATACGATTTGATGAGCTACATTAGTTTAATTAGCTTATCTAGAAACGCTGACATTAATTCGACAGATATGACGACAGCGAAAGCTTTTTTTTGTTCGCAAGAGCTCTATTTACATCGCGATGTGCGGAATGTACGTTACATTTATTGAATCAAAGGTTGAAGATTATTATTAATGTATAGCATAATACAGCTAATGCCTTTCCATACCTCGTCTGACGCCTGATCAAGTTCTTTTAGTTTTCATGGGACGTCATGTTAATTACACTAATAAATCCATCTCATTTGAGAATATCCTTTTAAACATAGGATTGCAAATTCGCTAATTCAATTCATAAAATATTGTCAAATAAATCTAACTCTAACAAGGGAAATACTATCCGATGTGTCTTGTAGATAAAGATTATAACTCAATGTTCTGACTTACCGTTTAGTCTTTCAAATCGGCTTCACCCATTATTCTATTCTTTTACGTGTCGATTCAATAATTAATACAAAATGCGACTGACTGGTTCAGCTTTTATCTAACTGTGCGTCAGCAGTTTGAAGCGTGCTCTATTTTCGAGTTTCAAAAACAGTGCTCTTCTGTACGCAACGTAAAAGAGAAGGATATTACTGAAAACGTGTAGCCGATATCAAGAAGAACTAATTGGACCTGGAAAGCTTAACCCATTAAAGACCGCTACTGGCGGCGGATATGAAACGACGTCTTACCATTACAAATCAAGATCGCAAGAAAGAAAATCGCGTATTAAAAAAGACGAAGTGCTTAAATTCCCTGACTAAAAGAATAAAAAAATCTTTTGCTTTTTTCAAAAGATTACTGTATTCCTGTTGCGGCTCAGACCGAATTAAAATCATAATATCGACACATTCAGCGACTGCCAGATATATATCCTGCATTATCGCATGCTAATATATACTAATTCTAACCGAGTACTGCTCGAATCATTAGTTCATTCAGCGAATATGCTTGGTGTCTCTATTGTGCATGATATATAATCTTCACGCCAGGAAAATTAAGATTATCGAATCAAGTCAAATAAATATAGTTACTAATGTATTTGAAGTAAAATTCATCCTATATTGTGAATAGACGTCTTCTCAAAACGTAGCGGAAATTAGATCTGGATTGAATGAATGCTAAGCAGCAAATATTGCCACCTGATCATAATCACTTCTTAACGTCGATATACGGTGCATAGTAATAGCTCAGCGAATGTTGGATACTCATTTACAAGCCGAATAGCATCGGTATCAAAAGTACTTCGAGGGAAATGCCGACTGTTTGCCGGAATCTGCAAGAATTTCTTGTTATTAACTTACTGTATTATTATATGTTTTTTATTTGAAGATATGCACGACTATATTACTGAAAGAATACGTGATTATTTCCAGTTCATTCATGTTGCCGAAGTCTTTTGTGCTCCCAGGGCGAGACGCAAATGGTAGGTTTCAATTTGCATATGGTCCTATTTGCCTAAGGTTGAGGTTCACTCTCAGAGGGAACGTGTCCTTCAGACATTTCCATACGTCTTTCCACACGCGATAAAAGCGTTTGTCTAATCCCGCAATAATTATTGGATCAATGGTGATTTCGATGAAATTCAACAGTTGACATATTGATATGATTTGAATATTTTTACTCTGCAACTGAAATAAGATTATATTCGGAGCCCAAAGCAAAAGCCAGATGGTATAGAAAACAAGAAATTGAATTACTAAAGATCGGTGATACTTCTCGCGCGCGGATATATGACATTGACCTCTACGTAAACGTGAAGTTAGTTGAATATGATGAGCACTTCTGTAGATAACAAATACATTGAGACTAATCGGTAGGACGAAAGCGACCGTAAGATTGTAAATTTGTACGGATGTAGCTGAGAATCTTAAATCACATATGTCACTACTATGAGCATCGAGTTTAGCCCAGTTTAATAAGATTTGCCCCACTAAGTTTACTAATGGAAGGATGTAAATTGCGAGATGTGCCACAATCAATAATCGTGCATTTGTTTCATAGACATTTTTATTACGTGTAATTTGTGCATGTCGACAAATGTTCAATGCAAGTAAGATATATACTTCAAGCGTATTCAAATAATTATCCAGTGTTGCTTCAAAATAACAGATGAATAGATACCATCCTTCACTCGGTCGACAATCGATTACTAGTGTATGTATGATAAAGAGAAAGAAGAATCGAATGACAAGAAGAATGTCCGTAGCGAGATACACGTAGATCCATTGCATAGATTTCTGTCGGATAGACGAAAAGAAGAGAAGTTGAAGCCAAAAGAGAGAATGAGTGAAGGTAGCAATGATGCATACATAAAGTAACGGTTGTTGACTGCTGAGAGTAGATTGATTCCATAAAAGAGCAAATGTACATTCGTCAGTTGAATTCTTGGAGTAAGCTAATAGTCCCATTGGATTTAGGTAATTACTTTCATGGAGATGTATTACTAATCACTTCTGAAGAGAAAAAAAAGAACCAACCATATCTAGACAAAAACAAGAACTTTCATAATTGTCCTCGCATGGATTCATCATATGATAAGAATGAATAGAATCCTATGTGCGTGTTCTGTATGAAATTTCAATAGATATTTTGACTTCACAAGCAATTTTATTTTTCATTATGATAATAGGCTATGACTCGTTTTGCATGAAAAAGTATCTGCACACCATGTCTAATGAAGAACTGTCGTCACTTAACGTTCTGTAATATTCATAGCATCACGGATTACAGTTTGAAATTCAGAAAAAGAATATTTAACTTTAGTGTAAGACGTCAGCTGTCAGTTCATATAAAATATTTGGGATTAAAAATGACGGAAGATGAGAAAAGTAGGAATTGATGTGAACTAATTCGACAATAAGAATAAATAAAAGAAATTCACATTTTATCTTTTCGTCATATTCGAGTTGTAATGGCATCGCAACGAAAAGGACCAGTAGGCTATGCGCCATAAACGTCTCACGAGTTTCATTTTTTTCCATCATTACCCGCCACATGAAAGATATCCTTATATCAATAGATTCCGTGTCAAATCCTATGCAGAGCATATAGATGTTTTTTCTTCCGCTCCCATGGAAAAGATTCTTAACATATTTTAAAACTCATGTTTGACATTCAATCGTACCTGACAAATCGTCCAAAATACTTCGAAGGACAAACTTTTCTTTACAATTAATTGCACACGTATACATTCATAAGGCGGCCCTTTTGAAATATATTAATTAACTGTTTGCATCCGCTCATTAGAAGAAACTGTATTACCAGCTTGCGTAGTATTTTGGTCAGAACATTACCCATCATCGATGAAACTCGGTAATTTTTCGTCTCGAAACAATCACCTCAGAAGGCTAGAGCATTTTTCGGTTAATTTTTTCCGTCTTCTAAGGCTTTCTCCTATGAAAATCACGTGTGTACCGCAAATTCATTACATCGAGTATAATAAAACCTACATATTTAGTCGAGAGCTTAATATGGGATTGTTTGATATGTATACGATTTTTCTATATGGGAAATTATAGATAAAAAGTACATGAGAAATACCTGGAGTTTATATAATCTGATCTACGTTAAACGACCTTTGAACGCAGTTGAGTGAGAAAAAACAGAACTGAATTAATACTCTTTTTTATAGTTTGTCAGGATCATGCACGGTCCCATAATAACGGATGTCCCCGGTTGAATGAGCCTCTACGTATTTTTTCAATATCTTCCTCAAATTATGACGTATATAGCTGACCTTTTTTTAAAAATATAGCCCATGAAATTCTCTACAAAACTGTATATATAGATCTGTTGAGTGATTAGTATCAGAACTATATCTGATCAGCATTTCAATGCTGCAAAATAGTGCATTTTTGTAGGCGTCCGTTTTTATACTACCGGTTTTGTGTCGTTCTTTCGTCGTTATATAGAAGGACTAAATATGCCGTATTGTAGCCCATGAAAAGCTCTATCTTTTCCTCAAGAGCATTTTCAGATTTTTTCCATAAATGGGAAAGTATTGAATATTTTAATTTACAAATAATTTGAAGGATAAAGTTTTCACTACCAGGTCGCTACGAACAGAATCATGTTAGGTGTGCTTTTGAAATGCTATAGGTGCATAACAAGAACGACCGATGATTCCAACGCGTTGTTGTAAAAGATTTACCAATAGAATTTCGCTGTCGCATCTGAATATTTTCTTTAAGTTCTGGCAGAAAGATTACACTCAAAAATATAGGAAAATTGCCTTTGAACTGAATTTTAAATCTGTTTTTCAAACAAACGCCTACAAAAATGCACTATTTTGCAGCATTGAAATGCTGATCAGATATAGTTCTGAAACTAATCACTCAACAGATCTATATATGCAGTTTTGTAGAAAATTTCATGGGCTATATTTTTAAAAAAATTCAAGTATATACGTCATAATTGTAGCAAGATATTCTAATTTTTGCAAGACGTGTTTTGAAAAAGAATCATAGGACAGAGCCAGACAGGAAAGTCATCACTATTGTTTTTGAGTGAATGATTTTTTCTCTAAACACTGCCCGTACGATTCCACTATCATGTTGTAGACTGAAACGGACGCTGCTTCCGTTGGATTCAAAATTCTTTCTTAGAATAACCTCATTGAATACCGAAGCAGATGATTCATTAAATGTCAATCATCTTCTATTGACACACGAGATATATTGAAAAACAAACACGAACTAAATTATTGGAGCAGGCAATGCATTGCTGTGAGTTGTGAGAATACGAGCTTGTTTCGCTTGGATAGATGCAGCACTTCTACCATATGCAGATGAGCGAAACATATCCGTTGTTGCCGGTGCAACTCGACGTGCGTTTGCTCCTTCGGAACATAGAGCATTCAAGATACGTCTGCGGGAACTTCGCCAAATATGCTGGAAACGAACATCTAATGCGCCAATGATGACTGGATCAAGAGCAATTTCAATATAGTTCAATAATGAAGCGATAACTGTAATACTTGATGTTTTGCTTGTAAATTGGTAAACAACAATGTTCGGTGACCAGAGTATAAGCCATATGGCGTAGAATACAAGAAATTGAATAACCAAAGAACGATTGTATTTCTCTCGAGCAGTGACATGATGTTGTGCGCTACCTAAGCGAGAAGTTAAACGAATGTGTCGCATGTTCAAATAAAGAATAATGAGATTTAGAAGAATTGGTAGAAGAAATCCAATAATAACATTGATAATTTGAGCATAGATGTTGGTGAAGTCAATATCACACGATGCACCAATATTTTGACGCAAACGTGCCCAATTAATTTGTAGTTGAATAATAAAAGCTGCTAATGGAAATATGTAGATAATAAGATGAGAACAAACAAGTAGTTTCACATGGGAAATGTATACACTACGATTATGAACAATTTGTACGTAACGACAGATATTCAATGCAAGGAGAATATAAACTTCAAGCATATTCAGATAATTGTCAAAGGTTGCTTCGAAATAGCAAATAAACAGAGACCATGATTTAGTCGGCGTACAATCGGTCGACATGGTATGAACAATAAATCCAACAAAAAATCGCATCAAAAGTAGAATATCCGTTACTAAATAAGCATAAAGCCATTGCATGGACCTTTGTCGAACAGATGGATACAGCATGAACTGAAACCAGAAAATACTATGCGTGATAGTAGCGACAATACAAATGTATAATAGTGGACGTTGATAATCGATCATCTCTTGAGTCCAATGAAGATCCGTTAGACAAGTTTCATTTGTTCCGTTAATTTCAGACGATAGCGTGAAATTTGACATGTGTGATCAAACAGGCAACTACTGTATGTGTCTGTTTATATAATATTCTTGATCATTATTATCAACGGTTTTAGAAAATTATGGCAAAAAATAGGATACTGTTAACATAATTACTAATAAATGCTCATAGAGTCGACATGATTACTCTTAAGTAGTATGAGTATAATTAGTTTTAACTAGAGTGCATGTTTCAAAGAAAGATTATACACTGAAGTCTAGGGTCGTTGAATAATGTTCACAATGTCAGAGATTAGAGTGACACTTCGCCTAACTCATGTCGAAAGTAAAAACACCGAAATCTGGAAAGCAGCAGGGACCGAAAGTACGGATCTCCGTCACATCCGTTTCTGTATACTCATCTGCACGCTCACTGTTGTTTGCCGTACTTCTATGTTTCGATCAATATCAGGTTAGTCAATTGAGATGTGTCTTTAAGTACACATATACCATGTCGTGTCCGAGTCTACGGTGACTTATTGTATGAGAAGACGATAGATTCTACTGATTATGTCAGTCACCGGGAGGCGACCGAATCAATTATAAGCTCTTTTCGTTCATGCATCATTCCGATATCAGCATCATTTATTCATCGGATTCGCCTTGCTCTTTCTTAGCGTAACATTGTATATAGAATATGTCTTCTATGAATATATGCATGAGTTCCTGTGCAATGCATAATAGTGTCTAGCGGCATCTTGTGATACGGAAAGCGACAGAGGACAGAATCATTTACGATGGTATGCATGGCAAAAATCAGCTGGAAGAGGCGATATATTGTTATTTAATATTGATCTGACTGAATTCTGTTTATCTTAGTTTTCTTGTTTATAAATTTAGATGTTATCCCAAGTAGGATCTTGGCAACGGGTATAATGATTTCTGATGGCGAGAAGAATGCGACTAGTTTTCTTTTGTAATAGATCACAAGTCGATGTTTCAATTGTTCTCGGACTATTCTTCTTCGAAATGCGTCTTCCTCATCATCCACTAGTGGCAAGTCAATTGCTTGCAATTTTCCACGAAAGTAGTACTATTGTGTTTTTAGAGCAACAATTCGATCTAGTTGTTATCGGATCTGGGCCTGGTGGATATGTAGCAGCTATAAAAGCTGCTCAGCTTGGCCTTAAAGTACGAAAAGAGTCTAGATAAAGATGTTTCATTTGCGAAATGTGTTGCCTATTCTAGACAGCATGTGTTGAAAAGAACGCTACATACGGTGGAACATGTCTTAATGTTGGATGTATACCTTCGAAAGCCATGTTACACAATTCTCATCTATATCATATGGCACAACATGGTGAATTGAAGAAAAGAGGAATTGAATGTATGTAAGATGGATATACCGATTTGAAGAATATTTCGAATGAATCTCTGTTTTATAGTTCAAAATGTTTCGCTTAATTTACCTGTCTTTTTGAAGCAAAAAGATGATGCTGTAAAAGGTCTCACTAGTGGCGTTGCTTACCTATTTAAATCGAACAAGGTAAAGTGGTAGTCTTTAGCGAAACAGCCGAATGAAACATGTTCGTCTTGTCAGGTAACTGGCGTTCGTGGTCATGGATCTATTAGTGGAGCTGGTGAAGTAACTGTCAAGAAAGAAGATGGATCAAGTGAAACTCTGAAAACTAAAAACATCCTCATTGCTGTTGGCTCTGAAGTAACACCATTTCCGGGTATTACTGTACGTAAATCGATGTGTTTAGTTCATCGAGAACGTTCGATTGGAATACTTTTTTCCTTATTTAGATCGACGAGGAATCAATTGTCTCGTCGACGGGTGCACTTTCACTTAAACAAGTGCCTAAAAAGATGGTATTGATCGGTGCTGGTGTTATTGGACTTGAACTAGTAGGTCGAATCACTTATGAATTTGAACAGCAGTTTCAGCTAGATTATGCCATTTCTTGCTAGGGTTCTGTATGGAGTCGTTTAGGTGCAGATGTGACATGTGTAGAATTTCTGTCCAATATCGGCGGTGTTGGTATTGATATGGAAGTTAGTAAAGCATTTCAAAAGATTCTCACAAAACAAGGCCTCAAATTTAAACTTGATACAAAAGTCACTGGTGCAGAAAAGTCTGGTGATAGTATTCGTGTCAATGTCGAAGGCGCCAAAGGTGGTAATGGTGAAACGGTAAAGAGAAAGCACTTGCTATGTCTACCATACCAAATCTCTATATCAAATAGCTCGATTGCGACACTTTACTTGTCTGCATTGGTCGTCGACCGTATACCAAAGAACTCGGCCTTGATAGTGTTGGTAAGAAATGCCTCGCCAAATCGAATAGAACAATGTTCATATACTACCTTATCATACAGGAATTCAACTAGACAAACGCGGTCGGATTGAAGTCGATAAAAATTTTCAAACAGCTTGCAAAGGTATCTATGCCATTGGTGACTGTATCCAAGGACCTATGTTAGCACACAAAGCAGAAGATGAAGGCATTATCTGTGTCGAAAGTATTGCCACCGGCCACGAACCACACATAGATTATAATTGTGTTCCAAGTGTCATCTATACATATCCTGAAGTATCATGGATTGGCAAATCTGAGGAGCAACTAAAACAAGAAGGTATCAAATATAAGGTCGGCAGATTTCCAATGGCAGCAAATAGCCGTGCGAAAACAATAAATGAAGCTGAAGGTTTTGTTAAAGTACTATCCGATGCTAAAACTGATCGAATACTTGGAGTACACATGATCAACTCAGTATGTTTTGTTCTATTGAGAATCATCAAACGACTGATTTCTTTTTCCTTAGGTTGCCGGTGAATTAATCAACGAAGCAGCATTAGCTATGGAATACGGAGCATCATGTGAAGATGTCGCACGTGTTTGTCACGCCCATCCAGTAAGTTTGCCATTTACAATTGAGACCTAAACTGTCATAATCTTCTCCCTTCAATGTAGACATGGTCAGAATCATTAAAGGAAGCTAATCTTCAAGCTTATTTTGGCAAAGCGATTAACTTTACATAATTCTCTGGACATGACTTCGAAAATCTAGAGATTTTATTTTAGCTTTGTTTTTTCATTTTGTATAATTTTAGTTTAGTTTTTCTCTTTGCCATATGTCGCATTTCTTTCTGTTTTCTTTTTCTCAACACTTTCACCTGCTTTCTAATAAACCAGACCAAGAAAATCTGCTCAAATTTTTCTTCTGTGTTTTACAATCCGGAATATTGCTGTTCTATTGAGCAACACTTTCCGCTCTGACATTCTTTTCACAGACTGCTCAAGCATAAATACTTCATAAACGATCTGTTTTTTTTTTCACTACTTCTCAAGAGGAAAAAACTTCAATGTCATATGTTCGAGTAGCACCGATCGTTTCTTTTATTGTTTAATATTCCCGCAAAAGAATGTTACTTGATAAAAAAAACTAGATGGAACAAAGTCGACTACGTTCTCCATTTTCCATCGACTCAATCTTCTCAATAGAAATGGCGTAAGTTTTTATTATTTATCTGATACCTTGTCGAGACTGAAACTTGGCGACGAGTGTATTTTTACACAAGATTATTTACTTGTCATGAAAGCGCCGAAGGGATCTAGACAGCTGACAAGCTCAATTGACATTTTTATTCATCAAGTGACTTCATTTGATGCATTTGCCCTCTAAGATTAATTGATAATAGAGGGAGAATTTGTCGTATTAAATAAAGTTTGAATAATAAGTGGTTTGAGAGAACACTCGTGATCAAGAAAAGATGACTATTAAACGAAGATTTTGATTAGATAAGAACCTCGTATCAGCCGTACCAATGTCTCATCTTTTAAAAAAAGTACGCTGTACGAATAACTTAGATAAGATCGTATTTTCTGAAATGCATCTTTCCTTTATTCTTTAAATTCTGTGGAAAAGAATAGTTACATATCTTGTTTCTGACGTATCTAATTAAAAACAGTCGGTTAGACAGACACGCATATGTTGTTATTTCTTTTCTCCATTATTAATTCAAAACATTCAATACGAATTGTTCTAATCTGTCTATTCGATGCTTTGTAGTCACTTTTTTCATTCTCCATCGATTTAATTAAGCGTTTTCCACACGACTTCTCCTACGATTGTTTCCCGTTTCAAAACATTTGAGCCGAGGGTTGACTATATGATGATTTATCATACATTACTGATTCAACGTTAAATCAAATGCAGATCTATACATGAACTTTTTCTCGGAGATGTTCGCTGATGTGAAAGAATCAACAAGAATGGAGGAGGGGTAGCTCTGGGTTCGAAAGACAATCGAGCGGGTATAGAAAAAGGAACAGACACTGATAAGCATCCAAAATTTGCACTGTTGTAAAAACAAAACAGACAAACACGTTTTTTTTGTCTCATCGGTTGTTCTTCGTTGGAGAAGTATCGTCTTTTCCTCAATGCGAATATTTGATTGTTAAGTACAACAATGGCATTGAACTATGAAACACTGATACATGCGGCTAGCAAACCACCAGAACAGCGAACAGCTACAGAGATTAATGATTTTATATTTCCATGGCTGAAGCAATCATTGAAAAAGAAACAGGGCATATTTCAAAAGATTTCTGATGGTAAAGAAGTTCATTGACATTTCTCTGACACGTGAATGTTCGATCCATTTTTAGATGTCATTCATGATATCTGCAAAACGATCATGTTGGAGAGACGGCCAGCTTGGGATGTCGTTATCCATCAAGGTGACCCTGGGGATACGTAAGTTATCTTTCTCAATTTCGTTATGATTTTCACGTGTGTGCTTTTTTTCATCATAGATTTTATATTATTTTACAAGGCTCGGTGAATATCTATCGATTCGATGAGGATGGCCCAAAGCCAGAACCACTCGAATTTGATACTGTGACAGAATTTGCTAAGCTTGACAATGATTCGGACAAACGTGACGAACTCATTGCTGATGCATTTGGAAATTATGTTGTGACTCTAGGTAAGATCAACTTGTTTCAGATAATTTCTGAGTCGATGGAACTCTATAATGCAATAAAATAATATTCATTCAGAGGGAAATGGTCTTGCCTATAAGCAACGTAAGAATGCTAGAATATGCTTATTGATTATCTTGAATTAATTGATTAACTATCGAATGTATACGCATGACAAGGGATTTTGTAGGTGGTGGTTTTGATTTTGGTGAACGAGCGTTGATTACGAATGAACCACGAAGTGCTACAGTAATGACAATTACTCCAACTGATCTGCTAGTTGTTGATCGCGAAGTTTTCAGTCGGTATGTCAGTCGAAGCATGGGATCTCCAGAATGTTGTTTGTATATTGTTTCTATAAAGAACGTTGAAAGCGGCACACGAAAGGGAATTGCAAGAGAAAACTGAATTCATCAATCGATGCCCGTTGTTTTCGTCTTGGTCACCAAGGCTAAAACGTCTTGTTAGTCTTAGTTTGGAACGTGGTCGATTCTCTTATGATAGTATCTTATACAAACAAGGCTCACGAGCTGATGCTGTATATTTCATATGGAGGTAATATGCAAACGAACTTTCTGTCGAAATCGATTCTCTAAAAGTAAAATTTTTAGCGGTGAAATTAAATTAAGTATGGATCCTCTGTTACATTGGTTACAATATCCTTATCTTCTTCCACAATCGAATCCATTGAAACAGTAAAACTACTTTGTTCATCACTCGATAGTAAAATTCGTTTTCGTAGACGTGCCTTAGAATCCTTCTTACCTATATTTCAACCATCTCAACCTCCGAACGTTCATATACCCTCGAATGCGGACACTAATGATCCTCGACAGAGTTTCGCTATCAAACGACGTCACATGACTTTCGCTCAAGCTGAACATGAACGCGCTGAACGAATTATACAGTTAGCATTATTGAATGCTGGTGACGTTATCGGCCTGGAATGTTATGTATGTGATCTAGCAACACATATCAATTCAGCACGATGTACGGCGCCGTGCGATTTATTTTACATCTTGAAACATAACTTTACTCGTTTACAAAAACGACACGGCACTCAAGGTTTGAGCGAACGTTTACGTGAAATGGTTCTTCTCTCTTTGCAAGCATATCCATCGCGTATCATGTGTATGCCACTATTTACTGCATTAATGAAAAAGAAACTAGCACCACGGATGAATGATGATCAACTACAACAACAACAGCAGTATCAAAATAGACAATCATGGCTTGTACAGATACACAACTCATCTCAACGAGTTCGTTCTCTTCGAAGCTTTTTCTCACATCTCCATTACATAAAATTTCTCTAGCGAGTACATCGATCAGACACCACAACAACGGCCTCTCAGACAGTTACTAAAGAACGTTCACTGACTACAACAACACACAGTGTGCCCACAATACGGGTAACTCAAAATGCATCTTTCGTAAATCCTGCTACAATACAATATGTCACCAATGATAATATACGCGTCAGTAAAATTGAAGATCGTCTCAAACAATGGCATGCACAAATGGGTGGAGATTCGAAAACACATTTTGTACCGCTGACACGTTTTGTATGTTTATTCAATCCTATGTGCGCCAAAATTCTTCTTTTCTTTTCTCAAAGAGCATCGCCGATTTTTCAGCACACAATCTCTTAGGGTCCACGCCGTTTGAATTTGTTGAACCTCAACTAAACGGCGCTTCTCTTTCCACAAGGTGAGACTTCATTTTCTTCATCCAGTTTTCATTCATTTTAATAGATATCTATGAAAAACTAGCGAGACTTTTCTTTTCAATAACTATTAGTAGATAATTTCCACAAGACGTTGCTTTGTAAGTATGTTCATTAAACATGTATGTAATCATAACGGCTTTCAACTCTACACATACTTACCTTTCACGAATGCCATTTATATCGTTAACTTTACCTCTTGTGAAAAGTCACACTTTGTTGACTAGTGCAATAAACCCAACATCTGTTTTTGTTTAGTTTTAACTCAAACAATATCCATCAAAGTGAAAAAGAAACAAAAATTCCATTTGAGCCTTTCGTTAAATCAATAGGAAATTCTAAACGACCATCACTTGCTTGTTCCAGGGTATGTTTTGACATTGATCAACGGGACACGTTTTTATCGTAAATATTTTCCTTTTCAGATTACTCAAGCTTCTTTTTCTTCTTTGTCATCATTAAATACAAGTCTACCTTCAGTACACACTTATTCTAGCCAAGAGCGATATGAAGATCAACGGCTTTCTTTCAATAAGAAGTGGAGAGATTTTCTTAAACGTTCTACTCCAACCGTGTACTGAAGTGTACATAATTCTGTTTTTTGTATATTGGATTTTTTTTAACAAAAAGAAACGACTCTTTATGGAAATTACATTGATTAAATATGGAGCAGAATGTGGGAAAAGAAAACTAAAATATCATTTATAGATCTATGCACAGAGACTAAAAATTTTCTCGTGTTTTTCTTTCTTCTTTATGTTCTCTCAGTTGTTATTATGCTGCTCTGAAGCGCCATTGGAGATGAAAAAGAAATATTGCTTTAAAGAGAACGACAGAATAATAGAAAGCAAGTAGTTATAGAAATATATGCAACATAGTATTTTTCTTTTCTTTTCTTCTCTTCTCCTCACTGTTTTATTTCTTTTTTTTCCTGTTTTATACAATGACATACGCAGGGCTTTTCACGTTCGATATCGAACGGCAAAAGGAAAAGAGCTAAACCTTCCGTTCCGGTTGATGGCCATTGGATCATCAAACGCACATGACATGCATATGCCCGCAATCAAAGTCAGAGTAAGCACGATGAAAACGCGAACGCAAAAGCTTTCTTTTTCAACCAATATTGCGTGATAGGTAGCACCATTTCGATGGTTAGCAGTTCTAGTCGGTTGTGTCACTTTCCTCGTTTTAATACTTCTCCGAAGTCCATATAAACCCATTGACAGCGATGTAACGGCTGAAATAGCCGAACGGCTGAATGAAGAAGCATCGGTAACTGCAAGGTGTTGATGAATCTTTTGTACGTTAATTATTATTATAGAAATTGCGCTGGTCATTATCACGCGCTCAACAATGGTATTCTTCTCAACCGTGGTATCTCGGTGCTAATTATTTACCTTCGACAGCCGTCAACGTCTTGGAGATGTGGCAAGATGACACGTTCGATGAGAAAACCATCAAATGCGAACTTGCTTGGGCAAGTAAACGTTTACAAATGAATATCATGCGCGTTTTTCTTCATATACTTGTTTGGATGAATAATCCAACGAAGTTCTTTCAGCATGTCGATACCTTTCTCTCTATTGCAAAGCAAAATAATATCAAAGTCATGCTCGTTCTTTTTGACGAGTGTTGGAATGAAGATCCAAAACTCGGTCAACAACTCAATCCCATTCCAGGTGTACATAATTCGAGATGGGTTCGATGTCCCGGCCAATCAATGGTGCTAAATAGAACAAGTTGGCCACTTATCGCGCAGTACGCTATTAAAATATCATCTATCTCCTCTCAGTGTATCCTTGTTTAGATACACAACAGATGTAATTAATCACTATAAATCTGATAACCGCGTTGCTGTCTGGGATTTGTATAACGAACCTGAATGTAGCAAACAAATCAGAGTTGTCTTACCGTTACTCCGTTACATATACAAGACTGCTCGATCGGTAGCTGATGTCGAACAACCAATGACAATTGGCATTGCCAAATGGCCATTGACAACCCCTCTAGCACAATTTGAATTAGCTGCATCAGATATAATATCTTTTCACTCATATGGTCCATTAGCAAATGTTATCGCAAATGTAAGCGATTTACGACAAGTTCAATTAGGTCGACCTATTCTCTGCACAGAGTGGTTGGCACGTACATTTGGATCAACACTGTTTACGCACATAGATTTTTTTCAAACGGAAAAAATAGGTGCAATACATTGGGGTCTCGTCGCAGGTCGCTCTCAAACATACTATCAATGGAAATCGCCCAAAGGAGCGCCGACGCCGAAAATGTGGTTTCATGATGTACTCTATTCGAATGGCACAGCGTTTAGTGCACTAGAAGAAAAACTCTACTCAGAAATCAAACATGAAAAAGTTTTCAAATAAATTATTACCGCCTGTTGTTTGTTCAACAATATGACTCATTCTTGTTGAAAACACTCATTTGTTATAAGACGTCTACTCTGTGCGCTTAGTGGGAAGAAAGACTGACTTATGAGGAACAATAATGATACCTCTTAAGCTGTACCATGATATAAATACAAAAGGATTATATCTCTTCGCGACACATTTTCACAACTTGAGACGAGAGCGCCTGAGAAAGTCTAGCCACAGTAAGAAATTCTTGTGAAAACATTAGAGAATCTTCAACATTGTGAAATACATCGATTAAATAACGCTTTCTCACTCGTGGTCTGGATAATGCGTGTCAATTATACTCATCTAGGTTGAGAGTATTTGCTACGTCGGTTACATATTAACATCAACTCTTGAGAAGTAGGATATTTCGGACTATTGTCGCCATCTATCATGTTAAATGCAATGTAACGTTTAGCACAACATCGCAGAATAGGCTTCTGACTTCTACATCAGTTAAATCACTTGAATAAACAATATCGGTTTCATATTGTCGAACGCCATCTATTTCTTTACTGTCGTTTCCTCCATTGATTGAATCGTCAATTTCAAATTTGTTGTGAATGGCTGCCATTTTGTTTATTTGTTTTATCTTTGTTTCTACCATCGCCATGATTGATTTTCTTGTTGTTCGCTCAGTTTGCTTGATGAATACCGCTTGGAAAAATTTGCTTTTATCGGGAACAATGCAACGCACGGTCTTCTTTCCTTTTCAGATTGTTCATTCGCATGTCGAATGTCTAGTTCAGGGGGCAGCAACGCCAAAAAGCCACGCATTGACTCGAACAGTCTGCTTTCTAGTATGTTTCCAACGTTGTTAGGTTGAAAAAGCAACTGTCATCTTCTTTTGTTTTAGCTGTACCATCTCGAATGTCACTTTCCAATGGACCTGGATCATCAGGTGCTCGTCCACTCGTCGCATTACTCGATGGTCGCTATTGTTCTATCGAAATGCCAATACTTAAAGACATGGCAACTGTAGCCTTCTGCGATGCACAATCAACATCTGAAATTCATGAGAAAGTTCTCAACGAAGCAACTGCGGCACTAGTCTGGCATGCAATAACCTTGAAAAAAGAAGATTTACTTAAATTTAAAGCATTAAAACTTATCGTACGGATCGGCTCTGCCTATGATAACGTTGATATAAAGGCGGCTGGTGAACTAGGTATTGCTGTATCAAATATTCCATCGTTGTGTGTGGAAGAAATGGCAGACACCACACTGAGTATGATCTTGAATTTATATCGACGCACAGCTTGGTTAGCTCAAGCAGTCAAAGAAGGTAAACGTGTTTCAACTCCAGAACAAATTCGTGAAGTTGCCACTGGTTGCGCACGTATACGAAATGAAACATTAGGCATTATTGGTCTTGGACAAGTTGGCATGGCTGTTGCTATGCGAGCCAAAGTATTCGGTTTTAATGTTATCTTTTTTGATCCTTATTTATCCGACGGTATCGACAAAGTTTTAGGTAGGAATTAATAAAGAATTTCAGTCGGATCGTATTCTTGTTTGTTATCATAGGCATTACTCGAATATTTACACTACAAGATTTACTCTACCGATCGGACTGTGTCACACTGCATTGTTCACTCAATGAACACAATCATCATTTAATAAATGATTTTACGATAAAACAAATGAGACCTGGCGCATTTCTTGTTAATGTGTCACGTGGCGGTCTCATCGATGAGACAGCTCTAGCCGCTGCATTGAAAGATAATCGCATTCGTGGTGCAGCATTAGACATATTAGAAAATGAGCCGTACAACTTAGCTGCTGGTCAGTATACTGCATTTGCGCACGATATCTGATTACTTCTTTCGTTTTTAGGCCCATTGAAAGATGCTGTGAATCTAATATGTACACCACGAACATCGTGGTATAGTGAAGCGAGCTCGCAAGAGATACGAGAGAATGCTGCACATGAAATACGTCGTGGTTTAAGTAGTAAAATGCCTGCTTCACTTCGTTATTGTGTCAATCGAGATTATCTTAACGTGCCTCGTATGAAAACTATTCGAATAAAAAGTCTTCGATTTGCAAACATCTCTTCTAGGTTCTGCCTATGACAGTGCGTTGAATGGAGCAACATTTTCATCGCTATTTCCATTAGCAGCACCATTCCTTTCGTCACCGGGACTGTTAGGTGATCCATCACTAGTAGGTTCCATACCTCCACCAGTCCTATCGTCAGCGCTTCAACAACAATCAGCAAGTTCATCGACAGGCAATGTCACATCAAGTAGTAGTACACCATCGTTACTTTCAGCTGCTGGAAGTAATTCGCCAGTCGTTGTACCTGTTAATATTGGTGAGTCGGCTTTACAAGCAGCGGCAAAAGCCGCAGCTGCTTCACTTGGAAGTAACAATGGCGGAGAATCAACTGGCGGAGATTCAATGCACTAATCTACTATTCCTTTTTTTCTTTTTCTTGTGTTGTACATTTATTTCATCCTACTAATGTAGTTTGCTTCTGTATGGTTGTCTGTAGTGCTCTTTCTCATTCCATACTGGTCTATGTGTATCTGTACGTGTGTGTGTGTGTATGCGCGCAATAGATATTTGTGATGTGTGTCTTTGTCTAGTTGACTGATTCAAAAGATTTGTTTGTTTCGACTTGAAAAGCAATTGTCTGTGTTGTTCGCTAACTTGGATCGATAGTTCTATTCTTGTTTCCTAACATATTCACACACGCACGCACTCACACATAATAAAATATATGTATTCACCAAACATTTTTGGAGAGAAAACAAAAAAAAAACAATAATAATATCAATAATATATGTCTAAAACATGTTCTCTTTTCTCTTCTCTTTTTCTTATATGATATTTAGTTCCAAACTTTGTCTAATTGAATTCTTGTTACATGTTAGTTTTGTAGAAAAAGAAAGGCTTCTCTCTTTACTAAAACCATGTTCAATGTCGCATTGGATGATGTTCGTGTACTGGAACATGCAACTGTTAAAGTAAAGACATTCGAATTTTTCTGAAAAAATAATATTTGCCCATTTTGTTCATCTTAGGTACCGTACGAAACATTGAATAAACGATATCGTCACGCACAGAAGCAGATTGATCGTGATTCAGCTCAATTGCTTGCGTCTGTTGGCGAACTAGACCGATCGACACAGTCAGCGACAACACTCGAGACACTTAAACGAGTACTTGAACGTGCAATAACATTGAAACGAAAAGTATTTCGAAAGACTTCGAAATTTCTCTTTGAAACTTGCATGTTTTCAATAGGCTCGCGAATTACGCGATGATGAAATCGAATGTTTACAAGCGGTTAAACGACGCGTGGATCATCTGAAGGAATATGATAAAAGTTCCTTATCGAAAATGGAAATTTGGCGACGACAACGCTACGAACGTATACTCGTCGACTTTCTCTTCCGAACACGATGCTTCGAAACCGCTCAAGCTCTGGCCAAAGCAACAGGCATTGAGGTTTGTCTTCCGACAGTGCGATCGATCGAATCAATAAATTAGCATACATGTTTCGACGCATTCAAATTCTCAAACTGATCATCTTTCATATGACAGAAATTCAAGATCGATGTCAGTTCTTAATTCAGTTAAAGATCAAATGTCTGTCAACAAGGAGCCTTCCGACATCATTAATACGAGTAGATAAGACTGTTGATAAGTATTTCTTAGAGTAAACAACGTATTGACAGAATATGTTAACAATTCGAGCAGACAAAGTAGACATTACTTTCTAGTAAACTCTGTCGTCGTCAGAATTGAGCTAATTGATTAGTAATACTATGTACATTTTAGCAATTGGTCAATTCAGAAATCTATCTGGCTGGGCGTGAAATCGAGGACTCATTGATGCGCCGCGATGTTTCCAAATGTTTGGCTTGGTTCAACGAAAACAAAACGAAACTGAAGAAAAATGGCGTATGCAATACTTGTCAATTGTGCAAATGTTTTCTCATTTCTCTCTTTCCATCTCTAGAGTACTCTTGATTTTTGTATTCATTTACAAGAATTTATTGAACTAGTCCGGAAAAATCAATCTTCCGAAGCCATAGCACATGCACGAAAGCATTTGAACGGTCCTGTGCCAGAACAACATCTAAGCGAATTCCAATCAGCTATGGGTCTGCTAGTTTTATCACAGAGATCGAGACAGGAACTGAATAATGAGTATCAAGTAAATTGAAAGCGAAACATTGTTTCGTTTTTCTTAAATGTTCGATTCATCTTTAGACATTACTCGATGAGAATCGTTGGAATAAATTAATCGATCAATTTCGTCTCGATATGTTTAAATTGAATCAAATGGGCCAACAAAGTAAATTCACAGCTGTTTTACAAAGTGGTCTATCCGCTCTGAAAACACCGTAAGCATTTCTTTGAAATCACTTCTTCGCGAAATTAATCCTTATGTTTAGAACATGTTTTGATAAAGTATCGTCCGTAAAAAATCCTAATTGTCCTGTGTGTAATGTTCATTTAAAAACAACCGCTAAAGTCTTACCGTACGCACATTGTTCCGTATCGAAACTCATCTGTGCACAATCACGTGAACCGATTAACGAAAGTAATCCACCACTAATGTTACCAAATGGTTACGTTTATGGCTCGAGAGTAGGAAAATTCTTTTCGTTTTCGTTCGTTTGAACTATCTGTGTGTACTCGTAGACTCTTCAAGCTATGGCTGCAGTCAACAATGGCAAGGTCACTTGTCCACGTACGAAAGAAACTTACGATTTATCACAAGCCGAAAAAGTGTATATCATGTAGAAAGATAATCCTTCGAAAAACAAAAGACAATAAATTGATGTTTTACTTAACTTTTATTCATGCAGAAAGATATACATAAATGTAAATATATTGTTATGAAACTTCTCTAGATAAACAAAAAAGAAAAAGAACATGATTGTCAATGAAGACAAGCCATCTACGGACACGTCGATAGCAGGCAGAAATCGACGTCACATTCAAGCACCGTCAGCAAAAGGTGCAATAGCGTTGTTCAAAAATTGACTGAAAAGAAAAGCGATCGTTCTTTGAATTTCTTCCTGTTCATATCTAAAAAGCGAGAGGTGCATTTTTTGAACGAGTCTTAAACCGGCCGGATATTGGGTGAGTGAGGAATGACTGGCGTGTCATTTTTTTCATTCTTTCACCTATCAAAAAAGCAACTTCATAATCAATCTTGAAGAATAATATAATGCACGACAACATTCGCAAGGATTTTTCTCTTTCCAGGATACGTATCACGAGAGAATAGTGCAAGCAACCAATGGTAATAAATGAATGTCACTAAACATCGGTCATGGCTAGTCGATTAAGGAAGAAAAAAGGACAAGCTAGCTATCTATTTATCCCTTAGTATATCACATTGGATACTTTCCTTCATGCTTAAAATGCTTTTGTTTTCCTAATTGCTTCGATAATATCAAATGATTCAATCCTATGGAGAAAATTCTCTTTTTATTTGCTTGTTGTTTTTACATGTGCGACGCAATTACTGACGAATCAAGTGAAAGATTTGCTTTGTTTATGTCTTCATAGTTTAAGCAACGCGGTTATACAGATTCAGCGTTAGATCGTCGTACGGCAACAACAACAGGTCAAATGCTCTATCAAATTGTTGATCCTAGGCCGGCACAAATCGATTTCACGGATAATTTACCACCTACACCGCCTGCACCTTCTGTCGTTGCTGCTAATCGGCGGCGAGAAGTATGTCAAATGTCTTTCCAATTCTTGACTGGAACTGACTGAAATCTGTTTTTCTCTTCTGATAGACTTATAATAATCGCTACTCGGAACATGATAATCGAAACATTATACAGAATTACGGCGAATATTTTGGTCGAGTAAATAATAGTTTGTCTTGTGTCAATAGAAGACTTGTCTTATATTGATTAAGGGCTTTGGTAAACGTCTTATACCTCAATCAGCACGTCACCGCCAAGAATGGTCTCTTGCCCATGATCCTCTTCCATTGCATCCCGATCGAAGTGTAACTCAACGAGACTATCGTGGACTACCCACACTTGAAAATCAACGTCTATCATCGACGTCTATGTTGACACACGCTCGTCAAAAGTCGAGTGGTAGTTGGATGAGAAGCTGCTATGATGACTATGGACGAGACATCGAGCACATACCCAACGAATTGATTTATCGTGATGACTATAAACGCATGCCAATCCATCCATGGCACTATTGAATCGATTGACTCCTTTCTATTGTACTTGCAGTCCTATATAATTTACTGATAAACACATTCGTCCTTTTGAGAAATAAAATGAATCTAATATGATTTCAAAGACAACTTCCGTATGTGCCCAGCGAAAAGAAGCGATCATCGATAAGTACATGCTTGCTTCCTAGTTGCTTGACGAAATGCCTAACGTAGATCGACAAGAATATTTTATTGACAGTCGGAAAAGTTGTTTTGGCAAACAAAAAATGGATGATTTAACTAAGCCGATCTATTTACTGGAAAAAATTGATAATCCCATTCGGTTATTAGTCTTGCGTATGTCGTGGGAGAACTAGATGTGTGCAGCAATTTGACTTTTCCTCTGTGCACATGTGTTTTACGATATATATCTATATTCACTTAGAAACGCAATGATTGCTGAAAAGATGTAGGATGACGTTTGAGGCGACGCATAAGAAACGGATGTCAATGCATTAATGAAGTTCAACGTTGGAGAACGAGTCCAGTGATAGAAAGAGAGAGAGAGAGAAAGGAGAAAATCGTTTTCGAGAGCACAAATTAGGGAAAAGAGAATTTTCTGTTTCCCTTTGTCTCTCTAACAGAGTCTGCGGCGATGCGCTTCATCGCCAACAGCATCAATATCTTTAGTCGCTTCCGACAATGTTGTCGTCAGATGAGAGAAAGCGAGACAGAGAGAGAGAGAGAAAAGGAGAGAATATTAGGACAATGGGTTTTCTGCGCCTGTCTCTCCATTTCATTCGATGCTATCTTTGCTTTCTATGATATCTCTTTAGAGAAGAAAACAGAAAGTGGCAATGATCCTTTAGGCACAGTGGTTAGAGATGCAAAAGTCGAGCATATGCTAAAAACGTTCGTTACTGACTTAGTCAAACTAGAATGATGAATAGTGGTCGTTGTCATGTATAAAACTTTGATCAACAGCGCATGGGAACTCCAGTAACCATTCAAATAGCTGCTGCTTCCAATTATAATGAACAGTAAGATTTTGAAATGTTTATTTGTTTCGATGAACATAAACGTGATCAGAATGACCTTTTAACATTGTTGAGACTCGGAATAGTTAATTGCGCATAAAAATACGCGTAAGAATTCATTCATAGATGTTTACATGAAAGTGGTCGATAATTGAGGGGAAAAGTCAATGAGAGTTCATTGTCGACAAATCAATTCTTTTGCTTGCGTGCGAACAGTTTTTAGAAAATGAACATCACGTCAACTGGAAGTCACCAGGATGATGTCATCTGTCTTAAATTGTTCTTGTCAAAGAGATGCATCTTGTAAATGAAATGATATTTCATTTTCTGATTAAACTTTTTTCCTTCTTGACTGAAAAAGAAATCCGCCACCATCCCTGTAGAACACATTCTATTCGTGTAAAAGATCTCTACTTTAACTAAATGATGCACACGTATATGATCAGGAGAATGCCAAATGTATTCTGTCAAAATTCTGTGTGAGTATTTCTTTATGATTCATTGAAATCGACGTTTCTCTTCATCTTTTTTCCTACATACCAAAAACCTTTTTAAATACTTGAATAGATTGACAAGCAACCTTGAAAATGTCATTATATTAATAAAATGACGATGAATTAATTTCCTTTGTGATTTTGACTAAGAAATTATATTTAATTATTATTATTTCTAGCGATACGCAATCATCACTACGTCGACAAGCAAATGAACGTCGTGATCATGACAATGCTTTATTGATCAATTACGACGGCACCATCGGTTTCCAGCAGTCGAAGCTTGGCGGGAGTCAATTATTGTAAGTATTGCATTCAATTGAAAAAAAAATGCACATTGATTCTCATTTTTTCGATTTCAATACGATCGTAATCTTAGTTAATTATTTAAACGAGACAATATTTGTTAAGGTTATTTAATTGTTTGCAAAGAAATCATTGAATTACACACTTAGAAAATCAATCCCATCGTTCTTTTTTCTCTCCTTCTGCTTCTTCTGTTTTTTTTTCTTCTTCTATTGTCTTTTCTATTCATGAATTTATCTTGAATGCAACCAATATATTCGCAGTGTCAATATTGTGTTGTTTGTAACAAGGCGCAGAACAACACGGAAGAGGAAAAAACAGGAAGAGAAGAGGAGTCAGACCCGAACTAACAGTCTTTTTCTTAGTTGACTCACAGCACTAGCTCAATAGAACTATGTGTAATGTTAATACCCCCCAGCGTCAGTTCGTCGTTGTGCTCAATGAAATTTTCGACACGACACATGCATACATTTCTCGCTCGCTCTGACTAAATGGAAAGGGAGCTTTATGCAATATAGAAACTAAAGAATGCAAGAGAGAATTAGAAATGAAGGAGAAGAAGAAGAACAAGAAGAACAAGAAAAGAATGAGTATATATATAAACGCGTGTTCATCATCAACTCCAGCCACGTCTTTGCAGTCTTTCTCCTTCGTCTTCTTGACTATGTCGTGAAGAAAAGCGAGGTCGTTACAACTAGCATCAGAATAAAAAATGAAGAATCTTAGTAACAATTGCCATTTTAGAATGCAAACACAAGAGATAATGTAGTGCAGGTTTCGTTCTTCATGACTCACAATGAAATTTCCGTGTCGCGAGTAACAAGTTGTAATTAGTCTAGTTAATGTGTCGATGAGCATTTGAAAGCGATCACGCTGGTTATTTTTCACTAAACGAGCCCATAATTAAAAACTTCCCAAGATGACGATGGCAACAATTTGGCAGCCTGTCGCACTGACAGATCATCCCATGTAAGTACAACTATTGGTTCGGAAGACTTCAACAACTTCTTTACCTCATTGAAGAAATGTATTGACTGAAAACGATTACGTATATCTTTTATATCATCTCGCTCATGATTTATCTTTCGCCAATCTATTCATCCATGTGTTGAATGGATTTCTGCTTTACTTTCTCTTCTTTGTTTCGCTGATAATGTCTAGTTTCTGGCGTTCGGCAGGCCTATTTACGTCTCGATGGTTTTATAATATGAGACCAACAAAAAAAACTATAATGATATATACATATAGATATGTATATACAAAAACCCCTTTAACATATTCTTCTTTTCTGAGTTACTCGTCAAGTAGCCATTTGAGTAGTAGAGCTTTGGATTGATTACTGCAGGTTTTCCCTAACGCAGAGAAAAAAGAAACAATGGCTATGACAACTGCTGTTTCGGTTTGGCAGGCACCAGCGTCTACTCTGAATGCTCATACTGATGGAACGTAAGTCATTTGATGAAAAGAAGCTTAAGTTTCGGCTCAGTCGTGCGCTTTCACGTTCTGATTCGTTTTTTTTTCATGCCAGTATATATATATATTGATCAAAGCAAATAACACAGATAGTCAACTGCAATATTTATGGCTGAGAAGAAGAAAAACAGTAGAATAGATACGTACATATATATCTATCAGTTGTTTGCAATGGAAGATAAATATGTACGTAGATGACAACATGATAAATCATTTGTAGTCGAAATCTCGTTCTCAAGGACGATGAATTTCAAATTAGAGATTTCTTTTGTCTAGTTCTTCGATTTAATCAATCATTGCATTAGTTTGATTAATAGATAAAGTTCTGATTTTTGTCTGAGGAAATCAAAGGAACATTAGAGTAGGAACGTCTCACGTATCTATTCATTGAAGTTAAACATATTTTTGACTTATTACTTTTTGTCATAATAGTATAAGTCAAGCAATAATATTATTCGATCGAGAATATGAAAAGAAGAAGAAGAAAATAAATGCGAATAGACATGTTGTAAGATGTCAAGCGCGAATGCGAAGGTCATAAATGATGACAGAAAAATGAGGTTGATGATGGACAAACTGTTCTGGCAATAGCTTAGGTGATGGTGTTTGGCTTCTGTTCCTTTTCGATATTGACGTCATCGGTCGATCCAGGCTACGAAAGTAAAGCTTACGAGACTAGTAGTATCATCTCATCTTACATATCGGCTGCGATTTCTAACAGCTCCGTTCTTTCTTTCTCTTGTCGTTTTTTTTTTCATAATTTCTGCTTCTCTATTCTTATTGATGTTTGTTGTTGTTGATGTTGTTGTTGTTACTCTTGTATGCATGAATGTGGTACCATTAGTAGACGTCATCTTTATATACTCTTTAGGGTCTTTCTTGTTTTCTTGCTAGCTATATTTTCTTCCGGTGACTATCGATATCATCTATCTTCTCCTTCTTATTCTTATTATTCTTCTCGTCTCATGAGACAACTATCATTAAGGTACAACTATTGATATTGTACAGATTTAAATAAATCTCATTAATAATGATTCTTACTGATCGTTCTCTGTAAGTCAATTTAGTCATGTGTTTGTTTATTTTGCCTATTATCTTCTTCTACTTCTTTTGTAAAGTGGCCATGAAACAACACGCCGTCGAGGAGTTGATTTTCCTAGTGATCAATCATCCGTGCCAGGGCGATCATCAGGTCGGCATATGTCTGTTGTTCCTCATGGAATAATTCATGATCCATTGAGCAGCGCCACAGGATCTTTGTCATACGATGGTGATTATAATCGATCATCTGTCGTCAGTTGTCTCGTGCCAGCTAGCATAAGTATTGCTACGAGGTGAGATAAAAGAATGGTTTTCTGATGATGCATGTGCGTGCGTGCCGTTCCTTCCCATTGAATTGAAATCAATCATTAGCAATTCATAGAGTTTTTCCAAATTATGTTTCAATTTGTTCTGAATAGATAATTGAAAGGACTAGATGTATGTAGGGAAATCTTTTTTGATTTAGTTAGAGAAAGGCTCCCCGAAGACTCGTCGTCGAAATAAACAGTAAATGGTGATATTCGGAAGTAGACAGTTTTAAGTTGAAGTATTTCTTTGTAACCGCGTACTCTGATCTATATTGATGATCAAATAGATTGTTTGTTTAATAAATAAAAACATAGTTTGCCATAGCAATTACGATGCTGTTCGATCGTATGATGAAATAGATCTATGTAAACTAATCGTAAAAGTACTTACAACAACTTTGTAGTCGATCCGAAGAGAGCGAAAGGCAACGAGGCTGCCTTTTTTTCCCTACGCAAAGGAAAACCATACATTTGTATGTCCTTGTTTAACGAACGTTGTTGTTATCATTTATCCAGTGTTGGTCTTATCAGACGAAGTTCTAGATGCGGAAATAATTGGACCGAAGCATATAATATTAGATACAAGAATGCATTGAAAGAAGAAATCTCAAATTCGCTTGTAATTTAGTTATCGTTAGTCGAACTTTCCGTATGATTGACAGAACAAAACCCGCAATTGTCATCCGGCGAGATGTGAAATTTCTACTTTGATTAGTCTTTTGCTTTCATAATGAATCAACATGTGTCTATCCGCGTGCGTCTATATATATATATATATAATAGAAATATAGTAAAAGACGACGAGGAGCGAAAAGAAAGAAGATGTTGATAGTTGTTTATCACAATTTCCTTTGCTTGTCTTCTTGCGTCTATGCATGCTACAACAAAGACAATCGCACTCCAACTGGTGTTCTTGCTGTTTTAAGCTGATAAATCATTACATTTGTATCAATTGTTACTCTTCTGAATTCTTTTCTCCCGATGCGAATTATTTCGTAGGACAGCTCTTCATGGTGTGAGTAATTTCCTTCTAATTAGCTTAATCGTCAGAGACGTTTGTGATGTTGTCAATTCTTTTTTAATGGAATTCTTTTAGGGCATTTTCACGACAACTTGATGAGGAATTAACACAAGAAGAACAACTACAAGCATCGAAACATCCTGATTACGAGTCAACTGAACGCGTTGTTATTAATGTCTCTGGATTGAAATTCGAAACACAACTACAAACATTGAATAATTTTCCTCGGACACTTCTTGGCAACCCATCGCGACGCGTACGGTTCTTCGATCCACTTCGAAACGAATACTTTTTCGATCGGAACCGGCCTAGTTTCGATGCGATTCTTTACTATTACCAATCGAATGGTCGATTGAGACGACCTAATCATGTTCCAATTGGTAAAGCGAGAAACTAGAGAAGCACGAGAACGAACGCTTTCCTTTTCATTTTAGATGTCTTTACCGAAGAAATCAAGTTCTTTGAACTGGGTGAGGATGCTTTCAATAAATTTCGTGAAGATGAAGGTTTTATCAAAGAAGAAGAACGAATTTTACCTAAAAAGGACATGCAACGAAAAATTTGGCTTCTATTCGAGTATCCTGAAACATCACAGTGGGCACGTGTTATTGCTATAATATCTGTTACTGTTATTCTCATGTCAATTGTCATATTTTGTCTAGGTATGAGAGTTATGAAGATCGAACAAAAGATCTGATGAGATATGTTTTCCTTTGATTTAGAAACACTGCCGAAGTTCAAACGTTATCGAGTTCGACCTGCCGATAATGCAACGTACGATTCGTCCCGTTTGACAATCGAAGAGGACGATATTCCCGAATTAACCGAACCATTTTTTATTATTGAAACATGTTGTATCATTTGGTTCTCGTTCGAATTAATCGTTCGTCTTTTGTCATCTCCACTGAAACTTGTCTTTCTGAAGTCGATGATGAATATTATCGACATTGTTGCGATCGTCCCGTACTTCATCACATTGTTCACGATTTTGGCTGAAGAGAAAACGAAGTCGAATCAAGCGATGTCATTAGCTATCCTGCGAGTTATTCGTCTCGTTCGAGTTTTTCGTATATTCAAACTGTCAAGACATTCAAAAGGTCTACAGATCCTGGGCCAAACGCTTCGTGCGAGTATGCAAGAGTTAGCGTTATTGATATTTTTCTTATTCATCGGCGTGATCTTATTTTCTTCGGCGGTCTACTTTGCCGAACAAGGTGAACCAGAGTCGTTTTTCAAATCGATACCAGACGCATTCTGGTGGGCAATGATAACTATGACTACAGTATGTTTTGCCTTTACTAATGCGCGGCTATTTTTTGAATATTTTCCTAGGTCGGCTATGGAGATATGCGTCCAGTTGGTATATTCGGTAAAATTGTTGGATCAATGTGTGCTATCGCTGGTGTGTTAACAATTGCTCTACCAGTTCCCGTTATTGTCTCTAATTTCAATTATTTCTATCATCGCGATATCGATTCCGAAGAACAGAAAGACATTAAATACACAACTAATGTCAGTGGTTCAAGTCCAACAGGCGTTGATATGATTAATGATCCATTTGCCCTCACCATGTCAACAAGTGTTGGTGGTCAAAAGAAAAAATCGATCTCGTCATCAGATACTTGCCATCATTTAGATGAATCCGATGCGTTTCTTCATTCATATTCAGCTGCCGACGAGCTGCCATTTCGTTCATGTACAGCAAATCACAAAAATAGTAGAACATCGCCAACACAACAATTAATTCAACGGAAAATTTCCTCGCCCAATGCCAATCTGAATAGTTTCAATAATTACACCTCATCATCATCGAATGAACCATTAAATGTCGAAACAGACGTGTAATGTTGTTGTTATCCGTCCACCCGGTCGCCTCTATGTCTAGTCATATTCCCTTCAATTAAGTTCTCTCATGTCATCAACTATTCGATTCACTATTGATTCGTTCGATTATATAATATGTTCAGATAGTTTTATTCGTTCGAATATCGTTTCAAGATGAGGGTGAAAGAAAAACGACGTATACATACGTTTCGATGTTATTATCTCCTTTATTTTCAAAACAAACGAAAATATCTTATCAAGGAAAGGAACCGTACAGAAGAGTTAACCCTGTGTTTTTCTTTTGTAATCTGTTTTGTTTTCTCTTTTTTCTTTCGTGTATTAAAGCAAAGCAAATCAAATCAATTCTCGTCTCTCTTCGTCTCCCTCGGCGCTCATGTGTATTTACTGATGCCATTATCACAATGATTGGGTGGTAAAACTAATCCCACATCGAAACATTCTACAAAAGAAAGGAAAGAACATCCTGACACATGTCGTCATGCCTTCCAAATGTAATATTCTATTTATAGATCGTATTATCATTGTGAAAGGTGACGTTTTTACAAGCGGAATTCTTTGATAATGAGATAAGATTGTGAATACCGCTCTCTGATTGCCTTCATTGTAGGTTTATTAGTTGAAAGTCAATTGGACTCTCTATCTTAGTCAACGAAACAACAGTATCTATGCTAATTATCTCCATGCGAATCGTGCAACGTAGCAGATAACTATTTTTCAGGTCTAATCAACGTTCTCTTTTGTTTCTGTCAAGGACTCAGTTTTGGCAACAGACTTTTTTGCGCTAAAATTTCAACACTTCATACGCAGTACTATCTACGCATTCTTTGTTCTGGTTGTATTGAAGTCAATCCGATGATAAATGAGGTTTTCTACGAGTCATTAATTATTCCGACAGATGAAGAGTAGTTTTCTGTATAAGATCATGTAGTAGTGTAAGTTTATTATAAACTCATGTAAAATGCCATAATGTCATTGCTTACAGCTGTTCTGTTCTTATCGAGTGATCGATTGATCGTGTTAGATGATTAAAACACACGTCTTTCATCATTAGACAATCTGATTTATTTACAAAATCTGGTCATGTCATACGTCATCGTCGTATTGTTCACATTCTGCTTCATGTGTGAATTTTTCTAGCCGTTTTCCGCCGATTTCGTCGAGAATTTCTCTGGGAAATTCTGCTTGATACTTTGCTACGCATCTCAAACAAAATCTTCGTGTATAGAATACACTACAGTCGGAATGCACACAAACTGGACACGAACAAACAGAGCACAAGCCACCGAGAATCACCGAAGATAATTTCGATTGATCTTCTTTGTCCTTTTCTTTGATGGCAACAAATGGATCGCGAAGTAGATAGACTTTTTCGAGAAGATTTATTGTCAACGAAGGATCTTTTTTGTTCCGGGATGATTGTGTCGTCGGAAGATTGGAATCATCAATATATTGCGAATCGTATCGATCATAAGCAGCATAGAATGGACAAAGCGAACATTGAAATACTTTTGGTTCGAGTACTTCTTCTTCGGTCATCTGAAAGTGATGATGACAAAATCCGTCGAAGAAGAATGCCAAAGTTTAGTGTACACAGAAAAGCAAGAGATTTTTATTATAAAAAAAATAAATGTTAGATACTCATTCGCTCACGGTTGTCAAATAAATTACACAAGAAACTAAGACAAAAAATAAAATATCACAAAATAAACATTGTCATCAGTCCAGTCATTTCTTCTACGTATCTTTGCGACGTTTGAATTGAGCTAGAAGATCCTGGAAGGGAAAAATGCTTTGACATATTATGTTAACAAATCGAAAGAAATGACCGATTACTTTGGAAATTTTCGTTCCCAGAACAAGTTTCATCTTGTTTGTCTGATCCTCATCATCTTGCTCACTTTTCTTTAACGTTTCATTCTGATTCGTGCTATCTGAATTGTAGACAACTCGATTCTTTGCTGGTCCATTGTCTGCTCCGACTGTAGTTGTGGCTAATAATTGTTGATTTTGCGCTCGGGTTGACTTGCCAATGAATGGTAATCGGAGATTGATGTTTTGTCGAATCGCTTGTGATAATAAAACATTTTTAACATCAGATTTTATCGCCAGAACGAGATCGTGGTAACTGCATGTTAGATTTCGATATTCCAATGTGGGAAATGATATATGAGCATTCTCTAGATCGCCGATTTTCTTCTCTTTTGTACCCTGAATATAGAAAGGAAATAAGAATGAAACATGCAAAGGATAAGTATACTCGTATTTTGTAAGAGACAATCAAAGATACTTCGGGAATTTTAATATATTGAAATGTTAAAGTATTCTTAGCACGTTTTTCCATCGCATCCAGATCGCGAATACTGAAGTAGAACAACGATCGGCCAGCCAACAGTTCTTCGTCACCCTTAAATAAAAGAAGACAATCTTAGTTTTCGCGTGTAATCTCATAGATGAAACTGTTAGAGTTAGAACTGTGAGTAACCCAACATATACGCACACACACACACACACACGCGTAAGAATTGTAAGAGAGAGTAGTATTAGATAAGAAAATTGAATGTGCGTGTAGTGAACCACGATTGAATTATAGATAAAAGAAAGTAATACCCATGGAATATCGTTCGAAAAACGACGACTAAATCGACGTAACATGCCCTATAGAAGTAAATTGTATCTAGGAATCTAATCTAACTCTTTCTTTCATTTGCATGCCATGATATTCGATTTTTCAGAGAGAAAAAGAATTGATCGTCTTACTTCCGATGATCTGCTTCGATGTTTGAGGGAATTTGATGTGGGACGTTTCAAAGATGATTTATTGGCTCGTTGTTGAAGGTCAGAGCTCTGCTGAGTCTTGTTCGGGAAAAGAAATGCCATTATCATTTGTGAAAAGCGACGTGTCATTTGAATGACAAGCGGAGCTACATTTATCTCTATAAAAAAAGAACAACAATCGTACATCAAATTGTTTTAATTACTATTGATTACCAAGATGTTCTTTAACAGCTATTCCACCAACAGATTCTCCTTCTTTGCAGTAAACACGGATCATAGTCTGCTGTTGTTGGCAATTTGCTGTTAGAATTGTTCGATAACGATCATCTCGTAGTAAATTATCGACTTGAGCTTGCCCAATATTGACCGAATGTTCATTCGTTCCATTTTCAAAATAACGTTTTGTGTACCTGATATAAATCAAACGTTTGGATGAAGAATACATTTGAACAATTTCTTACAGAATGTTTCTCAAAAGAAACTGTGCATTTGTAATTTGTCCGTCGTCATGTTTAATAAACCAAGTTATCGACCCACCGTAAATTTCGTATCGCCGTTCTAGCCGAGCAGTCTTATGAGCTATAAATAACGATGAATCAAATCAATTTAGTCAAAGATCAATTCAGCTGACCTGTCGCCGCAATTCGTAGCTTAACCAATCGTGCCAATTGCATATCTTTGTAAACAGCGCACATCATGCCCAAGTTTTCCGCTAATTCATTCAATTCAACTTTAACCGAAGTATACGATGTTTGTAATTGTTGATACTCTTGAACAGTAAATGAGAGTGCTCGAGTTCGGCCATTACCATCTTCATCGTCCGATGAATAGGAATTTCTAATAGGAGAAAACAACTTCTACGAAAAAGAAGAAGAGGATAGTCGTTAACATACACGACGTTGTTGTTTGTTCGACTAAAATAATACATTTCTCGCTCGAGTCTTCGTAATTCAGCCAATGTTGATCTATTCAAGTTTGTTGTTACATGGAGAAAAAGATATTCGTTTTCAAATCGATCTTTACCTGACACGTTCAAGTAGATGACGAATATTCTTCTGTAGCACAGGAAGATTATTTGCTAGTTGAATTTTTAAGCGAAGTTTGCGTAGTTTATTATTTATACCCTAGAATATCACTCGAATTCAGGTATCGAATGTTTCGAATCATACTTCTCTCTTTGGATCAACATAAAGCAGTAAATTATTGACAATATCCATAATTGTACGATATTGTAACTAAATCAACCAATATAAATGGGTCAATGTAAGGAAAAAGCCTACTGAATTCGTGGAAAGTTGAATATCATTATGAATGAATGTCAGTGAATCAACAAGTAAACGATCATTTTCACCTATAGGGTTTTGCTCATTAATTGATGGTTTTGTGAATGGCTAGAATAAAGAATAGATCGAAAAAAGTCTTTCTATTCATTTTCTACCTACCGGAATAACAATATTTGTGTCTGTCTCTTCTTCTTGCTGTGTTTGTTCAGTATAGAATACATAGGATAAAGTAGCGTTTGATTTCGAGACGATACATTGCAATTGCTGATCACCACATCCATCGTTGGTTGCGATACTGCCTACAACACTCCGTGACGATTCACCCAACAGTGAATTTTCATCGCGAATATCACGTCGTGGAATCCAGATAATGTCATCGTCCGATGATAACAAAATCGACGATAGAGTATTAGTGTTTTCAGTTGAAGGATTTGATGATGAGGAAGACGATGAAACTGTCGTGGCATAATATTGCATGCTTTGGAGATCAACATGCCAAGATGTTTTGTCACATAGTTGTTGATCACGCCAAACAGGTTTATGACGATACTGATCAACTAACGCATTAGTTGCGGATAAAATAACATAACCACGTGATTCAATGCCGCGCAAAGCAATCTGACTATCAGCTAATTCAATGTGTAAGGTATGTTCTTCAACATCATCTTTCGTACACTGTCGAAGGCCCACCAAAGACACTGATTCGTCAACAGTCTATAAAAGAAATCGAATCAAGTGAAAAAGTAACAACTTCAAGATTGTCAGAAGAAAGATATGATTGTAATCATGGCATTAGTATATGTTATTCGATCTGACTATATTGGTATTAGTAGTGACTAGTTAGTTATCCGACGGTCGATGTAATCATACGACTGAAGTTGTCTAGATCGAATGGAAGCTGATGATATCGCTTTGCTTAGAATTACTGTACGCTTTTAATTCCACGGAAAGGAAATAGAATACATAAAATGTAAGATGGATACAGAAGTTACTTGCCATTTTTCTATCAAATTAATCCCACATATAATTATTGAAGTACCTAACTAATTATTCGATCAGATACAAAATGTTATCAACTAAGAACGGGTAAGATTAAAACTCTTAGTACATATGTTATGTGTACAGATGGAACGAATAGTTCATCGACTTAATATGTACATACCGGATCAAGGTCGACACTTGCTTGATATTGACTTTCATTAATGAGTTGATCGAGGAATGAGGCTAACGTCGACGGTTGAGATGTCGTTCCATTCGTTGTGGTAGTGATTGAAGTTGTTGCCGTAGTGCCTGTTGCTGCTGATCCTGAATCCGAGATCGTTTCATCTGTGCTCAGTGATGCCAGATTACTATTGTCATCTACGGGTGAATAATCAGATGGTGTAACAAGAGTTTTTTCTTGCTGTAGGTGATCAAGTTCTTTGGCAAATGGATTCGAAAGATTCGATCGGAGGATATTGTTTCGACGATAACGTTCATAAATAAGAAAAAGTGTTCGCCGATTTGTTAAATTCCATACGGCTTTCAATTCATCGATTAATACACTGTGTGTACTACTTTTACTGCTGGTCGATGGCGATCGTATATAAATGAGACTATCTAAACTTAGAAAAGACGTTCGTTCTTGTTGACATTTTTGCGGGTTATCATCTTGTGTCGTTGCTAGTTCATTCATTTCTTTATCTTCATTCGCGTCTCGTAGTAGCCACATCTGTGCACGTTTTAAATTAACATTCATCATTTTTGGTTTCCATAAAATTTTCGCACGTCGCGCTAAGCCATCATGGTGATCGATTAAATTCAATTCTTGGTACGTTACAAAATTAAATAGTTGACAATCAACTTGGGCGCCGGTTTGTCGAGCGAAGGATGTTAAATATCTGACACGGAATTGTGGAAGAATTAGTTGCAATTCAACAGCTTCATAATGACGAGAAAGGAGAGGTTTCCGTGGAGGAACGACAGTTTCACCCGGTGGCAAAAATAACTTTCCACGACGAGTTGGCCGAGTAATAGACATCATGGTATTCTATTAAAACCGAGAACAATGTTGGAAAATCAATAAGAACGAGAGACGGAAGGAGATTTACTTTGACACGCTCACAAAACCGAAGTGTACTTGCATAGATTGTACAAGTAGGTGGTGTTTCACCTTTTGGAACATCTTTACATTCGAATTTAGCTGTTGCATTCAAATGATTCGAACGGTAAAATGCATAGGAATCATGAGACTAGAAAGCAGAATTTATGTTAGTTCGAACTTAAAACATGTGTGATCAGAAGTTTTAATCTGACAGCATAGATATATCAGACTGACTTATCAATATAAAAATGACATCATATCACACATCTCGGAAAGGAGGATTCGAACATGAGTAGTTCGAATAGATGTCTCCTCGGACCAATCGATTAAATTTACTTTTTTCTTCTTCCACGAATTCACTGCATCTCGTGTGTACAATCGAACAGCATGATGATCATTGGAGTTACCGGCGCATAACCAACCGAGCGAAATTCTGAACGAAAATAAAAACGGTGAAGTCATTTTCGAAAGAAAAAGATCAGATTTAAACCTTGTATCGACATTGGGTAGATAGAGGAGACAACAGTCATCGTATTTCGAACTGGTTCGTAATTTGATCGAAAGACTTGATGCTTGAAAAGTAAACTTTCCATTTGTCCAGTCGACATATGCTTGATCCCAGACCCATTCCATCTCCTCTGTGTCGTTATAAGGACTTGAAGCAACATGATACAACCAAGACATTTTGTTTGCTGCAAAGGACCATCGTCCATGAAGGTAAAGACGAATTTTATCCCACCAAGGAAGCAATGGAGAAGGGTCGACTGTACGCGGAGTGATGCTGTTCATACATAGATTCACTTGAGCCATTGTATTTTCCCACTAGGATAAAATCAATTCTTAGTAAATAGCTTTGCTCGAGTTGGAACTTACGGCTGGTCCGTAGGAAATCAGGAATGAATCAATATCTGAATTAATATCATGATAAAATTTCAATGGTGAAAGAAGACGTTGTATTCGAAAACCAGTAGATAGGTAAGGTTCACCGATTTCTACCGAGGGCGTTCTTATCGAATCTAATGTATCGGGTGTTACTTCAGCTGCGCAGATATGTCCCCATAAATGAAATTGTTGCATTTGCCACAATGGTTGTCGGAAATCTCGGAAATGTATCGACCATTCATCACATCTCAATATTACATACCGACACCATATTGTACATAGATCACTGGTCTCAATAGGAATCTGTGTACTTTCGGAATCAATCTGATGTATGATATTCAGTATGTTTTCTTTTCCTGTCCATGATCGGTCAGCTAATGCGGTTAGATCGACTTGTCGTAAATGCCAACGGATAAGATTACGTTTGATACGTTGACGATTTTCATCATAATTGGTACTTTGACTGCGTTCTATGTAAACTTTTGAACTAGCTTCCATCAAAGCACGCTTTAATTCGTTAGTGTTATTCAATGGGTTGGATTTACGTTCGGACTCCTCAATACGCTGTTGGAGTACTTGTTCACGTAATTCACGTTCTTGATATTCATCGGCCATTAACTAATTGTCAACGAAACAATCTGTGAACTTCATTGTCAACTATCGAATGAAAACTTACACAATAATTTTGAAATAATTTCACTTCGAACAAATCATCTGTAATAGCTAATTCAAAATCCTTGAAGAGACAAAAATTGTGTTCGAGAAAACTTTCCAAAGTATACAAACTCTCACATTAACTTTTATCGAGAGATCTGTCCAGACATCATTTGATATTGAGTGTCGGGGAATTTCATTGAGGAAATTCGTTGACATGTCACCATTATGATTATGAATACGTTTCAACCATTTACGGATGTTGACCAACTAAAAAGCATGAATAGTTCAGCTCATTACAATCCAAAGTCGTAGCAACCTTTTCCACCACTTCATTGAACGTCGAATCGAACGGAAAACGAATTGAAAATGAATTGATCTGTATCAGACTAGCACGATTCTGAATCATATCAAGTGTAGGTATTGTTTTCTTTAACAACAAACGTTCCGTAGTTAAATTTTCCGATTGGCTCAAACGTGTAAACAAAATATTCTAAGATAAAACGACAACAGTGATCTCATTTGCTATTCCAATATAACCAAATCCTACATTGACAAGAAAAATGCATTGCTGTTGACAGTCGATCATTAGTTGAAAACATTTTAATTCCATTTGCGTACCATTATCATACAAAAGCTGACGCATATACCGACCGGAAAATTGTTGCAATTCCAAATGAATTCTTAAGAAAAAAAAACAGTCAACTACATTCAACACATGTTCATAGTCGATCTACCTGCAATCACTCGATAAGTGTAAGTATACATGAGCACATGTTTCTATTTCAAATGTGATGTTGCTCTTCGTTGTTTGTAATGGATCAGAATTATCGGTGGTACCACTCGGTACCGTTTTCGTTTTCTCGCTAATCGATTTTAATAATGAAACAAAACGATAGAGGAATAGATGTAACTTAGTTGACCATGATATTGTGATATCATATGGAATAGAGATTTTTATCATTGAAGTTTTCTATAAACACAAATGTAGAATCTTAATTTTAGATTGCTATGAATATACTTGTAGATGTTGAACACTTAAACGACGAATATCGAGTACTGTTTGACCTTGCATGAATGAACCTAGAGGCTACAAATACAATACGTTAGTTTGTTGAAAATATTTCCGAGATGACAAAAACAATTTCGAACCATATTAGTTGCTGTTTGGTTTTGAAAGTGTGCAAGAATCTTTTTCATATCCATGTGTGTTCGATGCACACGAATTGATGATATTACAACATGTAAACATACTAAGCAAGCAATAAGAAAATTGATTACTATTTGATGGTATATTTTATATACCTGGTAAACTATCACAGATAACCAAGCTGATTGTTTTCATCTGGAATGATAAATCTATCAAACGTGATGATTTTGTCGATGGATTCGACCGCATTGTTTGTAAACGTTTCAATAGACGAATTAATATTTGGTTGGATTGAACGCGTAAACCATCAATATCAGATTGAATCTGTATTGCTTGATTCAGTGATATCTATGCGAAGAAGATAGGACACGATCAATGAATCATATCAAGAGAATTTTGAAGGTGCATTACAGATACATTAGCAGTTGGAAGATAAATTAAACAATTCCAAAGATGTTTTTTATCGAGATCATCTACAATTGATTGGGAGAAGATACTATCGGTAGAGATGACACTATCGGCTGTGTATAGTAGCATGTTTTTCACTTCAATCATGGACCTAAAACAAACGAATAAGATCCGAGGTGAAAGATTTTATCCAATACATTATTTCAAGGTTTTGTTGATTGAAGTAAAAGTTGATTTTTGAAAAATTCGTTTGCCAAATGAAATATTCTTCCATGTCATATAGTTTTAAACAAATAGCCGGTTTTAAAAATTGGAATGATATCTTAATTTGTCGATTAAACTTCCATGAACTAAAACGATCCTATAATTTTATCAAAGACACTTTCCACAGATTTACCTGTTTGATGAGGATGAGCGAAACGATAGTAGATTATGCAGTTGTTGAATGGTTTGTTCATGCAATTGAATATTCAGCTCATTTAACTGACATCCTATATCAACATTATTGGGATGTACCTGAAATCAAGAAAGATAATGTTTGTTCATTTGCTCAACACTCCATTGAAAGATGCTTAGCATAGCCGAAGATCAAGTTTCTATAAGGATTAGTCAGATCTCGATTTTCCTTTTGATAGATGTTTCGTATCAATGAAAAAGCTCCAACGCGTCTTACTGTTGTCTGGCACAGCCCATTGATGCGAAGTGTCGATGGCGAATGAAGGCGAAAATTAGCAATGTATGCATGTCGTGTGTCGGATAACGCTTTCGAGGAATTATGAAATGAAAAATGTGCAGTATCAAGATAATGATGATGTTGAGTTTTATCTCTACAAACATGAAAATCGATGATTACGTGGGAAAATTTCATCCATAGAAAAACATACATAGTTGTGTAGTGAATATCGAAATGTTGGATAGAGATATTGACGAATGGATCACGAAGATATGCGACCCATTGATCGAATTTACTATTGGATATATTATTAGTCTGGATCGATTGAGTTTCTGATATCAAATTCGAATCAACAGAATGAAAATGTGATACCCGTTGTTGTTGTTTCAAATAGCTAATTAAATCTAAAACAAAACCATTCGATTCGCTCTTGCTCAAATCGATTCGCTTACGATCGTTAAAATCTATCGAACAATTTGTTATACTAATCAATAAACGTTGATGGAAATTTGTTTGTAATTCGATACTACTCCATGTTGATTTCAATAGATTTGTCGATGGAGGATCAATAAATAAAAACTGAACATCTCCACATTGAATTCGCATGTCAAAACTAAATACGATACTAGAATTCAACGAATGTGAATGATTACTTATCTGCATACTTTGTGATGTTTGACGCAGTCGTTGGATGTAACAGAATTTGTTTAAAAGACAGTTGAGCATTTTGATATTCAACGTGGAATTGTTCGATGCGAATTGAAAGATACTAGAAAACAAGACTATTTGTTTAGTTTTATTATCGAAGGTAAATTTACTTTGAGTAAGGCTAATTTGCCTTTCCAATCATTGGTTGATTTCGATTTCGTGGAAGTTTGATTTGTTTTTGGATGAATGGTTAAATGAATATTATTGAGCACAACATTCGGCACGCGACGTAGAAAGATTGAGGGTAGAGAAAGGAAGTTTATGTAGTGCACACGGAGGCGAAATTGTCGATGATTGATTTCAAGATTTTGTACGTCACCGATACTAATCGAACCAAACTTAATGCGAATTTCATAGAACCAATTGAGATAAATTAAAAATAAACTAAAATAAACAAGAGCAAATTAATTATCAATCCTATGCAGTTCACCCCCCTACCGTATCGTGATCCAAATAATTGAAAAAATGATGCCAAAGGCAAGAAGAAATAGGCCCAGAACTCCTCCGAAAACCATTTCTTGAGTTTTTTTCCACCTAGCATCAAAACATTGAATAGAGATGATTCACTAGATTTGTTCTTATTGTCATAACCATTCGCAATATGTAGATGGCGCTGATTATCAGAATGGAAGAAATCTCATTTTTCTCTCAAGTAATCCGTTGAAATCTTGGTCGCTAAAAAATTTTGATTCTTTTTCTGAAGAAAGCAAAAACGAGAAAACAATGTTTCGACTTTCAAAATTCCATACTTCTCCACGAATCTGATTGGATACGAGCCATTTTGAGTTTGTCTCTTACTACACATGCAAATGTTTATTTGGTGTTTTACTTCTGTTCGTATTACTAAAAAATAATTTGTAATTGTCTTGTAGATTATTCATTGGTGAACTTCATTAAACATGGCTACGAAAGATCCAGCAACTGGTAAAGTTCCCGCCCAAGCTGGCGCTGGTGAACAACAGGAATATAAAATTCGGATTACACTAACATCGCGCAATGTGAAATCATTGGAAAAAGTCTGTGCAGATTTGATTCAAAAGGCCAAAGAAGAAGAAATACGCGTCAAGGGACCTGTACGTATGCCAACAAAAGTTTTACGTATAACAACACGTAAAACACCTTGCGGTGAAGGTTCAAAAACGTGGGATCGTTTTCAAATGCGTATTCACAAACGTGTTGTTGATTTACATTCAAAATCGGAAATTGTTAAACAGATCACATCCATTAGGTAAGAATAGGAAACATTTTCTATTCCATTTCATGGTCTTTCTTCTGTCGTTTAGTATCGAACCAGGTGTAGATGTTGAAGTAACAGTAGCCGATTCATAAATGGTAAACGAAAACTAGTTGAAATCTTGAAGAAAAGATATTAACATCAAACTTGTCTTTTTCTTCTTCCCGTTGTTTTTGTTGAGTTTTATATCAAAATAAAAAAAACAACAAAATTTCATAACAACATAATAAGAAAAGAAGTTTCGAATGTAGTTTTATATTTTCTCTTCAAGCACAAAGAAAATGATTAACAAAGTAGAATGTTCGCCAGCGGATATGTAGAATGACGTCAAATACATACTTGTTGGGTTCTAACTTTACTCTAAGCGAAATAAAAGTGCGCGTAAGTCAATGATTAATAACGATAACCATATGATCGTCTACTGGGATAGTGTCGGCTAGAGTGGTGACTGTAATGATGACTGGAGCTTCCTGGATATCCGTAGTAAGCTGGTTGATCGTAGTAATAAGCCTCTTGTTGTTGTGCTTGCATTTGTTCGACTGTTGCACCATAAGCCGCGCCGATTCGATGCGCTGCTGCTACACTAAGTCCAATACCAGCTCCTACAGCACCCACAGCAGCACCTGCCAGCAATGCACCAGCTATGAGCGATCCGGGACCCATTTCTTATCGAAAGATTTCAAAAGGAAATATACCAACGAATCTTTCTGTTCTCTGTATACCGACTGGGCACGCTATTAGTAATAATGACGATGATATTAACGAATATTCAGTATGTCGTAGTTAAATAAATATACCACGAGGCGGTGGCTCGTAATCGATGCGGAACAAAACAAATCGGGAATGTAAATTATATGATTTTATCGATTGTTCATTGTTAAAAATGACTGCCAATGCATGGAGCACCGACAAAAACAATCCTCTATCTATGAAACAAGATTTATTTCAGATATTTGCTTGGTACTTTTTCTGCTTAGTCACTCAAACAACCAGTTTTTAAAACAAATGCGTTCTTGTTTATTTGAAAAACAGAAAACATCCGTCACACAATGTAAATGAATGTCATACTGTGATGAAATAAAGCGGACGAAAAGGTAATTTCGATTTGTCCTGAAGGAGCGTTGTTAGACTTTCTTCCGTTTTACTTAAAAGAATTCAAGCCGAAAATCATATATACATCAGTGTGGGCGAATCTGTTAGAGATATAAGAATAAAAGAACCTACAGTACATACGTCGTTTCAGTTTCTCTACAGCATGTTACAAGCATTAAAGTCCGACGCTTTTCATACCATCGATATCATTCTGAGTGAAGAATCCATCCATAACTTGCGACGTGCTTTGTTTGAGACAATTTTTACCAGTAAAGAAACGATAGATTCGATTGAGTGTGTTCAATAATTCATTTCGGAAAATTCTCGCTGAAAGTGTATAGAAGAAGAATCCGAGTGCATGAGAACCGTATGATAGTAAACGTAGAATCGCTATTAAGAGACTATATTGAGCTTTTTGTAAAGGTGTCTGTTGGGTTTGTGAAGAAAATGTATCAACTAATTTTTGTATTGCGAATGGTAACGTAAATACGATGATAATCAATACTTGAATGAGAAGCATGATTAGCAATTGTGTGTCGCGTCTTTTATTTCCATTTGTTCGGAGTTGAGTTCTTGCATACACTGTGGGAATAATTAACCGGCGCCTACGTCGAATATTCCGTAATGTTAGTATTCCAAAAACAAACATGAGTATTGGTGGCACTAATGCGTAAAAAAGTAGGTACTGCAAATCGGATAGAAATCGATAAATGCCTGCTAAGGCGTAGCATGATTTGGCAGATGAAATTGAATCAATTTGAATACCGAAAAGAAATAAAACATGAACATACGATATGAAGCAGATCAAACATGTGATGACACTCATACGACGAGCGAATGAAACTCGATTAAAACGCTGTTTCGCTTGTATACTTGATAACCAACGATCGATGCAAGCTAGGACAATGAACCATGTGGCTAATGTTCGAGAATAATACGTTAAAAAATATCGAATTTTACAAAAGATATCCGAACGTAGACTCAAATCATTCCCATAACCGTCAGAAACTATTCTTGTGATAACCACCCAGTATAAAACAATCAAATTCGATAGGCTATTGTATAGTAAGTATTGTACACACGAATTATTGCAAAGACTGCGACGAGTAAAAATAATCATATTCAAAATCAGACCAATTGTACCAAATACAACAAATGGCAGTGGAAAATATCGATTCATTTGCACGTTAATATAATTCAACCAACTTATATCGTACGACGCAGACATAGTTTTGCAGATAAATGTGAAATCAACAGCAAGGCTCTTTTCTATTACCTATGATTATTATTTTTCTTGTCATGATGGCTTCTGTCTAATTACATTTCTTTGAAAATTACACTCGGAGCGGTATTAACGTTGACAACCAGGCCAAAAAAATGAGAAGCATTCATTGAAATGAATGAATACACATCCGACGTGTTTCTATCAAATCCATTCAGTATTTCAATGTACTCGAACGGAAATCGATTTCTATTTATTCGATGTCATTCACGGGAAAAGTGCTTACGTAAAATGCACTTTTAGATTTGGCGAAATTTCGATTAATCCTTTGTTGACTACGACATTATCAACAACAGATGGTCGACTTTAGACATTTCAATTATGAAAGAACATTCAACGGAAGTCTGAGCAAAAACAGTGTCTGACAAAGATTTACCGTTAAAGAGTGCACCTCATTCTACTCAGAAATCTCCTTGATATGTTTTTTTTCATGACTTGATCGAGGTGTCGATTTCACCGGTTGCTATTGAGGAAAACAGACGGCAACCGATTGACTGCCATGCATCAAAATAGTACGCATATCGTATTAACTACTTCGATTTAGTAAGCACGATATCAGACCTCGATGATAGGAAACAGATTTCTTGACCGACAATCCTATTAACATTCGTTCCGGTGAGAAAGCCAACTTTTATTATAAGTAAGAAAGCATTTTATTTTATCTGAAATCCGACTCGAGCGAGCAGTTATTATGAAAATAGAACCAGGTGGTGAGTAGCAGAATGATTTCTTTTTGTTTTACCACTACGCGTTTCAGTAAAATGACATAGATCGACTACCAAACGTGCTGATGAATAGCAAAGCACATATTAGTTCATTAGTAAAAAGTTGACGTGCTCTTCTCAGTGAATGACAATCAATGATTAGTCGGTGCAACCTAGAAAAAGTCAGCACACCGACTGATTATTATGTTGATATTCAGAAAAACGACTCATGCTTTTTTGCGCTCTCATAAAAAGTATCATGCGCGCATTCCAATGAGATCGAAGTACATGTTGACGGTTGCGTTGTGTAGTGTCTTGTGCCCGAATTAGGCTTATGATGGAAAGAAGATCTTTTGAGAGTCGATTCGATCTGTCTTATGATGGAAAACATCAAAAATGAATCTCCCCAATGTATTGTTAACATCAAACATGTTGTCAAAAGATATGGCTGATTTTTTTTCAAATATAATTTATTATTTCGACGATCGTGTGTTATATACACTTAATTGATGACTTTCGAAGATACGTCGACTCCAATGATCTCAAGATATTCTACTGTCAGATCAGTCTGAACAATTGCAATCAATAGATAGCAGGTTTATCACGTATGTTAACGTCGATCTGGAACATTAATTATTCAACAGTGTAAATGAAAACATAACGGATCAGATGTTTTCTACGTCCAAGAAACATATTTCCCACGCATACACATATTCATACGAAGTATGTAGGCAACTTGGAGAAACCAATCACAGAGTTTAATTGACTACGTCAAGTATACTCGACGAATCATTTACTTTTAGATCATGAACACGAGTTAATAGGTTTGTTTGCTGTAATATTTGTATTCATAGTTCATAGAATGTTGCTTCGCTAGTTAGCAGATTTTCTCAAGTTCTCGAAAAATAGATGTGGGTATTGGAGTGCACTGCCGTCTGTTTGGTATCGTCGAAAACAATATTCAAACAGAGACTTTTTGTATAATTAATTTTATTTTTGTGAAAAAAAATACTGCGAACCAAACTTAGAAGAATGTGTTGTTTATGAATAATTAATGGTGTCATATTGATTTTCTTTGTCTCAAAGATTTATACAGCTAAAAATGAAGGAGCTAGACTAGCAGCGCATAATCAAAAAACATGTCGAACAGGACGATTTTGCCCTAAAGAAATAGAGCCGTTCTTTCTGGAATATTGGTCCAATGCGTAACAAGACGCAAGTGGAGTGTATCAGGAGTTTCTCATACAGGAAAATTCATTAGTTTACGCAGTGGAAACGCATAACATGAAGCCTTGATTGTTTTACTATTAAATCAATGCTGAACTAATTGTTTCTTAAATGAACTCCGCAGAGTGAACGTTGATGGAAAAAATTTTTTGTTTTGACTTTTTGCGGGGGAAAAGAAAAGAACATCTTTAGCTGCACGCACTCTTATCAGTTTCCATATGGTTCTTTCGCCTTTTTCTCTTTTCACAAGCAATGCCATCACTGATTATATTGACGAATATATCTCGTTCTTGTTCTTCTTCGTCTTCTTCTTCTTCTTTTGTGTTGCACTTCACTGGGAACAAAGACAACTTCAGGCTGCAATTTTCATTTCGTGCATCACCCGCTCAGTATAGATTTTCTTAGATGAAACATTCATCAAGCTTTTCATAATCTACGTCGTTTCGTGTTTCAATTTGACATGCAATATGCTACTTAGAATTATGAAAGATATTTCTGATAAGTATAGTTCGCATCTGCAAACAAAAAACATCAGTCGAAATTTCGTAAGTTAAATATATTGACAGAACCGTACGGAAGCAACAGGAACATCAGTCGACATTTCATGATAATAATCTGCATTAAAAGTAATTAAAGCAAAAAAAAAACGAGAAAGAGGAGTCTAAGTAAACATCCGCTTTCCATTGCTTTCTGTTTTTAAGTATCAATAGAAAGAAAAGTTTTCTCATCGGACTTACACACTGCCGTGTTACACGCTTGATCGACAATGTAACACTTTGTAAAAGTACGAAGAGTTCTATATCATTTGTTATTCGCTAAAATGCATCTACGTAAGCATTTCTACTTCTTTTCTGCTCAAGTTAAAGTGGCTTGTTGTATACTATCTCATTCGTATCTTAATCTTGTTTCAGTATAAATACATATTAAATCTATGGCGACAAACATCACTCTTGATTCTAGTCGTGATCTTCGGCATACACGATTGATTCTTTTATCGGTGCTTTTCTCAGTTGGTCTCACTGGTTGTTCAATAGTTATATATTGGTTAATACGTTATGCAAGATGGCACATGAGATCAGCACGTATATGTTCGCTTATATTAAATTTAGTTATTGCTAACCTATCTGTATATATATTCGCCACTGGTATTCAAATATTTTGGGAATTTCAAACAAATCGACAATGGCCATTCAATGATTTCCTATGTCGTATAACGAAATTTTTTCAAAGCTTTTCTATTCTTTCTGCTACGTATATCGTCGTTCTCATGGCTATTGATCGTTGCATTGCAATAGTAACACCGTTAAAGGCCGGTCAAATTCGTGTAAGTTTCAAGTCTTCTTTGATTCTAATCAGAATCGAATGCCTGTTCTCACTTTTTATAGGTACTCTATCTTTGTGGTAGCGCATGGTTGTTAGCAGGTCTTCTATCAACACCGAATGTGTTCATATTTCACTTACGCATCGATAGCACCGGTCGTCATTGTACGGCCGGCTTCAACCAGCACTCGACGCGTACTGGACGTCGGATCTATCTGACATTTATTTCACTCGTTGTTTATTTTATACCGTTTCTTGTTCTCTTTCTTTGCTACACATTAATTTTTATCAAGTTACTATGGCGTGAACGTGATCAACAGAGTCGATTGTTTACTCCAACATCATTTTGTTGTTCGTGGTTATTGGACACGAAATCGACTTATTCACCAAAAATGACGTTAGAAACAACAAATGCAAGATCAGGATCAACACGTTCATCTTTCACAGAATTTGATGCGCGACGAAAACGTGCCAATACGTACGCAAAAGCTCGCACAAAGACATTTCGAATGGTAAGTGCCATTTTTTATTTCTTATGACAAGTTTTGCATCATTGGAATAAAAACATATTAGAACACTAGAAGATTATTGGGGAATTTTATCAGATTGANTAGAAACAACAAATGCAAGATCAGGATCAACACGTTCATCTTTCACAGAATTTGATGCGCGACGAAAACGTGCCAATACGTACGCAAAAGCTCGCACAAAGACATTTCGAATGGTAAGTGCTATATCTTATTTCTTATGACAAGTTTTGCACCATTGGAATAAAAACATAATAGAAAACTGGAAGATTATTGAGGAATTTTATCAGATTGAAAGCTACTCTTATGTGCGCTTCTAATCTTCTCAGTGTCTGCTTGAATGATCCTTTCGAAGTCTTATTGAAAAGATCTTCCCGAACGGCAAAAGTATCTATCTTTTATCGACATTCGTTTGCTAGAAAGTTCCTTGCACAATGGGGATGCTTTAACAAATTTTTGCTTCCATCTTTAGATCATCGTACTCGTTCTATCCATGATTATTTTCGGTGCGCCGTATTACTGTTTGGAATTGTATGTTGCTTACACTGGACGACATCCGACTGACCTAGTAACCGCTTTAGCTGGTGGAGCAGCTGTTGCACCTTCATCACTAGACCCATGGATATTTCTTGTCTTCTGGGCTAATTGGAATCAACGAGCTAATATTGGTAGTAGCCGTCGATTGGGCAATGGAAGTTTACAACAAAAACAGCAGCAGCAACAACAACAACAACAACAACAACCATGCTTACAAGTGCGACGAACGATGCGAGCAAATACAACTGGTACATCATCATCAAGTGATCGGCGTCAACATCAACATGTACTTGTTGTTGGCCAATCACCTATGCCACCCTATACGATAAGATGGAATTCAACTCATAAGAAACAATGTCTGTCGTGAAGTGTACATAGATGTTTTTTAAAGAGAAAAATGCCCTTAAATAATAATAACTATCAATGACAGTAGTCGTACAGACCAGTATTGCTTGATTATCTTCTGATTAAATAATTGCTCGTCCGTTGATAAACAAAAAAGCATTGTTTCGTGTTATTTAAAGAATCTCGATTTATCCTATGATATAAATATAGGAAATCGTTTCCGTAGCGGAACTATTATATTTGAGTGTTGGTATAATAATACCTCAGATTAGCTACGTATGCATCATCTGCATCTGGGGATTTACTCAAGAACATATTTATTCTAGTTTACAACTTATCTCTTGATTGTTAGATTTCTTGTCAATATATCCGCTAGTGATGTGAATTGCATTTATAAATAGTCTTGCGTGATGTTTGATGCTCTGTCGTTTAGTACGAAGCTCTTGTCGTGAACTGATCGTGTTATGCAATCGTTTAACACAGAACGCGAATCAAACGATGAACTGAATTGAAAAGGTCAAACTGCGTGTCTTAATTCAGATTAATATATATCAGGAGATGACTATAGTGTAGCAAAGAAAGAGAAAAGCATGACATCAGTTCTAGCGGATTAAAGCGTAGCAGAAGAATTCTTTGTCTGAAATTTAATCAAGATCAAAATGCATTTCCTCGTTTGATGATACTAGGACATGGCTGAATTGAAAAGAACTTTCCTGTCACCTTGACTGCTTTCTATACTGATAATTCTTTTACTTATCACATTTAATTAGTGGAAGTTGTCATCATCTACCCCTACGTAACTTATTAAAAAAACAGGAATTTGTCATTCGAAAGTACTTCCAATTCTTCAAATGCCAACTTCGCTTAGTACCTATAAGAGAGGAAAAAACAGTTTTCTTACGTTGCATTGTTCTGTTATCTAAATTAAACTAATAGCAACCGGATATGACGCACATCTACACGCAATTCCATCGATTGCATGCTAAGGTGTATTAATTTGAAATGAGAGCTTCGTAGTCACTTAGTTGCTGCATCATATAAAAAGGAAACAAAATCACTGATGAGTGTCTTTTTCAACGATGAATACCTTTTTCACGGTTTTACTAATTTTATGTTTGAACTGTTCGGCTCTAATAGCATTTATATGCACACCCAACTCACAATATTATGTTGAATGTACACAACTGAGCACATTCAATGAATCGAACAAATTTTGTTCCAGATACGGAATGACGCTATTGAATTTAACGAATTCAACCACCATATCTCCAAGTATCAATCAGACGCTTGTAGCAATCAATTGTACAAATAATTTCTGGTACACATTGAATGATAGCGCTCCTCTTCTTGGCAATGTTGGCTCCTTAACTGGTGGTGTCCTATGCACAGTCGTTCCTCTTCTCGGTCTTTATTGCATTTCAACATCCGCGACTTATGCAGCAACGGTGTGTTATCGAACGCAACAATTGAGTATTCAACAACGATGTGTGGATACTGATCCGAATCAACGTTATGATTTGAAAAAATCGAAATATACACAGACACTCATGTATGCATCATTCTATCAAGTCTCTCAAGTGAATAGTCAAGCTCAATGTAACGCACTGTGTTCAAATGTTGATCACTGCCTCGGTATAACATATAAGAAATATAACTGTACACTCTATATTTAATTTCAATACACATATATTTGTCGAGTTAACAACAAATATTCATAATAAATCTTGTGATGATTTTGCTTTCAGTCTATATCGAAAAAACTCTAATGTTATGAAATCACCAAGACTCGTCGGATAAAGCAGAGCTATGGATCGACATGTATGAAGGTAGTCACCGTAACAATATCCATTCTTGATATGTGCTAATGTGATATGATCTTCGTGATACTGAATGTAACATTGATCATTTTTACATGGATTATCGAGATATTTTTCATGCAAGGCACCTTGAACACACTTCCATAAATGTCGTTCGCGGGCAGTTGGATGTAAATGACGTAAACATTGATCCATCAGCTCTGTATGCCGTACGAGATTTAGCGCTTGGCCGTTGAGTACATAAGCATTGCCTTCGTGTTGCTCATGAACGACAATAAATGGATACTGTGCATCGTATGATGAACTATTGAGTAGCGTTGATAGCTTTTCTCGGAAGACAAATGTTGGTGCAGGTACGATCAGCAATATATCATTATTCGATATGAAGTCATACGAACTAACCGAATTTCGAATTGCTATCAGAACACGTGTCCATAAATTAACATAGTACGACAGTTGCGGAATATCGAAATCTTGAAAAATAGAGAGAATTTCTTAGAAATTGAGAGAAAAATTCGTGTGCTGCATGTCTCCTACCGTCATCGGATTTCTGCACTTTTCGAAATCTTGCTACACCAATTTTATAACAATTCTTTCCCCATGTTAAATTGCTCAATTGAATAAATCGTTCGTGGGACGAATGTGTATGAACTAATATACAATAGAGGCGCGAATGGTTGCTATACAAATTCGCAATTTCGCTGATAATGGTTCGATCGGAACGGAAAATCAATGACAGTATAAACAAGAAAATTAAAGTAAGCAGAAATAGAAAGTAACGATGACGAGAATATAGTCGCCGGCGCTTGCATACATACGGCATGATGTTGGTATGTAAATATGAGAAAAAATGAGTAAACGAACGAATGATTTGTGAATTTTGTTTCTCTTCTGTTTCAACAAAAAACAGAAAAGAAAAAGAACTTTTTTCTTGTATTTTTCGTAACAAACCAAAGAAAAATACACTATTTTTATCTAACTAAATTACACGCAATTCTGCAGGCTGTCCCATTTTGACAATGAACTGTCTCTGTCCATGAATATCTTCATCGCGAACAATAATATTATGTACTTGTTCTCGATTATGTACGTGCCTTTCTTCGACACATTCGCCTTGTTCTCCGAGTAGCCAGACGTCATTTCCATTGATCACTAACCACGAACGATCGTCGAACGGTGTTATGTACATTCCTAATCCACCGGATTTCAAGTTAATACCTCGATACATTCGTACAAGTGTAAAATCAAAGACATCCACACGCCAATGTTCGTTGGTTTGATGAGAATGTCGTTCAGTTCTTTGTTGTTTTATACAAATAGCTAAACATGTATCATTAGCACGTATACATGAAATAAGTCGATCATCTGATTCGAATATATCGTGATACCATCGTTTTACTAATGAACCGGATAAGAATGACCAACGTTCGATGTTCGTACGAGAACCGGATGTTGTCAGAGCGAAAAATGCATCGGATGCATTGGGAAGACAAGCTATCGATTGAAAATGACTACCTAAGCGAATATACCAACAAATATAACAGTTCATTAGAGTATGTTGTTTACCTGTGCTAGGTTTGATTTGTTCACTGCGATCTAATGTTGACATACGTGGATCAATCGTAAAGAAACTCACTGATGATAAGACACAAAACTGTTCGAGATAGTTCGAATAAACTATGTCTTTGATTGAACCAATAAATGCATCATCGTTTTGCTTTTGCCATGGAATTTCATTGATTCGACGTTCCTCGTCGAAAAAAACTAGATGATCATCATCTTCGATTAATATCTGATTATTGTCGGACACAGCTACGTAAGGTGAATGGCTTGAATGAAGAAGAAATCGGCGTGAGGGTGTGGAGATCTTATCGAGTTGAGATAATTCGGTGTTTTCACGTTGAATATCTATAAAGAAAAGATCTGTTATCACATTCCAATTCAAACTATACGCTTTACTTTTAAGTACATCAACTTGTTCAGTTAGTTTTTTCTCGTCATTTGTTATTTTCGTTAACAATCGTCCGAAAATTTGTAAATGCGTATCGATTTTTGTTATTTTTGTCTTCAGATCGTTATATTCTTGATCGGATAGACTCTTTCGTCGTTCGACAACCGTTTTACTCAGATTAGGTATAATATCTTGAGTTAATACAGCTGAATGTCGTTGTTTCAATTGATTCAAACGACCTGTTAATGAATCGAGTTTATTCATCGTACTTAAATGTATGTTATTTATCAACGAAAACATTTCCGTTCGCCATTCTTCTAATGTTCGTCGAGAACTTGCTAAATCATTTTCAATTTGCAGACCATCTATTAACGCTAATAATGATCGGGCACGTTCGTGCAAAACTTGACCAGACGCAGACATTGAAACTAACACTACTGACTGACTATTCTCTTGATTAGTTCGGAATGAGTCATACAGACTATGCATCTCATAGCGCTACAGTCAATGTAACTATTTCATTGCTGAGTTAATTCTATTCCGTCATACTTTGTTAATATTTTGCAATTAGACGACACAACTATTGCTATTATTAAGAATTGCTTGTGATTGGTAAGTGAAATATTCCTATCATATTCGTTTGATGGACATGTTTGCGAAATCATTTTTTATCATTTCTTCTTCTTCTTCACTTTCGTGTTTTTTTCAGACGATCATGTGGCTCATACCTACAGAAACGTCGGTAAGATAGTTTTTGGATCGTTGAAATATGTTGTTTGATATCTGCATTCTTTCAGATGACAGGATTATGGTACAATGACTCAGAATAGTTTCGTTTTTCTCTATTTTTCCGTTCCTATTTAGGACAACGGATCAAGCCAATCCATACTTCGTGTTACAACGTCGTCGAGGACATGATGAACAACGTTCTGGCTTTGCTAGTTATCTTGTAGCAAAAATTGATTCGGTGCTAGATGCGAAAGTAAATTAGGAATTTTGACGACAAACAGAAGGATAAATTACTTTTGCAATAGAACCATCACTATCGAATACTTCATACGCGTCCTGATTCGCGAGTTTCTTATTGTAAACTTGATGTTTGATCTCGGCATGACGCAAAAGAAACGTTTGTTCTTACTCTAGTGATTGCCGAATCGGCTAAAAAGGAAGAAATCGAGGAACATTGGAAATGGATTCAAATACATCTGATGCCAATAATTGGTAGGGATTATTTCAGCTTTGCAGTTTTTTATGATCTATGTTTTTTAGGCGAAATCGATGTCGGTAGGGACATAACCCAATTTGTTCATGGAAAAATTGAATGTCTGTGCGCAGAAGCAGATGATAAAGAAATTGAAGGTAAAACCAAGCTAGAAGAAAATATCTTTCACATGAATCAATCACAAAATCGTAACAGATTTAGAAACAGAGAAGTTCAAAGCTGCAGCGAAGAAATTCTATAAGGTATTCAATATGCCATCTGATGAAAAACTTGTTACCTGTAAGTATCTCATAAGAGACTAACATCCGTATTACTTCTCACACACTATTGTTATTTACAGATTATTCCTGTTTTTACTGGATCGGCCGGGTACCACGCGATGGCTGTCTATTTTTATCTGTGAATTATCTTTGTTTCTATTCGAATATACGTGGAAAAGAGTTCACTCTCGTGGTGAAATTTACGGATATTATGGTAGGTTTTCTTTTCCTTGAAGCGTCGCAACATCGAAGATTTCTATTTAGTCACTTCAACGTGTCCATGTAATTGTTTCGGAAGTTATACGTGTACGAACACGTCTACACGAGTATGAATTCGGAATGTTTAAAAAGATTGATGAAGTATATCAGATAACAGTACAAATAGCGGATTTCGCTGCGAAAAAGTAAATTTAGACACGCGTCCCGTCGATAAAGCTGTTTTCTTCTCGCTCTAGATTATTATCTCAGAAAGGTGCATTCCAAGAAGAGAATTTCTTTCCAGCTGTGACTAAGTATGAACACTTGTTTGTGAAGATGACGCATCCTTGAAATTATTTCTAGAAAAACAGCTCCCAAAGTTATGTCTCAATTGAAACGTGATTTTGACGCTAAGTCTCGTAGTGAAGCATACCGGTATCGATTTCGCTTACCATTAAATGAACGACTCGACGGCGAGATCGCTTGTCATTTATGGACAGCATACGATCGTTCTAGCGTACTTGGTAAATTGTACATCTCGTCGAATTTCGTGTGCTTTGCGAGTAAAGTAAGAAGTGACAGTCACTCGACATACACATTCGATTCTTCATTTCAATTCAGAACTATCATCAGGTTAGCTTGATCATTCCATTTCGTGATATTTCGCAAATTAATAAGCGAATAGACGATACTAAACAAACAGATCTCGACATACCGTCAGCGTTGGTAATAACAATGAAAAATCAGGTAAGAACATAAGATACCAAACAGGATAATTTCGATTTCGGAACTATTTGATTAGGGCGAACCATTCACATTTTCACATTTTGATGACCGAGAATTTATTCTTCAAAAATTATCGGACTTCTTACACCAACGTAAAGAACCAGTAAAATCAACCGATAATGAATCAGATATAGGTTCGTTTTAGATCGTTCTCCTGACTTCCCTACATACAGACAATTTCTTTTTCTAGTTATGTCTACACCACTCTACCATTCATTTGTTAACGATTACAACGAACAACGGCAAGCCCTGGAAAAAATCCGTGAAGCTGATTGGGCAGCCCATTTTCTGACTTATGGCCAAGGTCCAACAATGTATCGAACAAATAATCTATATGATCTTCTATTTCAAGGCATTCCAGATTCCTTACGAAATGAATTATGGTTAATATTTAGCGGTGCTGTCTATGATGTAAGTCCCATTGGAAAGTATGAATGCATGTCAACACAACTGCACCTTGTTTTTAGAAAGCAGCTAATGAAAAAACGTACGAAAGATGTGTCCATGAATCCAGACTAGCTCAAACAGGTCAAGATATGATCAATGAAGAAATCGAACGCGACCTCTATCGTGCACTACCCGATCAGAAAGCATTTCAAAACGAATCCGGCATTAATGCTCTCAGATGTTTACTACGAACCTATGCGTGTTACAACAAAGATGTAGGCTACTGTCAAGCCATGAATATCATTGGTGCCGTACTTTTGCTGTACATGAACGGAGAAGATGCGTTTTGGACTTTAGCAGCAGTATGTGAAAGACTATTACCAGATTATTACAATACGAAAGTCGTTGGCGCATTGATAGATCAAGGTAATCTATGGCAATGCTTAGTTAATGTAAAACCGGCGAAGAGTTGAAATTTTCCTTAAGATTCTATTTTGAGAAGACTAGATGATCAGACTCATATATTTCAAGTCTAAATTATCATTCATTATCTTGTGAAATGTGTTCTTGTTTTTAGGTGTATTCAGTGACTATTGCAAACAGTACATGCCTGATTTGTATGAAAAATTGGAGAAACTTGGTATCGCTGCATGTATCACTCTCTCTTGGTTTTTAACGCTTTTTATCTCGTAAGTGACGATATTCTGTCTCGCTATACAATTCCATTCCGTTGTGTAGTGTCGTTCCATTCGATTCGGTGTTGTATATCATTGATATATTCTTCTACGACGGAATCAAAGTTCTATTTCAGTTAGCATTAACGATCCTCAGTGAAAACCGCCAAAGTCTCTTGAAATGCGAAGATGATGGCGACGCGATTGTTGTTCTAACACAATACTTCGAGAAAATCTCAGACAAGACTGATATCAAAGAAGAACGAAAAATTGTTCAATTAATTAAAAAATCCTATTCAGAATATAATGGTATTAACGAAGAAGACATCAATCGTTCACGTTTAAAACATCGCCTGAAAGTGATACAAAACATGGGTGAATCATTATTACAATCCGCTGCTAAGAATACCGTCAAATATACGAAATTCAACGAACAAGAAATAAAAAATCTGTTTTATGTGTTCAAAGTAACGATTAAACTTGACTTAATTTTACCGAACAGTTCGTATTTCTTGTCAGGATGTTTCACGCATATCGCTAACGGAAGCGAATGACCCTCGGAAACTCGCATACGAAACTTACCGAATCAATCGCAATGAGTACTTGATTTTATGTAAATATCTATCACCGTGGTTCATTGGTGAAAATGCCGAAGTTCTGGCAAATAAATTATTCGACGTGAGTAATAACCAGTAAGCAATCATGTTCGAATTTCGTTTCGTTTCAGTTATTTTCTGTGAATGAAACATCGAATCAAATTGATTTTATTCATTTTATTCGTTTATGGAATATTTTATGGAATGGCGATTTTCGAGATAAGCTAATCATTTTATTTCTTGCACATTTAGAAAGTAGGTTTACTAGAGGCAGGAACGGCTCTGTGATAAACAATCTAAATCTTCATTTTCAGATGTTAGAACACGCGAAGAAGGTTTCAGTATTATATTCGAACCAATACCAATTCGTTCGGCATCGATGATCAGCGAAAGTCGATCAATTGACTTATTATCATCGACGAGAGAACAACAACAACANCAAAGATCATCGATCATTCTAAACAAAACTCTATTTTAGATACCACAGCATGAGTAGCCAAACATTTCTTGTTGGTACTGGTGTAAATCGTATATATGCGTGTCGACTGACATCGGATGGACAGTTTGAATTACTTAATGAAACGAAATCCGGAAAAGGTTCAACTTGGCTCTTGCCACGTGATGATCTGCTCTACGTAGTTAATGAACATGACGATAAAATCGAAACATTTACAATTGATGACCGTAATCAAGGAAAACTAACACTGAAAAACACAATATCTTCAATCGGAGACACGCCATGCGCGTTAGAATTCGACCCATCAGGAAAATGGTTACTCGTTTCCAAGTAAATAGAATTAACGAAACAACATATGATCTCTTACCACTACAGTATCTTCTAGTTATGGTGATAAAGGAGTAGCGAATATTGTGTCTCTCCCATTAAACGATGCAAAATATCCGGACGAAAAGGGTGCTCAAATCACTGCAATCGAAGGAGATGGTCCGCATCCAACTCGTCAAAAACATTCCTACTGCCATCATGCAATTTTCCATGATAATTATCTGTATGTCGTCGATTTAGGTTCCGATACTTTGAGCACTTATCGTTTTGATGCTACAACTGGAAAACTTGATCTCGTTGGCGATCGAGTCAAAACAGAAGCTGGTGCCGGTCCACGTCATATACTTTTCCATCCGACCAAACCATTGGCATTTGTGTGCAATGAATTGAATTCAACAGCAAATGTTTTCAGCGTCGATTCTTCATCAGGTCAACTGCATCATCTTCAAACTATAGGCACTCGACAAGACAAAGATCAAAGTTGTATTTCTTAACGAATTCTGAAAGCAATGGACTAACACTACAGTTGTTTTATTTTAGATTCAATTCAAGAGAACTATACCGCTGAATTACAATTTACACCCGATGGGAAATATTTATTAGTATCGAATCGTGGTGATGAGAATTTAGTGATCTTTAATATGAATGTAGACGCCGAAAAAGAAGTCTTAAATGTAAAAGAACATCTTGATTGCCACGGTTCATT